CACTTTGTTATACGACAATAATTCAATGTACAGGTGGAACTTGAAAAATGTAGTATATTGTTCAAAAGTTCATTTATTTCTGTAATTTGTGTACAAATAGAGGCTTGCTATACCTCAATTTGCATTTTTTCAAGTTGAAAACTGAAGTATATGGAAAAGTATAATCTAGTTCTATATGTATATACAAGTTTGAACACTGTTGTGGCTGCAGTACCTTTGAGTTCAAGGTGGTTCAAGATTATCAAATAAAAATAGTTTCAAATATATTTTTTAATTCCATCTCTATTCAGTATGTGCATTGTGTGCTTTTGCAGGCGCGACCTTTTAATTTGAGTATTTTGGTACAATTTTTACAGTGATGTAGCAGGAGGTAGGCAAAATGGGGATTCTTTTTGTTTCTTTTACGAGATGAAATCAATATTGATCTTTCTATGTAGCAAACAAAAGCAGAATCTTCTTTCAGGCTTCTTTTAAAAAACCATCTTCTTTAAAAGCTATGGTTGTTACTTAATTATTGGCTGTGCCTCTTGTGGCTCTTTCTGCACTCTCCAAATTGCCCTCACCCATGCTCTTAATGGCACGGTATAGCATCCGGGGCCCGTGGTTTAAATCTGTCCTCGCTGTTGTAAAGTGATCCACTGGCACGAACGGAGCCCTGCATAGGATCAGACTTATGGGGAGCGCCTTATGTCATCACAGGTCACATTTCCACCTGAGTCATTTAACATTACAACCTCCCTTTGAGGACACACCTGCTGCTTTTGTCACAACATGAGCCCAACAAGCCCTTATTTGTCTCTATATTGTACTATGCACAGTTTCATGTCATCTCTAATTTCACGAGGGGAAATAAGATGCTGTTGTGGCTGTAGTGTTGTCATAGCCATCTGTGATCAACTTGGAAAATGTTTTAAACAATTTAGGCACATAAACTATGACAGCGGCCTCCAAAGTTTTTCCCCAGAGAAATACTTCTTCAGGATAATGATAGAGAGCCACACTTTGAGAAATTGGGATGATATAATGGTGAGCCAGCAAATGCCCAAAGGACAATGCAAGATTATTTTTTTTAGCACAGTTCATACACAAGTCAACTCAAGTGCTAAGAAAATATATGATAAAATCATACTCAAATATAACATAGATGATCACAGTACATTAGTACTGGTGTATGCTAAGCTAAACAGATTATTTGTTAAATTATGCATTTGGATAATTGGTTGTAGGCAAGTGAATCATACAACTGTAATATTATTCTTTTTGATTTCTACATCATTTGGGTTAACATTTTGTGCATGGGGGCGACCCGGACCACAGCACTGAAAGATTTGGGCTATTCATGTTTTCAGTCAAATTGTAGAAAGAAAATTAACAATGTGACAGTAACTATTCATGTTCAGTGAAAGCCCATCCAGCAAAAGCTAAAAAGTATAATATTTATTATATGGTCACTTTTTATTGTGTACTTCTCTGGAGGGCGTGGCCTGAACTCCCGTACGGTCACCTGTTTATACATCTTTTGTTGTTACATGCCCCAATCGTTAACTTTATAGATCCATGGCCCCAATAGACAAATGTTTACAAACGTTTGGAAACTCTTAGCATGTCCTAAAATAATCTTGACTGGGTCAATACTAATTTAATCAAAGACGATCTGTACATTTACAAAATCAGAAGATATTTTGTCGGGTTTGGACGACATAAGAGAACGCCACCAAAACCCCAAAACTACATTCGCTGCGTTTTTCCAAGACTCTTGTGGCTGCCTCATGATCCCCTTTTTATAAACCAACGGGAATAACTCACTGTTGTGGAGAGAAATTGAGGGCAACTTAGATGATTTTGGCCCCAGGTTAGCGTCGTGGTGACAGGGAGTGCATATCTCGCTGTGATTAGTTAACTTTGTGATGCATGCAGAAAGTACAGTCTTCTACAGCTGAAGCATAAGGCAGAGGCCCCTGTTGGCTCCCCTCTTTTTTTTTAAATATCACATGAAAACGTATAGCCACATGGATTAGGCTGCAGGGTATTCTCTCCACCACAAACAAAGGCTATGATTATGCCCAGCGATATCCCTGCACGCTGTAATTAGATACAGTGACGCACGACTGGCCGCTTTCCTGCAACTTCACACTCAGCCATCTCATAAATTTAACATGTCGGGACGTATAGGCTGACTGCATGTTCCCGTTTAGGCTAGGACAAACATAGATCATATACATTTAGGCACACACAACACGCTGCACAGCTAACTGGATGGAAATAGTCTGTGTGGGATTGTCTGGGTGCAGTGTATAGTAACCATTTGGAGGGGCCCTGGGGTGGACTGTGGTGGGTAGAATCCTAAGGGGATAGGGTGTGTGTTTAAGTATGTGTTATTAGGAGTCAAATTAAATGGGGCTAGCCTGGAGATAAGAAATACTGTGGAGGAGGCAGGAGAGGGAGAGAGTTTGAGATGAAAAGAGCTTAAATAGACTGGTAAGACGTATGGAGATTGGGGCTGGTAGAGACGGGACAGAGGGAGTGGATGGCTTTAAAACTGGGGTCCAGAGGCAGCAGCTGTTTTTGATGTTGTTTTTGGGCTGTTTATCTTCGTTGCATAACACCTTCGTGCGCAGACGTACTGCCGTTCTCCCTCGTGCTCGTGCCCGTTTGGTAGCCCCCAGTTTTAAGACGAGTAAGGAATTTCTGAGAGAGAAAAAGGTTTCCCATAGCAACGGCCTCCATTGTAAAACTGGTGTTTTTACACACACTCTCGGCGTTCCACTTTGGGGGAGCCCATACCGCCAGCTCAACAACTTCATGTCAATTTCATATTAGGAGGCACATGTAGCTTCTCAACTCTTCTCCTCACGCCAAGATGTGATGGACTGAGATGCTTGCGTTCAAATTCCATTAGGTTTTTATTGGCTTTTAAAGGCATCAGGTTTCCACTGTCTGGAGCCAGAGAGGAGCTCACTCTGTATGCTCTGTTTGTGTGTGCGTGCCCAATTAGCATGACACAAGCTAGTAAAGATGCAGCTATAGGCCTCGGGACGGCTTTAGATTGCTTAGGCGATAAGTTTGTTTGGTCACATTTGCAGCCTGAATGACGGTTTTCCTAATACCTGGAGCAAATCTGCCCTTTTGTTTCAGGGGGTTGTTTTGGCTCCAAAGCACGGTTAAGTCCCGACAGAGATGGATTACAGTAAATACAGGCACTAAATGTTCCTTGCAAAATTAATAGGACACTTGTAAAATGCTGCCAATACATACAGCAAAAAATCTATTGATCTTTCCATTCCTTGTCTAAACTGTAAGTTTGTCAGGGCGCGCTTGCCAAAAACCGCAACTATAACTCATTACCCAAGTACATAGTTTCAGCCTCATTAGCTCTGCATCAACATCAGCTGGGTTTAACTTAGCAAACCAATAGTGCTCGCTGCAAACATCAATCGTCGATGGTTGCATAATTAGCAGTAGCTTTCTTAAAATATGTAATTTCTTGAGCCTAAATCAGAGTGGCCTTTCAGTCGGTCTGTCCAAAGACATTTTCTAACGTCGCAGCCATAAGTTCAATGTAAAATTAAACTATATTTATACTAGTTTCATGAAAAATGTTTAAATTCAATAAAATGTTTTTACAACCTTTTATGAACTAAATTCAAACTAAGCCAGTCATTATACCAGTATGCAAATGTGATGGTTCTCTGAAGGTTAATGCAGACATTCATGGTTTTACTCCAGAATCCAATTTATAATTACCTGATTGACATAATTTTATCTTGCATTGTCCAACTCCATAGCTTACTGACCATATTGTACACACACATTTTTTTTGGCCGCTCCCTGACCTTGTGTGAAAGAATAAAACCACACACAGTGCTGAAGTTTGTGTCCAAACTCAGATGTAGGTCAAGAGTAAAAGGAGATGAATGAAGAGACGAGGGATCAGCTTCAGAGGACCCAAAGCCTGCCGTTCAAACTGGGAACGCTCAGCACTAATCTGCCTTACCTGACCCTGGCAGAGGTCAGCGGGCCATGCTGCTCCGTCGCAGGCAGACGCGGCTTACACGTTACCGCTCGGGATTACAGCCGATACATAAGTGGGAGGCTGATCACCTGCTTGATGGTTATGCCTTTATTACTGCATACTTCTAGAGAACTAAAATGTATCTTTCAGCCATTTTAATTTTCAATGTCAGATTTTTTTAACAGACTATCCTTAGTTTATCTTTTGTTAGTTTGTGTTTTTTTTTTTATTTTTTTTTTTAGGAATTCAGTACATAGCATGCCCTTTAAAGAGTAGTACTAATTTACTTATTTCAAACATATGTACTGAAGAAGATGACATGTCTGGGATCGCGTCTTTCATTCAGACAGAAGACATGTTTTATTGTCAATGGTAGAGACAGCACGATCAAAGCACACGATCACAGATACAACAGAATGCAAGTGTATTATACAGAGCGGAGGCATGGAGACCTCCAATCAGCAGCTGCCACAGTGTGCTTGTAGCTTGGCCTTCAGATAGACAAAACAAGGGAAAAGTACTGGCTTCTGCACATTGATAGAATGATGAGTTTAACTTTAACAAAAGTTGCTTAAAAGTGTTATGAAATCTCACAGTACAATAGACAAATGACAAACAGGATGCAACAAAAATATGCAGAACTCGAGCATCAACTTACAAAAACCCTGATCATTTACAGTGATTTTGAGTTTATTTTCAATATATTTCCTGTGTGTCAGCTTTGCGATAACGCCTTCTTTAACGTTATCCTCAGCTGGCTCCATGCAGGTTCTTAACATTTAAAGGCTTCTTCAGAAATCCTCTTCATTTGCAATGCTGTAGGGTCGATGGAGGGAGCGACAGATGTTCCTGGTTCTGTCTTGCCGCTTCAGACAGCTGTTTGTGTGTAATCTACCAAAGTGTGTCTCTTTCAAATGAAACAACAATCACAGCAGTCATCCCCAATCAAGCCTCTAATCTGTGGCCTGTGCTTCCTCCTCTACCACAGGCGCAGACTTGGACGCAAAATGACGACGAGGGATCAACGAGAGACGAATTCTACGATGACGAAGACCTCTACTCGGGCTCCGGCTCTGGCCGTAAGTGTCTTTACAACAAGCGTATAGGGATGTATACATTTGATTGTTATACATTTGACCGTTATACATTAGTCGGCTCAGTGGCCTCTCAGCAGAAAGCTGCTTCTTGCAGCTTCTTGAATGGAGTTTTCACGTTCTCCCCGGGTCTGTATAGTTTCCTCCACTAAAACATTCCTCAGTTCATTTGAAAAAACACATAAATCTCATTTGAAAACTGTGTTAAAAAAGACTAACAATTCATTACCAATCAGTTTACTGTAAAAAGCCTGATGTGCAGTATTTTGGTGCAATTAAAATAAAGTGTCACCTTTTTTTGAGCGTATCCTTGAAACAAAAAACCTGCCGAAGATTGTATTGTATCTTTTACTTTACAAATTTCCCAGATATAGTTTTTTGGAAAATTAACTTTTACCCTGTTACAGCATTGTTCCCTCATCAGAAAACCTGGAATTGTTTTTAGATCCATCCAAGCTAATAACTCCACATCTTTCTTTCTAAATGCTCTTGTCTCAATTCTGTAATCAAATGATACCGCTGTAACATCACGCCCATACGTTTTGGAAAATTCTTAGTTGTAATCACAATTGCCTGTCTGTGTTTGCAGCTGGTATCTGTCAAATTTAGGAAAAAAACAAAACAAATTCGACACTTCCCTCTTGTGGTAGCATTGGGAGTTACAGGCTGTTACAGGCTCTTCTTACACTTTTTACCTTTGTTTCACCATAAATCTTACTATTTAACATTCTAAACATGAAAAGAAAAGAAAAAGTAAATAGTCTCATTATAAGGTTTAATGTAATGTTTAGCAGACATTTAATCATTAATGAGGGGTAGTCATTTCCAATGTTTTGATTGTTTTCTAAAATGGTTAGAATGTTTTATTGATGACTTTTATAATAAAATATGAACCTGAAATCTTAGTGGAATTATCCCGGTTACATAAAGGTCGCTAAATGAGAGAGAGATATATATATACACACACATTGTTTATTCTCATCGTTTCAGCAAGCATAATTTCATTTCCAAACAACGAGTTCATTTATAAAAAGAATGCATTTATATTATAGATGTGTGAAAAAGTCCCAGTACCCGTCCTACTGTGAAAAATGAAAACAATTATATTTCAGTATTCTTTCACGTTTCCTTTTTGTCGTCAATATTTACGAGCAACACACCGCCACATGCTCTTATTCCTTAAACTTGACAGCTGTTGGGCCTCAATCAGACGACCTCTGACTCCGTGTCCTTGAGTTGTGAATATTCTATTCATGGAGCAGCTCGCTCGTACAACACACTATACAAGCTGCCAGCTGGCCTGACAGACAGGTTTTGATACGGATTTATGGAAAACACCTTTAAACACAGACAGCCTTGCAAACTGCCAATGCTCTGGTCTCCCCCAGATCTTATTTGCTTTAATCAGATTATGTCCACCACAGATTAACCCGTCACAAGCACGCCAACAGTTGTGGACACCTTTATTTCACAGGTTGTCTGTGTGTGTAGGAATTAGACACTTAAATCAAATTGGTTTAGTCCACTTAGAATTTTCAGATTTGACTGCAGACTCGTCTCCTTATTCCCTTATTAGGCATGACTCATTGAGGGCTGCCCTGAGTTCAGACAGCACGATAGCTGAAAATAAATTACAATTCAGATCAGGCGAGTGCAGCAGCAGCAGAGGCACCCCCTGTGGATGAACAGCAGCCAGGCGAAGGCTTTATCTCTCACTGCGATACAGGGCCCCAAATCTGAGCACCAAACTGGTTCTGAACACACACCGATGTTAATTTTCTGATGCATCCCGGTCTCGTTGGTGGCATTTTGTGAAGTCGGATTTGCCTCAACAAAAGATTGTGTTGTTGGGCTCCATATTTTTCTATATCGTCTCCAGCTTCTGTCTGTCCTCTTGCCGCCGTGTCTGTAAATTTAATTTGTTCCTCTTTCAACTCGCAAGGCTTTACCGCTATAACGAAATGGAATGTGCTGTAATGGTATTACAAGATAAAAAAGAATTGCTCTGACTTTGACTTTTTCTGAGTGATTCTTGAGTTGTGCCTCTTTCCCACTCATCTGTAAACCTTTGTCATGAAAAAACAAATAAGAAACCTCACACACTTTCTACTCATTGTGGACATTTATTAGGAGAGTTTATATCAGCATTGTTTGAAGGATAAACATATTTAGAGACGAGGCCACACATCCCATGATCCCAATATTGTGTTTATTTTATTCAATTAACCAGAAGCTTTGTTGATACCTCTGATCCTAAATTCTGCCATAATCCCACTCATCGCTCGTAGAATGAATGCTCATGCTTTTGCAGCTAGAGTCGCACTGGTATCATACAGGTGGCTGATACTGTGAAGTGTGTTAGATTGATTCAACTTTTTAGATTAAAATGATACCCAGATTGGGCCTTTCAAATCAATGTGATAAGGTCATCAGTTTTAAGACAATAGAAGATTACTTTGGAATCTGAAAGCATTATTATGAATGGAGCCGTCCTCAAGCCTTGCTACCAAAAGTAACTCATCATCCAGGTCATCCAAAAAATCCATGAAATCTCAATGTACCAAGGGAGTTACGAAATGAAAAAAGACAATATTAAAGATATAGAGGAATATAATACCAATCCTGTTGCTCCATATACTCAAACTCAAGAGTTTCATTGTTACTCATAGTTTTCAACCCAATTGGCTAATACCAGGTCACTGTATAGAAAGTGTCCTAGATTCAGGAACTTGAATTGAATTGAAAAAAGTTTCCCTTTTGTAATATGTACATATGAGTGATTTTGTTTAAATAAAGATCCTTTTTTTTGCAGTTCCTGAGATCAGTGTGCGGCCGACCTCCGTGAGCGTATCTTTCACCACAGAAGAAGCCCTCATCCTGTCCACCACGCAGGCCACCAGCCCCGCCCCCTCCGCGTCCCCCGCAGCGGAGCCCAGTCCAAACCCAGATCCCACCACTGTCAGCACCACGATACAGCCCACCACGGAGGCCGATGGGGAGAGCGGCATATTCTGGGAGGTGGAGAAAGAGCGCGAGCTGGAGAAAGAGCGTGAGCTGGAGAACGAGCGCGAGAGGCAGAGGGAGCTGGAGCGGCAAGCCGAGCGCGAGCGAGAACGCGAACGAGAGCGCGAGCGAGTCCGCGAGCTGGAGAGGGAGAAGGAGCGAGAGCGTGAGAGGGAGCTGGAGCGGCAGAGGGAGAGGGAGAAGGAGCGTGAGCTGGAGCGCATCCGGGCCGCCGCGCAGACCACCGTCGCCCCCGTTGTGACCACCAACCCGGCCACGAGCACCGCTGAGACCCCCTCTGCTGGACCGGAGGACCTGGGCACCACAGAGGAAGAGGATGATGATGTTTACCTGTCGCCGGAGCCCACGTCACCGTTCGCAGGGCTCGACACAGAGTTCACCACAGACGCCCTCATCACCACAGCGGCTCCCACACCAGAGCCCACCACCACTGCAGCCACCACCACAGTCAGGACCAGGGTGCCCTTCAGACCCCGGGTTCCCATTACCACAGGAAGCACCAAGGCCTCACCCACGATAAGAACTCAGCAGCCCACCACAACCCAGGTAAGAGCCAGAACATAAAAATATTAATGTATTGGTCTTATAAAGTGCATTTCGTGTCATTATTATTTCACTCCATCCATGGTGGTGATAAGTTGCCCTGGGGCACACTGACAGAAGCGAGGCAACCAGTCTGTGCCATCGGCCCCTCCAACCACCACCAACTATTCACACACACAAACCAGACTCATTCTAGGCAATATGGGTGAAGTGTCTTGCCTAAGGACACAACAAAAAATTGGCACTTTACAGCCTCAGCCGCCCCACTGTTGCACCTGGTTTTCCCAGAGGTCTCCCATCACAGTATTGACCAGGCCCTGCTCTGCTTTGCTTCAGAGGTCTGACTGGATCTGGCTTTCGCATGCAAGTAACATATGACCAAACTGTATGTACTTTCCAGTATGCACTTAAAACCAATCCAAATACTGACAGTTTGGATTGTTCTGATAACACTAACGCAGAGCGAGGCCTTCCTCGTGCTATCACTCCTGTTTGTCTCCACTGACGCACACTGTGTCACATTGAAGCGATTACCGGCCCTATGAAACATTTGGGTTACTGACAATGATATAAAATGGTTGATAATAATCCATAACGATCAAAGAACATGCAGTATTTGTTCTTTGGTCCATTATTTATATTTGTCAAAATGATATACACTATCACTAAAAGCTGATCTTTTTTCTCCATATTTTTTGGTTTGGATTCTCTATTGTTGTATGTTGGTGTATCCGGTCCTTTAGTGCCAGGAAACAAAAGGCAGAGGGAAGGAGTGACATGGAGCAAACTGGCACCAGCTATAATTTGAACACAGGCCTCTCAGGCAGCAGAGAATTGACAATAAACAAGGTAAAAATCCATTGACTTGCCATAGAGAGCCGTGCACTGGGAGTGGAGCCAGGGATGTCGAGCTCCAAAGAGTTCATGGGAGTTTTCTGGACAAACTGTCATTTTGTGGACAGGCTCTGTGTACATCACATTTTTATGACCATAATAAAAGGGGAAACCAAAACATGACGTTACAATACACATTTGTATAATTATTTACAGAGTAGTGCGACGCCACAACTCTGTATGACACAACACAAAGAACTTGTACTATTATTGTGCTAAAGCAGTTTCACTTGTGTAGATGGAAACAAGAAAGCCAATTGCATATTCTATATTGATGTAACAACAATTGAGCAAAGTAGATATACATTTTATTTTTTCCACATCTAAATACAGTTAAAAAGGCGCTGATATTAACTATCTATGTCAAGAATGACGAAGCTAAATAATAAGGTACAAAAAGGTTTCTCATAAAGGGTGTCATCACAAAACAAATGTAGAAAATGGAAAGTAGGTTGCAAAGACGAAATGACAGACGAAAATAAATGGAGGTGACGGGATGCGTTCATGAGCAATCGTATTGTGAAGTCACCTCCAACAGGACTTCCCTGAGGGACGGTTCCATGTGTAATCACATTATTGACGTCCTGAAATTGAAGTGTGTACCATTTGTGTTCTTTTTCTATTTGGCCTTTTCCTTTACTGTAGGACCACTTAGCCCCCTCTGATGCCTGCCATGTTTGTGCAGTCTGTATATGTGTTGGACGATATGCAAGTTTCCCTTCTGTGCCGCACACACAGAAGCTCATTGTTTATAAGTCTTTCTTGGTGAACATATGTCTGGGAAACTCCAGCTTTGGTCAGGATAAATATCAACGTGACCACTCTTTGGAACAAATCTGATTACATAGAAAATATTTTGCAATGGCCTGATGTGAGTCTTTTTTCTCTATCCATTTAGGAGACCAACAACGAGGTGGGTGTTGGCGGTACAATTGAAGATTTCGAGGTTTCGAAGAACCGTAATAATCTGGGAGAAGGGCCGCCAGTGGAGCCAGATCTGATTGGAAACACTGTGGATGGGGGGAGTTCTGCAGCCCAATTACCACAGAAGAATATCCTGGAGAGAAAAGAAGTTTTGATAGGTAAAGACCATTGTCCACTGTATTATACTCTTTCTTCTATAAATGCGAGCTTGATTAATGCCCTTTTGTCAAGTAACGCACCACAGAATCACCTTTAGATCAACAGATAACTTCACCCCGTTGCCTCCTGTATTCTTTCCCTTGCTTTACACGTGCTTTTTAGATGAACTTGTATTACCTTGTGTTCACCAAGGGCGCATTTATCATCGTAAGTGAAGGCCGCTGCTTAGAGCTTTTTGACCCACTGAGAACCAGCAATCCACTCGCTGCATTACCCAAGCAGCCCTCCCCTTTGCTTTCTGCTCCTGCTTTTTCTCATCATTCTCCCTCTGGCTTAATCCAATCCCCTTTCAAGTGGCCTGCCTCCTTGTCCCGAGGAGTTGTAGTGGAAAGTGAAGGGGCTGACCTAACTGGCTCTCTGTCTCTGCTTCAGCTATTCTGATTGGAGGACTGCTGGCTGTGGTTTTTGCTGATTTCCTGGTCATTGGTAAAGAGCAGGAGGCAACTGAACTTAGACTAGCGGGCTTGTGATAGATGTAGATTTATTTGGACGTTGTTTGTAGTGGGTATAAGCACAGCACTCCTACTCGCTGATTGCACAGTGAAAGCTCCAAAGACTTGCTATGCGGCCAAGAAACGTAGCACAAAGCATGGAAAGAAATGCCTCCGGAGCTCTGCCATCCTTGCTCTTATTTTCCTACATGCTGATAGTCCGCGCAATTAGATGATATGGTCTCTGTGAAATTGGTGCTAAGCTATGTGTGGTTGATGTAGTATGAAGTGTTGTTAGAATGATAAAGGTCAAACCACTTTGACTATGTTTGACTTTATTTAAATGACTTAGAAGTACAGTTGGCTGTGTGCATTCTCTACACACTGCATCATTGACTGCAGTGCTCAATCATCACACTTAAATGGCAAATTGGTTTGACTACATTACATTATATAAACTCCGGTATATGTCACCTCAAAGATGGATTGATGTAACTATAATTTTCTGTCTCCTGCAGCGGTGATAGTCGGAGGCGTGGTGGGGGCGCTCTTTGCTGCATTCCTGGTGATGCTTCTGGTCTACAGGATGAAGAAGAAGGACGAGGGCAGCTACACACTGGAGGAACCCAAGCAGGCCACAGTGACCTACCAGAAGCCAGACAAGCAGGAGGAGTTTTATGCATAGTGCTCGTTTCCCTTGAGGCCAGAGAGACACCCACACACGGATGGACCCTGAGCGATTTAGAGAAGGAAACTCTGCGCCCCGTCCTCCTCCTGCTGCGACCTGTCATCACCGTCCACACACTCGTGAGCGCCTTTCTCTCTGTGGACTTGGGACTTTCTTTTCAATGAAAACACAAAAGTGGACAAAAAAAGAACAAAAAAACAATATATTCTGAAAAAATCCTCCCACATAAAACACCAGATGTTTTTAAAGTAAATGTTGGTATTAATATTCAACAGATACTTGTTCTGTATGTAATGATTATTTTGTACAAAAAGGACAAAACAAAACACAAGCTCTTAACCTGTGTTTCCAGCACAAAAAGTTCCTCTTCTGTTTTTATGGAGCGAATGAACAAATGAAAGGGGTGGAGGGAATGCAGACACAAAGGTTGCAAAGAGGAGGCAGTGGTCATGCCCCTCACCCCAAACAAGAGCATCTGGTTGGCCGCACTCAGCCCCAGGTCAAAGGTTCGAGGAAAGGTCTTTTTGTGCCTTCCGTCTCTGGTGCTCAAACACACCCATACATCACACACAACCACACACTCTCACACTCACTGGTGTCTGCTCGAAGGTGGCTCCGACCTCTCGCTTTGTGCTCGGCCAACCAGAAAACAGTGCTCAGACGCTACGTGCTTCTCCATGACGAGGAGAGGCCATGGAAACACTGTATATTACAGAAAGCTGGCGACCCGTCTGCTCTTCTTAGCTGTTTAAAGACTAGTTACAGATAGTAATAATAATCAATAATATATCAGTGTCTGAGCTGGATGGTGAGTAATAAAATGAAATAATACCGTGATAATGATAAGTAAAGTGGAGGATGTGTATTTAGCTGTTTAAAAGGTTTATATGTAAATAACAACATACTTTCTGGCATTACTAATCATCTGCATGATCATTCAGAGTTTTATTCATCATATTCTCATCACGGAGCTGTTCTCTCGCACACAACACAATACACTGCTACACAACAGACATAACTGCTCTGCATTCAGACACACACGTATCAAACTTTCATTGTTGTGACGTTTTCACTTGTGAAGCAAGAAAGATCAGGTGGTTTCAGTAAGTCATTGGTATTGTAGTTAGTTTCTGGTTGGTTTAACGTTTGATCTGTTTGTGTAAAAAGCACAACTGCGCATCTGTCATCACAGCTCTGACTCCTCCCACTCTGCATGCCTCACCTTTCATCTTCTGCCATTGGCTCTGTTCAGGAAAAGGAAGGGGCCCAATTCAACATGTGTGGGACAAATGTGAGCGGGGAGTGACCCCAGGTGTTCTCATCCAGGGTCTGTTGTACAGCAATCGAATCATAACTTTGGCCTGGAAAGTTATGACCACTTGGAAGACCTTGAGTTTGAACCTGTGCTGTCGTTTGACCTGCTGTGGGCTCTTATGGGGAGGGAACAGGGAATCTGGGTTTGAAATTTTGGGAGTTGTGCTTTATCTAAGAGATTGTAACAATAACCACACCAGTACGACTGGGCTAGTAGCTTCTATTATACTCAGTACTGTAGATCAAAAATGCATGGGAGTCAAAACTATACTAGTCTGGGTGTGTGTGGATGTCAGTGTGCATTTTGTGAACTACTAAATAAACCGGGGGTGGGGTTTATTAAGTTCGAATGTACTGTGGTGGAGAGCGCGGCCACCTTTGTCCAGCAGCCGCAGCGCTCCTCCACTGAGCGGTAACACGCCTCTGCCACTGTTGTGTGTGTGAGAGCTTCACCTTGATATTTCACAGCAGACTCTTGTGTACACTGACTCGCCTGTGTTTGTTCACTGCTGAATGTGGGCCTGCCGCTCTCACACTGACTGTGTCTTCACTGTCTCGGTCTGTTCGTCTCAGCTGCGGGACGGACACACAGACGCCACGCCACTTTTTCACGGGGCTGGAATGATCTTAACATGTACTGTCTTTTCTAAAGTCAATGTATGTTTGTACTCATCTCAAAGCCTGCGTAGCCAAATAAGACAGGGGTATGAGTGAGGAAGAATGAAATGTGTGTAGCTATGCATGTGTGAGTCTGTGTGTATGTTTTGTGTCCAGCCTTATTGGCGGCACTACTGTTTGCTGTTCCCATTCCTGTTTTTATACATTTGCATTTTTTTAAGGCTGAGTTTCTGTCATTGGCTGAGTGAGCAAAGAGGGGCAGATCCTCCAAGCCACCGACATGTCACTAATCTGCCACTCTGTTCAAATAAAAAACCTCAATTGGGTAAACGTTTTCTGTGTTTATTCAAACCTGTCTATAGGTAACCAAATCCCATAAAAAAAATTTTTTTAAGAATCTGTCTACATTTGAATTAAATCTGGCTGTAATGCAAGTGGTGCACTACAAATGTTTTAGAAATGTTACTGATATATATATTATTGGGTTGATACAATAAACTTAATTTAAGATCCAATCCACAAATTATCTTGTAAATGCAATGAAAACCATGCTTTGGTTGCGGTTTCATTTCTCTCTGAAATGGTTTTAAAATTGGTGTTGCTCTGAATGATTACAGCCAAGGATACAGAATAGTCTGTTCAAAAGGAAAATTCACTTTCGTAAGACATGAAATACCTCAAATGAATGCAAGGTCTCGCACGGGCGTCATCAACACACCAACATTCGCTTGGCCTACATACCATAACTGACCCACTGACATGAACCACTACCCTATGCACCTCAATACTAATAGTGTCACAGCTATTGTGTATGAGCACGGCTATTTACACAGACTGATGGCCCTAGGAGAAAAGAAGGGAGGAGTTGTTTCTATACTTGCATCAAGGATGATTAGACCATCTACCCACTGAGATTTGTGAGCATGAGGAGGAGGGAAAGAGTTTAAAATGGACTCTAGATTTACATCCCTGGTATCGAATTGAAAGAGATCAAGGTCACAAGGAGATGCAAATACTATTATCGGATTGAAAACTGCTTCATAGTGCTTAGTGCAGAAAGCAGCTGAGATGATGTACAGTATAATATGGCTCACACATGGCCAGAGAGGATTTGTGATTTGTGAGCCTTCTTTCACATGGGAGGGGTAAGACAGTAAAAGCATTATAGCTGAGAGCAGGGTAGACAGATGCTGGCTGTGGGTGAGGGTGCAGTGTGGTCACTCAGTACCCCATCTGCTGGGAGCAACAAGAACAACTGTTCACCAAGGACACTGGTCACACACCTGGTATTTTCACAGCAGACTGGCTATTTGGCGTTGGGGATTTTTGGGAAGCATGGATAGAATTCAAAGGTGAATATTATCTCAACAGTTGTTTGGCAGATATTAATGCAAATGAAACATAGAACATTGCCTATTGAAAACACACCTTTTTGAAAAAAGAATAAACGGGATAGTATATATATATTCACTGTTTACATTTCGGCTATTATTACACATTAATTGAACTATTCCTACATAGAGAAGCACTACTACATGTGACATAACATATATTTTTTTTAATTGATTAAAAAAAGTCACCCTCCAACACAATATTTTCTTAGGGTGAGATCAATTAAAGTATGTCTTTGTAAACAGCAAGAGAGTGACCTTGGAGACAATTACACTACTTTTCAAGAGTTCCAAGGCTGTTTGTTAATTAACCTTCCTGTTATTGCTTTTTAAATAATACATTAGTAGATGTACTTTGTGTTACTAGCACAAGTGTAAAATGCGTTGTGCATCGCACAGCAAATGAATCAACAGATGTTCATGTCATTATATTCTTACATACAAGTACAATGTTCTCACATACAAGTACAATGTTCTTACATACAATTACAACGTTCACGTCAATGTGTTCCTAAATGTCCTGAACGTGCCCCCAAACCATGGACCTGTAGTCCTCGGCCGCTGATTGGCTGAAAGCTTCACGCGATAATTGTGGTGGCTCAGGGTGGCTCTCACAGACCTCAGGTAATAATCAATCAGGCCTAATAGCCTCGAGCACGGCGGCCATCCGCTCTGACCTGCGCCACTTGTGCTAATTGATTAATAGAACAAGTGTTTTGGTTTTGACCAAGGCCAAATCGAAATGGACGAAGACTGTGACGTATCTGAGGAGTTTGGTAAGAATTCTGGGTGAGAATTGTTTCATCGCGACATTACGGTGCGAAGTTGTCAGTCATGTTCCAAAACTCAGTTGGCCTACGACTTCGAAAGTTTGAACAAAGTGAGTTTATTGATGTCAAACAGCAGTCCTGTCGTTGTAAAGTACATAAAACAACGATGGCGGTGAATTTACATCTTAATTACAACGTGTTAAAAGATAGGAGCTGGGCGCTGCTTTAGCAGCAGCAGCAGCTAGCGGAACAGTCACACCTGGGCCTTGATTGGACTCTGGGTCACGTGACAGCGTTTATCAGCTGTAGTTATTGTTATTGATCCATGGCTGTAGTCCACTGGTGGAAGGAACAAAACCTGATCCAAAGGATAGTCGAAATATCACATCTACTGAAGTCAAATGTATATTTAAAAAGTGACTTTAAAAAGTAATCAAAATATAAAAGGTATAGTATAGATTAAGAAGAAATGAGAATCCTCCAATATTTCAAAGCCGAAGTGAAAGCATTTCATTACAGTATAAAGCGGTAAACGTGAACACTCTTTGGGTTGATATCAAACAATGGAATCAACCTTTACACTTATTTACAACCTTTACACTCCACATATTTACAACTTTGAGAATCCCTCAATGATAGTTTTCTACACAATATTTTGTTATCAAATTTGTAGCATTGTTGAGTGCTCTCAAATGTATAGATGAGTAAGAGTAAAACGGACTGAATTTACAATGTGGTGTTTGTTATTTAGTGCAATAGTTTAACTTCCTACCTCCTTCCCACAACCTGTGTGACTAATGAAGTGTTCGCGTCACATTGCCAGCCCATTTCTAGAGGCCTTTAGGCATTTGCTCCAAGTAATTAGTATGTTGGCAGCTTTCTAAGTGGCAAAGGATTAATTGTCACACAGCATCACAATCTGATACTTCTGATGGAATTCTTAACTAACACCAATAAATCAAACCTTTTGTTAAAACTATGAATATGTTTATTTATATTACAAAAAACACAGTTCATGTAAAATACAAAATAGTGAGGACCAAACAGAAGGAAGAAATCATTAGTATAATTTTTTTTGAATATTTATTGTAATGTGCGCTGGTGCCACACTGATTCTTGTCCCAGTGGATACAGATTCCTTCTCTTCCATTTAACTCTTGCACTGGTGTATTCTATTTCATTACATCTGTCAGGGGGGCAGTTTTCACCCGAGTTTGTTTTTTTGTTTGCAACATTGATGACATTATCCAGAAATCTCAGAAACAATGGTGACCCGGAAAACCGTCTAGATCCAATTATGGAATTGCCTCTTGGTGAAGTTCTGCAATCTACGAGTGTTTTTATGTGGTTTTTGTCTTTTATAATATGTCTGTATTTGTGTATATTAAATAATTAACTTCTGTCAAGAATTGGTTGTAGCCTTATAGTATATCTAGATTTATTTATAATACAGTAAAACCACATTCCTTTTAGCAGACTGCCCAAGTCTTTTGTGTGAAGAACATGAGGATTTGGAAACGAGGAATTGCCAACCTTTGGACAAAAAAAAAGACGAAGTACAGCTCTTCAATTACAATAACAGCAGAAAACAAACTGGGGACAATGAACAATCTGCAAACAGTGAAAATAATCAAGAAGGCCCAGAGTCACAAGCAGCTGAAGTCGAGTCTGCAGGTGGAGCAGACAAAGACAATATAAATCATGAATCTACCATTCAAAAAGTGGATGATAAAGAAACGGAGTCTTCTTTTGAAGCCGAGCCAAACCGAGGCAGAAAGAGACGGGGCAAAAAGCAACCAGAGCGTGTGAGATGTAAAAGAAAATGTAAAGCTGTTAATAACAAAGAGTCGATCAAAGAAACGGTAGCTCAGGAACCTGAGCTTCTCAGTGGATGCCCAGTGGAGCCTTCATTAGAGCCCAGTGTAGGACTGACAAACAGCAGTGAGTTGGCAGATCCCCTCTACCTGAGCGGTGGGGCATCAGGGGTTTACTGCCCCCCTATCCCAATCTCCCTGCTCTACTCTCAACCTCTGGTCCCAATCCAGCCAGCACCCCCTGCGCTCCAGGCCACACACCACCCCTATCTGCACAGTGTGCCACAAACAAACTCCCAGCCTCTGGAGGTCAGAGTCTCTCAGCATTATGCTCAGAACAGTTATTAGTTATTTGTAAATGTCTGAACTTATCATGACAGATGGAGATAACTCAAGTCTATTCAACAAGACGCTCAGTACGATACAGCACGAGGGAGCGTGGACAACCCCTTGGATATACAGTGATGCCAGGATTAGAAAACATGGACAACTGCCTCCTGCCTCCTGCACCAAAGAAGAAGACTCGCACACTCTACACTACAGGTAAGTGTGCAACAAACCATGCATTTGTGTAGATTCATTGTGTGTGTTTGTCATTTCAGATCAGCTGGAGCACTTGGAGTCCCTGTTTGAAGAGGACCATTACCCCGACGGGGAGAAGAGGAAAGCCATTGCTGTTTCTGTTGGGGTCACACCACAGAGAATCATGGTGAGGAACAGACACATCTAGAAGGCAGTTGGGAAGTAATTATGAATATTCACAATGCAGATTTCATGGGGTATTTAATTTTTTTAGCAGATTTTTAAACATGTAGATAATTTTGTTTTTGTTATATACATTTCATAAAACCTTTTGAGTTTGTGTCTACAGAATCCTAATCTTTTGCAGATGTGTCATCTCAAGCCCCGTCCACACATATCTGCTAAATATATAAAAAAAAACTGCAGGCAAAGTGGAGATTTTTGAAAACTCTCCACAGAATCGTGTAGATAGAGATAACCGGAGTTTTGCGTTTTCACACATCACAGTATGCCCCCAAAACAACAACAAACAAAACATGCGACCTCTGATCACTGAAGCATGGATCTTACTGCCTTAAAAACTGTTCACTGCTGCTGCGGGCTGATCCTTGCTCCACATCAGAGAGCAGCAAAGTGATCACGGCATATTTACAGAAATGTTCATTAATATGCACTGTCCCAGTAATAAATAAATAATAATAAATAACGGGGACTCACGCTTGAAAACAACCAAAACAGGACCTAAACCAGGACTAAACCAGGGCTGAGGACGGGGGTCAGTGCTTGTGAACATATGTCTTTACCCTGAGTTTCTTCTGTGACTGTAAAAGTGCTGCTACAGAAGTATCGGCATCAGCATCAAGGCTCTGCCCACTTCTGTGTTTTTCCCCAACGCAGGACAGGACGTCACAGGACGCACATGTTTGGAATGTTATGACTGTGATTGAAAACGCAGATATTCGGTTATGTGTGGATGCAAAATATTTTATAAAGGGAGGGGTAAGCCGGGTAAAAATACCCGGCTACGCGTGGACATGGCCTCAATATCTGTTCCTCTCTAAAACACACTGAACTGTGATGTTCATTGAGTACACATTTTCAGTACTCTTCCACAACTGCAAACATCCCATATTAGGATTATAAAATATATTTATGAATGGATTCAGCTCAGGTATTTGACATAGTAAAACAAGGCTATGATCCTTTGAACCACTCTGATTTGACAATTACTCTTTTTTTTTTCCAAAATAAATTGTAATACGTCCTTTTTATTCAGTCCTTCATATTCTACAGTTTTGTTTATTTTTTGCCCAGGTTTGGTTTCAGAACCGCAGAGCAAAGTGGAGGAAAGCAGAGCGTTCAATCAGTGCAAAGACGGAGCAGAAGGAGAGTGGCACTGCACCTGTCAGGAGCCCCACACACACCCACACAAACCCTCCACTGCCCACTGTGCCCCTCAACAAGTCAGTGCTCTCTGTTATGTGCTGCATCCAAATTCACAAAAAAATACCTTTTTCCATATTCTTCTTTGTCCTTTTAAAATCGACCTTTTATGAGCTGGAGACAACTTTTCTGTTTGGTCAATTTGAATACCATATTTTTAAGACTAAGAAAAAAGCCTTCTTATTTTGGTAGAATTTAATGGCTCTAGGGTCAATATAAAGGAGATTGAAGGACAAGTAAGGATACCCTCTGTAGGTATTATATATGACTTTGGGTGATGTTATAATTTCACCTGGTCCACCTGATCTTACCTATGCCCCTCCCTCTCTGCAGACCACCACCATTTTCTGTTCACTTTGCCCCAAAACACTCTCAGATTGCAGCCACAGCATCCTTCCCTCCTTTGTACAGCAACGTGTCATCCAGTCCAGGTAAAACACACAACATTTGTGCATTCACTACGCATTGCTCCTCATGGTTAGGCGCATACACAAGCTCAATATTCTGAATATCTTTTGGATGGGAGCATATTGATCCCATTTCACTCTACTTAATACTTTGGACCGTTTCTTTAAATCTGGAGTGCCTAGCCTTCCCTGAGAAATAATCTATATTTTTATCCCAACAGAAAGTAACATTTTGTGAAAAAAATCAGACTACTACATGCTCTCTTCAACTCATTAGAGAACTTATGTCTTTTGCGTACTTGTAGGAAAGAGCCCTATGAGACTCATTTAAGATTGGGGCAGAGAGCTGGTCCTCTGTTCCCTTTTCTCTCGTGTGGAAACTAGCAATAGACCTATAAACTGTTTCAAGTGTGAACTTCTCAGATAGATTTAATTCATTATTACATATTGAATTCTTTTAGTTAGGTAGCCCGGCTTTAAGATTCTGTCACAACAGATCCATTGCCTCACGTAAGTTGAAATCCTAAAACAAGGCATTTGATATTTTATCTGTGCTAATCTGCAGGTCAGTACAGAGTTGGAGATGGAGACCAACAGCAGCTTTCATCTCAGAGGGGGTTAGTGGAGTACCACCCACGCCCAATGCACAGTCCCCCTCCTGTTCGCCGGGCCAGTCTGCCTCTGTACGCCACAGCCTACGCCACTGTTAACCCCCCACTCCTGAGCACGCTGGCTCACACCCCACCTCTGTTTGTGGATGCTCTGGAGGCAGGATCCTCCCTCACACACCATGACACCCAGCCTCTGCAGAGTGACACCAGGTCAGACTCACTCGCCAGGGACTGTGACTGGAATACTTCATCTGGACAGAGACCAGGAGAAGGAGCTTTGACAGGAGACAGACAGCAGAGACTGGTCCTGTGAGATACTCATGATGATGGCTCTGTCAGTGTTTTGTAGGCACTTTTAGCATTCGGAACATGCACAGACAGATTGAGAGCAGCAATTATTATATCATTTTTGAAATATTACATCACAGTTAGCAACCGACTCTGATACTTTGTCAAGTAGATTTAGTCATTATATAAAAGCTTTGGAAAATGTTGTATTTTATGTATGGTATGTTTTTGTTATTGATTTGTTTATTTATCATTGACTCTTCAAAGTGACAATTGACACATTTCTCTTTGCTTCACCAATAGTTCTCTGTTTGATTTTGGGGAGAAACTGGATTACCTTAGCTCATCGCAGCAGAGCAACCTCCTCTACCAACTGCAGACATCCTATCCCAGTGCCCAGCCACTGCCCCGGGTGTCCTACCTCACCCCCTCCCCTTACCTTACCCCAAACCCCACAGACTCTAACCCCACTTCCTACCTGACCTTTGGCCCGGGCGCTGGCTCCACTGGTGTAGTGACCTACTCCACTGGACGTCACGCCTTCTTCCAGACACAAAGTACAGGACAAGTGCTACTACAGTCCACTGGCCCTCACGGTGAGCTCACGTAAAGCACACATTTAATTAAAGTATCATAACATCAATGTGTTCACATAAGTATGATTACCTTTTTCTGACACTTACATTGACATGATTTAAAAGCCGTGTTTACATTGGGGTCGACTGTCGGCTTTGGGATCAGCTAATTACGACAGTGGAGATGAGTCTCCACTGTCGTAATTAGCTGATTAGCTGTTCCAAAGCAGGTTTATGGAAACGTACATTTACAATCTGTGTCTTTTTCCAGGTGCAATTACTACTTATCAGTCGTACCCCTGGGGCAACATGTACAGCCAGCCCTCTCTGCACCAGCGGCCTCAATGTCCTCCATCGTACCCCAGTGTTGTGGATGCTTCGCGGGACCTGCAGCTGCCCCCCACTAGCAGTGGCCCACCCTCAGTGCTGTTCAGAGAACAGCGGCCGTCACACTCACTCACACAGACCCTCCAGAGCAGCACTGCTCTTCCGCCTGTGTCCACACTCAAACCCTCCCGGCTCAGAGTGGAGACCACTCCAACTAAATCTGCTCCTCTGCTGCCTGCTCAGGTCAGCTCAACCTCTACACAAAGCTCTCCAGTGCCCCCGTGTGTCAAGTTAGAGTATGACAGTCCTCACGAAATCCACAGCCACTTCCATTGTGACTTTTCTCAAATTCATTTCTGATTATATGTGTGAGTTTAACATACATTGTTTGTGTAAAAAGAATGTTTTCTGGAATAGTATAATAGTATAATTATTATAATTTCTTATGTTTGCCAGCTTGACGAAAATATTAATGTCATAATGTGTAGCTGGCCTTTAATAAACATATAATACTTTGTGGACATCCATACCTATTTTTGTCCTGTTTGAACTTGGTTGTCGTTTGCTATATCTGACAGTAGAGGGCACTGTAAACTCTTCTGAATTCCCCATGAGATAAATGACTGCTGGTTTCCTGGACATCCGTCCATCATAGCCAGAAGGGGGATATGGGCAGGCGCTAATCCGATGAAAACTAATACAGACACTTGTTATCACAGTGGAAGTGTCTCATTTGCGAGGACAAGACACAGCCTAAATCCTAATCTTTATGGCCATCTGCTGTTCACACACAGTGCACCCTCCGCTCTGTTCATCACATCACCATCAAGCGCTCAAGGCAGTTAGTCTATAAATAACGTTTTAGATTTTGGTGTCATTCTGAACTTGGTTTTAGCTGAGTTGTCCCAGGACATGAAGTGGAGTCGTGATGTGCTGTTGTTATGGGACACGGCGATGGATATGACGGGTGGGAAAAGAGAGGGGGGGGTGTAGCTGGGATGAAGGGGGAGTGTGTTTGTGGCACCATGAGAACGACTGCTTATGTAACGGCTCTATTTGGGTTTTTAATGAACTTCTCTCTTCTGCTCATTGGCTCTTGAGCTGTTTCTGTTGGCAGGACCTGTGTAGTGTAAATACAAGCTCTGAATGCGCAGACATATTTGAAACTGGCTATAAAGAAATGCACCCTACTGCAGAAGACTGGATGGAAGTCTAATTAAATGAAGGGCATGATTGGACTGATATGACGTGGCCTTGTTAACAGAGGCATCACCATGTCTGAATGGTGTGAGTGACCAAACACATGTCATGTACTTTGCAGTCAGTCATTATTTTTCCAGGCCTGTCCTGTGAACACAGCGGTACAGAGTACTTTCTAAGACCCTGAAGGGATGTAATGCTCTGGTCCCACTCGTCCAATATTTACCCAGTATTCTGAGATTTGAAGAAGGGAAACTTGTTATTGAACTTTCATGATGTACTCTTAACGCCGTCCCAAACCCGATGTGTGCACACGACAGTTGCATTGATCTAAGGAGGGTTATGTGATTTGTTTCTGAAGAAGTCAGATCATCCTGTCCTAACCCTACCTCAAAACCATTGATAAAATAACACATTACAAAAACAGCTTGTTTTTGTAATGTGTTATTTTATCAGTTTGTTTACAACATGAGTTAAAACTACAGGACTAAGAAGGACAGATAATATTTGAGTTGAAATGACATTTCAGAGGCGTAAAATGCTCGGATTGAGTCCAGTTTATAGTTGTTTGCTCTCGGGTTCTGGCACAGCTGTTGTGGCAGAGGATTCTATATTCATGTGCCTCTCAGTAAATACACTATATTTTGAATATGACTTGAAATATCTATGTGGCTGTTGTGGCCCTTACTGTTAAATGTATCATTCTTATTTCCAGAGTGTGTGGACTAGATTTTATTTTTTCGGTTGAATATCAACATCTCTAGGTTATTTAGTTACGGCGTGTCTGTAAATTAAAACTAAGTTTTGAGGTTTTTCTCTTGTGCTTGAATCCCATCTTGTTTTTATGATATTGAAATATGCAAAGCATCTTCCAGTTATGAAATTGTTTCCAGTGGAGACGAGTATCCATCCCATGTTTATGTTTCTCGGGCTGCTCGGTAGACATGTTACAGTTTTCTGTGGTTTGTGTAAAACATATTTACACAAATCTGTGTGTGTTGTCATGTGCCATGCACCAAAGGTCCATCTCCCCAAGCCGTGCGCTGTCCAGGAATAACAGCTGAATGCTTCATGTGCGAGTCCATCTCACATGTGCTGTGTTGACTTTGCCACATGTCCTTTTCAGTTGAGACTGAAGACTGTCTTGTTTGTTACAGTGCGGCCACACTCTAACTGCTCTTTTCCTACCGAATGCCTCTGAATTGCGGCTTGTTTGCTGGTGTGTGATGGAGGTGTGTGAGGGGTCCAGAGGAATGCGGGTGGGGCTGGGCAGAGGGATGCAGAGAGGAAAAGAGCACCTCTGTTTTGGAAGGACATGGATTCTGAAGATTGTGTGTACGTGCGTAGAAAAAGGTGACTTTTCTCTTTGTGTTTACACTGCGGGGGCTTCCGCCGACCTGACAGATCTGATGAGGCTATGGTTACATCTCTTTGAGGACCCCAATACATTCAGTCATTGCATTTTTAGCAACAGTTTTTAACAATCATGGGGAAGAGGAGTGATGGAAACAATGTTTTACTTATTTTAACTGAGTAAAATCAAGCTAAGACAACCCATTTGAACTAAGAGAATCAGCTCACAGTACGTGTGTGTCTGCGTATGCAGAATATCCCAGAATGCAGAGTATCAGAACACTGAGGGCTGTGTTTGGTAACTCTGTTACTTCCGCACCATAAATGTGTGTTTGCTGTATGAGGGAACAGGGAGAAAAGAGGAATTCATATTGGTGTTTATTTGAGCTTTGGCCAAATCCAACTTGGGGCGACTGCAGCAGTGCAGAAACCCCAGCTGCTCCTGTACCTCCAGATACACTGTAAGGGCCTGGGCACATGTAACCTGCCCATATCAAGGTGTTTGTGTTTCCCTGCCCACTGTAAGGTCCTCCCAAAACAGGTATTTCCCCTCTTTGCCCACACACACATGCACACACGTGCACACACACACACACACCGGGGTACACAGGGGGCGTCTGAGGGCTGACTGTAAAGAAGCTGCATTGATAACCTGCAGCGCACAGTGGCTCAGTCTCACTCTGTAGCAGTGCCCATCACAGCCACTGCCTTCGCTCTCCTCCAGAGCTTTCGTTCAGCCACCGCCATCATGACTGTGACTCCGCTCCTGATGCTGCTGCTGGGCCTTATGGGTGCACAGGCTATGGACCAGCGCACAGCTGCAGCTATGGGTAAGTGCTGGGGCTTTATCCTGCAAACAAAGTAGTCCTCTATATAGTTTTTGTATTTGTCCTTTGGAATCCATTTTAACTAACATCGAGTCTTAAACACTTCAGTCATACGATATCAAATTATTTGATATCGTATGACTCTTGACCTGACCATTCCCCTGTTTTCTGTGAATTAATAAAACATGCCTTTTCTATGGAAAACATGGGTTGTGACATTAATTTCTCTTTGAAAATGAATTTGGCATCTTTTTTCATAATAATTTTGTTATTGTTATTTATCGTGACCCTGGGCATTTGTGCTTCTTGTTCTGTATCCTCAACTTGTATCACTCATAAGTGCATTTTACATGCCACGCTCTCCCTGCTTTTTCCCGTACCTCAGATTTGTGCATTCATAGAGGGATTTTTTTCTGTTAAAATTCAGCTGCGGGTTTGTGTAAGACGCGGCCCACAGACCTAGTCTTCATCATTGACAGCAGCAGAAGTGTTCGTCCATCAGAGTTTGAACAAGTGAAGGTTTTTCTGGCCAAGGTCATTGAGGGTCTGGATGTGGGACCTAACGCCACAAGAGTTGGAGTTGTCAACTATGCCAGCCGTGTGAAGAACGAGGTACAAGGGATAGCACCACTTTAGGGGGAGTTGAAAGAATTTGTGTGGGACTCAAGCTCTGTTGTTTCTTTAGGTGTCCTTGAAGACACACAAGACCAAAGCTGGTCTTGTTAAGGCTGTGACCAAGATCGAACCCCTGTCCACAGGAACAATGACTGGCCTCGCCATCCAGTTTTCACTAAATGTTGCCTTTAGTGAAGCTGAGGGAGCTCGTAAATCCAATGAGATCAGCAAGGTCAGAGATTTCCTGAATCTTGTTTGCGTGAAAGTGGTTCTTTCATTCATAGCTCTAATCTGCCAACAGGTCGCCATCATTGTCACTGATGGACGTCCTCAGGACAATGTCAAAGACGTGGCTCAGCGCGCTCGTGATGCGGGCATAGAGATCTTTGCCATCGGAGTGGGCCGTGTGGACATGAGCACACTTAAGCAGATGGCCAGTGACCCCCTGGATGACCATGTGGACTATGTCGAGAGCTACAGTGTTATTGAGAAACTCACCAAAAAGTTCCAGGAGGCCTTCTGTGGTAAGACCAGGTTATTGGAGGAAGGCGGGAGGAAGGGGAAGGGGGAGGGAGAGAGGGATGTACATTAAAAGAGCCTTGTGAAGAGCAGCCTTTTCTTAGAGAAAAGAGTCACAGCATTCTGTATCCAAGTTGTCCCCACCATCCCCCCGAGTCGTCCTGTCTAGTTGTAGTTTCAGACTATCTACAACATCCCCAGAGGATATTTGAGTTGTAGCAAATAGGTTCTTTATTCATTAGTTTCTCCTTTTAGATCTATGAGGTGAAACTGATTTTTCTGTAATTACCAAATCCAAGTGATTTATTAATCCTCTAATTGGATGTGCCCTCTGGCGCTCTGAGGCAGTGGCTTTAATGCTGCCTGCCACTCACTCTGCAGTCGAGCTGCAGATGATTGGTCCAAGGGCACTGCTGCATGTTGGAGGAACCTGTGCTCACGCTCACAGTAGAAGTCTTCAACTACACTGTTTAGTACATACAAGGCTTTTCTTTTTTTCTTTTTTCATAATCAGTTGTTTTAACGATCCACTGTTTTACTGCACAATTTTGTTTATTTTTGTAATATAAAGTAATATAATTGAGTTATAGCAGATCACAGTGGATCATTAAAGTCTTTGCTTCATACTGATATAGTTTTATTTTCTTTCCCTAACCTAAAACACCACATCCTGTTGGTTATGTGTGGCACCTCCACATGTTGGTGTGTGCTCTGCATGCACACATAAACAGTGTCGGACCTGTGTGCCACTGGGGACCATGACTGTGAGCAGGTATGCATCAGCACCCCAGGATCTTTCAAGTGTGCCTGCAAAGATGGCTTTACCCTGATGGACGATGGGCGCAGCTGCAGTGGTGAGTGCGCCTGTGCTGCTGTGAATGATGGGGTTTGTTTCACTAGTGACATGTGCATGACCATAATGTCATATTCATGTGCTCCATGTCATTTGTGTCTGCAGCCTGCAGTAACGCAGCAACAGACGTGGTCTTCCTGATTGATGGCTCTAAGAGTGTCCGTCCTGAGAACTTTGAACTGGTGAAAAAATGGATAAATCAGATCATTGATAAACTCGATGTTTCTGACACCAAGGCTCATGTGGGACTGGTGCAATATTCCAGCGCTGTTAAACAGGTGTGTGCCTGTGACATAAAGATCTATAATAATTACATGTTCTTTGTTAACCACTTTCCTCTCTGCAGGAGTTTCCCCTGGGACGCCACAACAATAAGAAGGACTTGAAAGATGCTGTGAAGAAGATGGCATATATGGAGAGGGGAACCATGACTGGACAGGCCCTGCGCTTCCTGACTGACAGCAGCTTCAGCTTCATGCAGGGGGCCCGACCCGGGGTCACCAAGGTGGGCATTGTGTTCACTGACGGACGCAGCCAGGACTACATTGGAGATGCTGCCAAGAAAGCCAAAGAACTTGGTATGAGATGAGAGATTTTATAAAATTTTTGTCAAACACTCTTATGAACTCGTGTTACTTGTAGGTATCAAGATGTACGCTGTCGGAGTGGGAAATGCTGTGGAAGATGAACTCAAGGAAATTGCCTCTGTACCAACTGGAGAACATTATTTCTACACTGCTGATTTTAAAACAATGACTCAGATTGGCAAAAAGTTGCAGATCAACATTTGTCAAGGTCTCAATGATGCTATGAACATAACCATCTATTTTTCACATGTAGGGATACAGTTTTGATTTATGTTTTGTTGTTAAAACAGAAGAAGACCCTTGTGAATGTGACTCTCTTGTAAAGTTTCAGAAGAAAGTAGAAGATGCTCTACAGGCCCTGACGAAAAAATATATCCTTTACTACACAATAATTCATGGCAACATAGTGTGTGAAAGGTTATTCTTGGTCTTGATTGTGGTTTTCCTTGACTAACGTCTCACTAGAGAGTATGTCAAAGAGGATCGCTCTGCTGGAGAACAAGATCGTCTGAGGCTTCACATCTCCCTTTCTCTTTGTAATATATTGAATTGAGCCTGTTTGTCTGTACGCCCTGACCTCTTCTATAGCTCGAGCTCTCCCACTTCTGTGATACCACCTCCTCAAGCCTCGCTCCAGAGACGCACAGAGCCCGGTCGTCATGGGCACCACACCTTATTGCCGGTGTGTGTACTCCGAAGGTCATCCACCTCAGTCAGGCTGTGTCTTTGTTAATAAAAGTCTTCCCTCATAGGGAAACGGTGATGGTACACTAAAGAGGTTTGCTGTACTTACTGCCTGTATTAACTGAATTGTTTACTTGTCTTACATATATTAGTGTCTATTTTTTCATTATCTAATACCATGATTCGCTACTCATCGAAATGTGTACTTCTGTCGCCTCACTCTTAATCACCAAAGCTTTTATTTAAAGGGACCCAATCTACAAAGTACCTTCTATGTTTTTACATAGCCTACTGTTATAACCTCACAAACTCTTTACAAACCATACATTATTTGTATCATTAAAAGATTGGATCATTATTATAATGCAATGCATGTTCCCATAAGTTGTGAAATTGTCTACGTAATACTAATCGTGAAACGGTCATGTTAAGTATGTAGCCTATTTTACATCATAGCCTATTTTACATCATAAAAACCATTTAGTCGAGGAGTAGGAGTATTGGCTAATATGATGATTTGCATACGCATTAAAAAAATGATTATTTTCGTACGTACACAAACATCAAGTTCAATTTAAAAAAAATATTTAAATATATTTTTTTTAACTTCGAGGATAGTTTCTCCAGACATTTTTTTCTCTATTTAAATGAGAGCTTACGTCACGCTGACGTCGCATCAGAAGACGTGCATCTGTTTGAATGGAGGAGCGCATAGGTCTAGTTTCTACTTTTAAGGCATTTAAGCTTCTATTTGGACCACACCGCAACACTCGGTTCCCGTTTCACGCGTTGGTGCGGGAGTCCCGTGAGTGAACCACAGAGAGGCTACAGCTCCGAGCTAACAGTGAGCTCCGGGGACAGGAGCCGTGGACACCGGGGACACTGGAGCTTTGTCGGCCTGTGGAGACCTGAAGCGGGTGACAGCGCAGAGAACCGGCCTCACATCAGATCGGATTTATTTAGCTGTAAATGAAAGCTCTCTCTGATGCTTAAACTTAAACTGAGACATAGATAATACTTGAGCTAACAGCGCTAGCCCTGAGGTGTTTTGCTCTGATAAACAAGCGGGTTTAAAGTCCCAGGACGGAGCCTGGAGCAGGATCATGGCCAGTGAGACCGCAGCCGGCCTCTCTCTTCAGTCTAACGGGGACAGGGCTCAGGGACACGACTCTCCCCCTCGACACAAGCCTCGATACCAGTCGGATTCTGAGGCAGACCTAGTTCCGACCGCGAAGAGCTTATCTCGACTCTGCAGCAGGGACGAAGAGGAGCGGACTACGGCCATGGAGCAGCTATCCGACACTGTCCACCTCTGTTTGGGGTTGGATCGCCCCGGACCCACCAAACTCAGCCAGAAAACGCTCCTGCATCTGCTCCGATTATCACGGTCATGTCCCCTGCGTGAGGTCCGTGAGAAGACCACAGAGCTGCTCCAGTCTGCGCAGGTAAGACACTTGATTCATTTAGAAAGGGGGCAAAGTGTCCATAAACTACAATACAAAAGTGAGTTGAATAGATTTTTAAGCCTATTGTATTTATGTCGCTGCTATAATTTTGGTCCGGACAAACTCCTTATAAATCATGATTTAGCTTGTTACTGTGTATTTCATCAGACATTTGTACTGTATCGTTAACATAAGGTGACGCAAGACCTGCTGTGTGCAAAAACAAGCTAGACACGCCCCCTCCTGGTGCACAGACAAATACTCAGAGCGGATCATATCACTCGCACTGAGGAAGTTGCAGTTACTACTAAAGACGCATATTAACATTTATCTTTGATTCGTGATGTAACAACAGCCTTAGGACTTTCACGGCTCCTGTGCCTATAATGTCGGTGAGTTTAACTTTTGTTATTGAGTTTCTTAGTTATGAAACTGACTTCTCCTATTACTGTGGGTTGGAGCTTTGCAGTCAAGTTTAATGGCCTTAGAGCTGTCTGCAAATCTATTTTAAACAATCTAATAAATTACCGTCACAAAAGACTTGCCCTAGCAATGTCTTTCCCCAGACATTTTAAACGGGTACAGCTTTTATTGATGTTTCAATGCAAAAATATGAGAAAATGCATGTTTGATTTGATGAGATGATCTTTTTTACATATGAAATTGATTTTTGTTTAGTAAGTCTCTTATTTTGAAACCAGGACCAAGGTGTAGAAGTACCTCGTGCGTTGGCTTCAGGTCCCAGTGCCTTCATACCGGCAAAACAAGTGAGTTCACAAAGCTCTCTCTGTGATCATGCTATCATAACAATCAGCTGACATTCTTGCCTGAAGTTTAATATCTGCTACAACATAAATGACAATTCTTTAATTATTTTGACTTTCCCTTACTTTTCTGCTTTGGCTGTTTTATCATCTGACATTCAACCTTTGACCTTCCATAGATCTTGCAAGAGGGACTCGATCAGGACATCCTTATTGAATCTTTCCTTTCACTGGGTCGGGTTGACCACATCACAATGGTCATGGCTTTTCACCCAGCCTACCTCAGCTGCTTCCTGAGAACACAGCATGCTCTGTTGGAGATAGATGGGCCTTTGCCGCGTCACTGGAGACATTACCTTGCTGTTATGGTGAGGAAAATACTGTGATTTACAATCTGAACGGAACATAATGCCAACAACAAAGTTCAGAACATGCACGGCTTTTATCATGTCAGATAAAATGAATTGAGATTAGGCGTTTATTTTGTTTTCTTTTAAAAGTCTGAATAAGCATTGTTGTTCTGAATGTTTACGATAATATGCGAGTCTAGAACCACCTATGTGCCTATTTTAAAACCTTGCATACATTGTTCATAGCGTCTGAAAACTCATTTAACACAGTTCTTCTGCTTATGTACAGGCTGCAGCACGGCACCATTGCTCATATTTGGTCCAACAGCACAGCGCGAGTTTCCTAGAGGTGGGAGGCGAGGAGAGCTGGCTCAGTGGCTTGGAGCAGGCTCCGATCAAACTGCGCAGCCTTCAGACTCTCAACAAACTGATGGCACACAGACCATGGCTCATCACACAGCAGCACATCCAGGTCAGACACACATACGCCAAGACTCACTGTGGACTTCTGTTAGTGCTGTCAAATGAAGCCCGGATTTCTGCTCTCATAAACCAACCAAGCAAAACATGTACTGACACCAATTAATGCAACTGATGCCCAATGTCTTGTAAGGATTCTGGCTTCAAACCCGATGCCTCTGTTAGCTGAATTATATAAACATGTTCTGACCTTTTTAATGAATTATAATACTAAAAATGAAGCTCATATTTTTGTCTTTAGGCGCTGGTGTGTCCTGGGGCAGATCCTCGCTGGTCTTTGGCTGAGCTCATACATGGCATCGTGGTATTGGCACACGCTCATTCACTTTGCTCGTTTGTGTGGGGCTGTGGCCTGAATCCGGAGTCAGACCATGTTGGAGGCTTCACCTTCCAGCCCTCGTCTCCCTCTCAGGTCCCACGAAGTCCTCATAGTCCTGCTCATGAGGATGGCAGGCAAGAGGTCAGTCTGCTCTACATACAAAAATATTTCACCATTCATTAGGCATTTGCAAACTGCCCACACAGAGAATCTGAGTGCAGCTATTTTTACTGTAGTCCACAATGACATGATACTTTCGATTTCTGTTTCGCAATGGTTGTGGCCTCTACTTCTCTGTAGAACACGCTCTTTTTTGCGATTTGGATCATATGCGATGCTGAACCACTTGTCAGCTTGACGAAGCTTTGATGAAGGCAGTTTCATTTTCAAATGCTTGACTGGTTCATTTGACCAAAGGAGACCTGGACACCAAAACATTCTCAAACATTTTCTCATACCTGTTGTTCCAGTTTTGTAGAATCTATGTTATGGTTAAAGAGAAATGTGTGTGTGCTCTTGTTGAGTAGCTGGTGGATGGTGCAATGGAGGTGGAGGTGCTGATGAAGAGGATGGTGGAGTTACAGCAGCAGGAGGAAGAGTACTCTCAGGAGGAGATCATCACACGCTTTGAGAGGGAGAGGAGTGAAAGCATTCCCACTGGTACATATACATGCTTTTTATCCAAGCATTGTCCTTGTCATATCTTTATGTACATTGTGTATTTTCTGGTTCCCAGCTGTGGTCCGTGGAGCTCCTCCTGACCTGGTGCGGTGCCTGGTGGAGGATCCAGAGTTCAAATATGAGGACTTTGCTCCCAGAGGAGAACAGTCTCCTACCACCATGAGAGCACAGGTACAGCACAAACTCCAAATGGATAATGATCTAAGAAACACACCACCACTTCACATTTATCATCCTTGTGTGCAAACAGATTTGTTGTGCACAGTCTGTTATAGATCATTGTGAACATTTGTGCACAGTGTATGCCTGAAGAGGTGGGAATCCTGTCTGCACAAAACTAATGACAAATACTTTTGACCACTTTAAACTTGTCCTGTGGCCTCATGTGGCCTTTTATAACATGTTTCAAGAGCCAAATATAAGCAATACGTGGGAAAGTAGGCCTCTATACATTATTTATGCTATTTACTGTTCCTCACTTTGATAAGATTACTGCGTTTATTTATTTTGTACATAACTTGCGGTGATCTGGGTTGAGATCAAACAGCAGCAGCATATTGCAGACTCTCCCATGGCTCAGGTCCTGTTTATTCTGCAGTGAAAGGAGTGTGGTATTATAAAGAACTAGTCCAGAAAATTTCAGAAAGTTCAGATCAACTGTCGAGTGACTTTCTGTATGTTTGAACCAGCCGTGGTGAAAGTCTATCCAGGGTTCTGTCTCCTCTTGTGCCTGGTTCTGAAGTGGAACATAGTGTTCAGGCAGCAGAGCGGACATGTGCTGTCCCTTCCTCACGGCCGCCTCCTCAGACTTGCGGCCGTGTGGTGCTCCAGACCGGTTCTACATGACCCACGTTCTGATCACCTCATCCTCAACGAGCCTGTTTAGCACCGTCAGGCCCCTCCCCCTGTGAACCTATGGCTCTATATGAATGTTTGAAGTGGCCTCAGTTATATAATCTCAAGTACATGAGATTATTAGAAAACAGTCCATTTTAAGATAGTATTTTAAACACCAATAATAATAGGCTATTGTTGTATTTATAATATATTGATTTTTAGGCTACATTACATTCACATGATATCATGTTCTTGATTTTCCCACTCTAATAGGAAAGAACAAGATAATTCCCTCTTTTAGGCATTTCTTTATGGTTTTCTGCTCAGATTTGGCTTCCTTTGGCTTCATTATTCCATCTGTCTGCCATACGTCCCGTGGGAGAGGCCTGGTTAAACATGCATATATTGGACCGTTTTATGTTTCCATCCGTCGCATTCATGAAAGAACAGACGAGTACACACGTTTCATAAATCCAGTGCGCCCTCTGGTGTATACCCACAATACTCCCAAAATAAACACTCTTCTCTGCCTGTTTATAAATCAGGGCCAGTGTGCATACAGCCTTCAGTCGACCTTCTGCTGAGCCAACTAATCTGTGCACTTCACTGTGTGTGTGTTCATGAAGGACTACTCCTGGGAGGACCATGGCTATTCTCTGGTCAACAGACTTCTGCCTGACATGGGACAGCTTTTGGACGAGAAGTTTCAGGTATGCCACACATTGATTTGGGTTCCTGACACAATACGTGCGTTTATTTGGACAGTAAAATGTTTTAAATGTGACTCAGGTTGTTAGTAACATGACTTATCACCGGATGGCGATGCACGAAGGTGTTGATACGCACACTCTGAGGAAGGCTTTGTGGAATTACATCCATTGTCTTTATGGAATTCGGTCAGTGTCAACACTATTGACTATCATCACTTAGTTTCCTCATCTAAACCTGTGCTCACGTTTGTACAGATACGATGACTACGATTATGGCAGTGTCAACGTCTTGTTGGAGCGCTCTCTCAAAGTGTTTGTGAAGACTATGGCCTGTCACCCGGAGCAGACCACGGCACGCATTTACCACGACTTCTGGATACTCTTCAGACACTCTGAGAAGGTGTGTTTCTTTGGCCATGCTTTTGGGCAGACTGAAAAGGTTTCTGCAGAGACTTCATGTGTGCCATCTTTTTACAGGTTCATGCTAACCTCATCGTGATGGAGGCGAGGCTCCAGGCCGTTCTGCTGTACACATTACGAGCCATAACACATTACATGAGATGACGCATTCACAGAAACGTCTGAAATACAAAAGACAACTGCAACGTTGCAATTTCTGAGCCCGCCGAGATGAGACGGCACAAAAGTCGATTCATGTTTTGCACAAGTGTAACGCACTACGGTGACTGTTTGTATTTGCATATGCTATTTTGTTCAGTGTTTAATTATTGATGCTGCTTTGCGACAAGGATAATGTGTTACTAATATTGCACTGAAGTTATATTTAGTTTTGACTATTCAAATCTAATGTTTCATTTATTGAATCTTTCATATCATCAAACATATCTGAACCACAAACATATTGGTAATTTGTTCAATAACCAACACTGTAGTTTTAGTTATTTATGGGACTACCCTGTTTAGATCTGTCAGCTGCTGTACAACATCAGACTCCTCATGCCTCAACATCTGCACACAGAAAAAGTATTACCTTGTATTTTTCTACACAATAAAGTTACTTTGATAAAACATGATGTATTATTACTATTACTTAACTTATTAATCCATCATGAAATGTTCATGCCCTAATTTGTATTAATATTGGCATGAAGGTGCCTGCAGTTACACCCGGCCGCCACTAGACGTAGACAAAGACTAGAAGTTTTGCACTTCAAGATCTCTGGAGATTTATTGCTTTAATTATTAGTTTCTGTCACCGTTTTAAGGTCCCCGATGGTTGCTAAGCTCGTGTCTTGTGTAATCATATTTTATTTTGTCATCCCGTTTTTACACGTTCGTGTATAAGTGAAGCAACTTTCGTTATGACAAAAGTCGCTCAAATAAATTGATTAAAAAAAACAATTGTAATCGATGAGACCTTTACACGGGATGAAGTCAGTGCTGCTGCAAATGTTTGAGGTAAATCACTGAACGTTCATGTTCCTTCATGAGAAGTTTACTGTTGACTCTGTGAGCGCGCTCCCGGGGGGCGGTCCCGCGCATCTAGGGGTCCGGATCACACGCACACGTCCCTCACACCTCTGGGCCTCAGGTTCAGGTCTGGCTCTGGAGCTCACAACTGCGTTCAGCCTGATTCATACTTTTGGTAAGGCTTCTTTTATTTGTTACATTAGTGTTAACGCCCTTTAGTGGACTACTCCAAATCTAAGTATCAGCTTAGACTTAGAAGAAATGTAACAAAAACAAGAGCGTTAGTAAATTCAACTAATACAACAGTGAATGAGATTGTATCAACAAGTACCCAAGTAATTGTATTGTCTCATTGTAGATACAGTTGTATGGCACTGTGAGAACTGCTTTAATGTTTGCAGAGGGAAGTTACTGTGAAGTCCAAAAAGGATGCCATGTAGAAATCTGAAATGTTGACACAACACATTGCAAAAACAGTTCTCAATATATGTATGGCCAGTATAACGTAATGAGTAGTGTATATTGAATGTGAAAAGAGAAAAAATAATTCATTTCAAGAAAAAAAAAGTTGTAAACATCCTTTCACTTTTTTATTTGTATATTTCTATAGATTCTTCTTCATTAACACAAGTATTGGTTTTGACAGTTCAGCTGCTACCCTTTCATTTTCACATTTCAACAACAATTGGCTAATACATGGATACATGGAGTAATTTGGGGACATTGAAGGATGTGTAGGTAAAAAAAAACAAGATTACTGACAAAGGCTAAACCTCATCACTTCCTGTTTCTTAGCAAGGTTTGTTCCTGTCTTGAGCCATGGGGCAAGGCAGGAAGGAAAGGGGCGTGGCTTTAAGTTTGGACATATGGTCCAGTGGTCACTTATGCTAAACCACTGAGATTATTCATGACAGAGTTTACTTTAATGTTGCTGTGATATGGGCAGTATGTGTCTACGCCTTGAAAACGGTAATAGAAAAAAAAAAGTCATATGGCAAAAGTCTGTCCCATTGACTGAGACACTACTGTTCCATCGGTCGCCCCGCACACCATTTTAACTGTGTTCTGTGACAGCTTGCTTCCCATTGTCCTATCATTCCTGCTCCAAACAGGGCCTGCATCCTGTGCTGGCTTCCTCCTAATCTGAGCGGTGTAGAGAAGAGGCACCAGGCGAGGAAGAGGAGAGAGAGGGGGGCAAAAAACAAATCAGACGAAGGAGTAGGTTCACTGCAAGGCTGGTGTGAAAGTAAGAGGAGTTTGAGAATATGTTGGCTCTTTGGAGTTAATTCCCCAGATGAGAAGGCTTATCTGCAGTCCGCTGTGCAGGAAAGGGTGTGTTCCTGGGATGTTTGTGCGTGTGACTTTTGGAAGGCTTGGGTTTTTCTTCCAGAGTGGAGCAGTGTGTTGTAGGTCACTCCGCACAGTCTTCCTCATATTGTGTAGCATAACATGAACTGTACATTAGATCCATTTCATTTACCTGCGATACTCATGAATGCTTCTGTTTCTATTAAGGCTCAAGTTTCTCAAGCTGTGTTCTCAACATGTGTGTTTTTTTTTCATCTGAGAAACCGAAACTGGTCATGAGTGGACAGTGGTGGGCGGTGAAACCAAAGAATGTACTCGAGTAAGAGTAAGGATACTTCCAAATCATGCAACGCAGTAGAAGCGTATGGGAAGTGCAAACATAGGATTTTGGTTGTAAATACCGTAATGATAATATATTTTTGGGACGTCAAGAACAAGAAATGATGCGGTTATGGTTATATTGACTACAAAAGGAATTTCTAAAATAACAGTTATAAATTGTGCTTTGAGTCATAATGAGAACACAACTTTTATCTGAGTGCACACAAATACATCTTTTATAACACTGAAACTATAAGCCCTCTCTGCTCTGATGATGCCCATTGTAAAGCTGCAGTACATAGTAACAACAAAAGAACAAGTTCCTGTTCCCGTTTGGCCCGACGAACCACAGAGTATCTTCAAATTACTCTCACTGGATTCAACAAAGAACATTGAACTTCACATATTTCTGAAATAATAATGCATTTGAATTGCTAACAGTGTTTTCTCTTTTAAGCTTTAGTGTCCGTGTCATTTATGTGATGAGGAAAAGTTTGAAATGTCAATGTCAGTGGTGTTACTCAAAGGTCCCGGGTCTGACTGGAAAGTGCAGCCACAGAAATAAAGTCTGACCTTATTGTTATTTCTGTGTGAATGTGTAAAAAAAAATGAAGAGCTAAAAAAAAAAAATTCCTCGCAGTGCAAAAATCAGATATTTCATTTCATTTTTCATTTCTTCATTAATTTATTGAGTTGGGACAATGCACATTCATCAACATCAATGTCAACTTTAATTGTATAGCACATTTACAACAACACCAGCTGCCCAAAGTGCTTCACAGGCACGAAAGAAAAAAATAAAATAGAAAAGAAAAGAAAACAGAATAAAATACATACACATTTATTTCAATGTAAATGCGCCAGACTTATCAAAACTGTTGCATTTCAGCCGTAATCCCAACCTGCAAGTTCCTAGATCGATCAATAATAAAACTAGTAGAACTCAAAACTAGATATTTGATATGTCAGAAGGTATTGTGAGATTTCATAACACTTTGAAGCAACTTTTGTTAAAGTTAAACTCATCATTCTATCAATGTGCAGAAGCCAGTACTTTTCCCTTGTTTTGTCTATCTGAAGGCCAAGCTACAAGCACACCGTGGAAGCTGCTGATTGGAGGTCTCCATGCCTCCGCTCTGTATAATACACTTGCATTCTCTTGTATCTGTGATCGTGTGCTTTGTTCGTGCTGTCTCTACCATCGACAATAAAACATGTCTTCTGTCTGAATTTAAGACGCGATCCCAGACTTGGTACATCTTCTTCAGGTGGTGGAAGGATGCGGGCCTTGTCTGTAACATCTACAGAACAGAAGACCTTTTTTTTACACAAAAAGTGTTTTTTTTTTTTAAGCCAAAACTGAGAAACCTCAAGAGAAACCATGCATCTGGACCAGCACATGGACAATCTGCACAGCCCCTGATTCCACTCAGGCCTGCTGTGAGCTGCTGAGACATGGATAATACCATCGTCCTCTTTTGCAAGGACATAATTTGGAACAATCTGGATTTCTGAATTTGGACATAATTTGGACTGAATTGAATTGCTGAATCTGGACACTGAAGCTGAAACGAGTGATTGAAAGACACGTCACAGAAGAATTCATGGCTCGACACAAATGCAGCCTGAAGAAACCAACACGGAGAAGTGGGAGAGACTGTTTTCAAAGCAATGTCTGGAACCACCATCGACTGATGAAGTTTGGTATTTTACTGAAGATTGTTGACAAGTTTTATGAAAGATCTGAACATGTTTTATGAGTTTTCTGAGTTTTTGAAGTATTCCGAGTTCTGAGTTTTTTGAAGTACCGAGTGAAGTATGAGTTTTGAAGTATTGAGTTATGATGTTATGTTGCTGTTTATCGATCCTGATGGTCACACGTGAATGTATGACCAGAGGGGGGAATGTGAGATTTCATAACACTTTGAAGCAACTTTTGTTAAAGTTAAACTCATCATTCTATCAATGTGCAGAAGCCAGTACTTTTCCCTTGTTTTGTCTATCTGAAGGCCAAGCTACAAGCACACCGTGGAAGCTGCTGATTGGAGGTCTCCATGCCTCCGCTCTGTATAATACACTTGCATTCTCTTGTATCTGTGATCGTGTGCTTTGTTCGTGCTGTCTCTACCATCGACAATAAAACATGTCTTCTGTCTGAATTTAAGACGCGATCCCAGATATGTCATCTTCTTCAGTATTAACGATAATAATACATCTTTATTGGTATAGCACACAACAAAAACAATGTTTACAAAGCGCTGCACAGTCTAACAATAAAAAGAGTCATGATAATACAAAGTCAAAATAGTTAAATAGAATGGTAGATTCAGGAAGATCAAGCAGACAGAGCAAACACAAGAAGAAAGACTAAACCAAGACAAAGCAGACGGTAAAATACTGAGGTTTTACACTGAGAGTTAAAAGCTGTTTGATACAAGTAGGTTTTATGAAGTGATTTAAAAGAGGATACTGATGTTGCCATGGTAATGATACTGAAAGTGTGAGATTCTCTGAGCAGTTTTTCTCTGTGTCTTTGAGCAACACAACTCAAAACGTTATGGGAGGATTCGGACGAAGCAGTTTTTTATTGTGCAATACTTTTTTTGGAAACAGTTTTTATGAAATGTGTTATATAAATAAATTGGTTTGGATTGAAACATATGCAATGGCCCAGCGAATCAGGTGATCAGAACCACGGGTTCGTATACTTCACGATACAATACGCGATACAAAGCTCACGATATAACAATTTTTGATATATTGGTCAGAAATATACCTACGATTATTTATGGCATGCATAAAAGAAAAATGTGAAGTGACAAAATACACTTCATTTCATGATAAATGGAATGGAGAACAATTATTATTTTTTTAAATTGATACTTGGCAAAAGCGTATTGATAATCGATCGCGCGAGAAAGTATCACGATACATCACCATATCGATATATCGTCACACTCCTCAGCATCGTGATCGTGTTTTTCATCATAGACAGAATTTGATTTCCGAAAATGATTACTTCACAAAACTTGGCTTCAGCGAAATGAGGAGGAACTTGGACATTTTCTCAAACTGCTTTTTGGACTGTGTTGACCCACACCCGTCACACACACACACACACACACACACACACACCCCTCACACATACACACACACATCCCTCATATACACACACACACACACACACACACACACACACACACATACACACACACACCCCTCACACATACACACACACATCCCTCATATACACACACACACATGCACACGCACACGCACACGCACACCCACACTGACACGCACACCCCTCACACACACACACACCCCTCACATACACACACACACACCCCTCACATATACACACACACACACACACACACACACTCCTCTCACACACACACCCCTCCCACACACACACACACCCACACACACACTTATGCCTAAAAAACACCCCACAAACTGCTTTTTTATTCCTTGTGAATTGAACCAGACAGATAAGCCCGACAGGAACAAAAATCATCATGTCTTATCATGTCTTTTTGCAAACATTTCTGCATTTTTGTTCATAGTTTTATGCTTGTTCATACTGTATCTTTTGGTGAAAGGGGAAAAACACCAGGAGTTGAGAAAGGAAGCGCGGTTGTTTGTTGTACCACAGCTGGTTCATGCGTGTGGCTCCGTCCTAGTTTCCAGGAAAAGTGGGGGGGCATCTGAAGGGCGGACAGGAAACTCTAACGGGGCAAACGTCCTGAGCCTTCTCGATGGCCAGTGGTGATAACGCACAAGTACGCACACCTCCAAATATGTCTGTGATACATCAAGAGGAATCTGAGTGGTTGTCGCTTTAGACGAGTGAGTTGGAGTTGGTTTTCATTCAGCAGCTTTCTATTGTTACGGACTCCACTGTAAACTTTATTGAGCTCTTCCTATGTGTTACTTCCTCCACATTCTTGAGTAGGTGGAGTGATGGCGGCCCTCCACGCACTATGATGTTGCCAGTTTGAGTCCGAGGCCCGATGGAATTTGTCTGGTGATGAAATATGATGTCTTTGTTCTAAGTAGATTCAGGGAAAATGAATGTTGTGGAGATGCCCAACAAATTTTCCTAATGTTCTCTTCTCACTCTCAGCCTCATTCCATGCTTGCATTTACTCAACACGTAGCTACATGGAGCAAAACAGTATTTTGTTCAGCCACCAATTGTCCTCCAACCTATAAAGATAAGAGATGTAGTTTTCACCCCAACTATGCGAGACAAAAAGTCACGTTGTCGGATTTATTGTGGAAAGCATTTAGTCGATAATAAAGTCCATCTCAATACCACTGTATGAAGTGGTGTGCAAAGGTTTGGACACCCCTATCATCTTTTAGGAGTTTCCTCATTGGTTGTTTGGATATATCATATAGATGACAAACACTGGAAAAAAGTTTGTATCACTTACAGAAAGTTAGTGCGCTGAAGGGGAGCGATGCGCAGTGACACCGGTCTTCGGCTGACTCTGATGATCTGATTATTAGACTTTTCTTGGTCTGCCGCTTTGGGCCTTAACTCGAACTTTGGTTGTGGTCTTCTGATTACTCACAGAGTTGCGCAGAGCTGTTTGTATCCTTCCCCGAGACCATGATGTTGAACCATCTTTGTTTCCAGGTCTTTTGAGAGTTTCTTTTGAGGCTCCTTTGTTGCCACTCTTCAGAGAAGATGCAAAGAGGGGAAACACTTAGAAATGGCCTTTACTTGTATGAAGGTCAAGGGTCACTGAGGTTACAAAACCAATTTTGAGTTCCAAGGAGGAGTGCTAAAAGAATTGGTAAAAAAATGCACACCTCTAATTCTGAACAACCAATGATTTAGAAAGATTTATAGGGGTGCCCAAACTTTTGCATACCACTGTATACCCTTTGTTGGCATTGCCAGAGGTCACACTGGCACACACTGTTGCTGGTATTTTGGCCCATTCCTCCATGTAAATGATGGAGTCATGTTTTGGGGCGGTCGCCGGGCAACACAGACTTTCAGCAATGGGCTTGAGATCTGGAGTCTGGCTTGGCCACTGCAGGACCTTTACCACTCCTTCGTTGCTCGGGCAGTGTGTTTGGGATCATTGTCATGCAAAAGATCCAGCCAAGTTTCTGGTTTTTCCTTCTTCACTTTGTCTCTCATAGTTGAGGTGATGAAAATTAAAGGCATTTAAAGCGAGAGGACTTGCACAAGTGGCGACTGACCAAATACTTAACTGTTGGTAAACAGTCATCACCTCAGACATTACATTATTGATATCTTGGTTTTCAGGATGTATTTCTTAAAGGGACATTTCTTATTCAATACATTTGATATCTGGATATCTGGATCTGCGCCTCTCGTTGAAAGTCTGGACCCGAAGAGTGCTTTTCCACTTTAGTCTTTGGCATTAACCTCTTCTTACCTGCTGAATTCTCTCTTTTAAAGCAATGTTCTGGTTGTTACATTTATCTATGTTCACCCTGAGTCAATCGGAGACGTTTGCGTTGATAGAACAGCCTGTTTAATAGAATTTGCATCAGTAATGTACCACAGACGGTGTTCACAGAGGCCAGAGAGAGAAGCCCTTCATGAAACTGTAGAAACAGGGGAAGTGGCTAACCTCACCTCTCTCTTTGTCTTTCCTCTCTGTAGCCTGTCTCACCGCGGCTCTTCTCAGCTCTTCACGCTTTAGTGCCTTTCAAACGGTGCCTCTGGTTCACTGCCCTGAAGTAGCGCTGCCATCACTCACCTCTGCTCTCTCTTTTTTTCCAGTGGAAATGTTGATTGACAGATGATTTGACAGAGGAACACATCAGGTAAGAAAAGTGAACTGTCTACACCCACATTTTTACTTTTCCACAAGTCGCTTTGGGAAAATTAAGATACATTTCAAGTTTTCTTTAACTTTGCTGTTTGCCCCTGTCTGGTTCCACATTCCCATTTTTTGTTTTTCATCCCTGAATTGTTTATAAATGCTGTATGGGAAGTGAGTAAAGACATTTCCCCTCACATAACCTCAGATAGCCTCATCCCCTTCATTAGAAAGATCCAATCTACTGGTGCTATTAGACAATGATGTTGTCTTCTAATTCTAACTCTGCGGCTTCTACCAACTACTACGTCTGCCTTCCCCAACATGTTATTGAGTGATCTTGTATTTGCGGTCACATTAATAGTCAAATACATCACATCACTTTACATTACAGTTACATTAGTATGAATATGATGAACGTGGATCTTTTGTATGCACATACTAAAAGGGTGTCAGGAAATGTCACTGTCTATTTATGTCTATATACCTGTACTTTATTTAAAACCACAAGCCACTTCTCACCAATCTGATAACCCTTTAGGCGTTTATCTTTATCACCAATTTTATGTTAAACAGACAAAAGGTTGAGCCCTAAATCGTTATAAGAGATAGGGGTTAGAAACAGAAACAAATAAAAGAAAAATATGTCGAAAAAATGTGCTACGTAACTGAATGTCTCTGTGTCATTTGCATTTTTGCAGTCTATTATGGGGTGTGCCTGTTGCAAGCAGAAAAAGTCTGCAAAAGCAGCAGCAGCAGCAGCAATGTCACCCATTACAGATGTGTCTCCTAGCAACACAGATGGAGGCGTGTCTGCCCTGACCCCTCGATACGGGCCTGACCCCACTCAGACCATCCCAGACTTCAACAAGGGATTCCCGTGTCCGACCGTTTTCCCCAGCATCAACGCCCCCCAGCGTCCCGGCGGCATCACCAGTACGACCTGCACTTACAGCTCGCACACGTTCAACCACGGGCTTGACTTTAGGACACATTCATTTTCATTCATTTTCACCACTTTGAAGAAGAAATATTGTGCATTATTTTTTAGCGTAAACATGATATTAAGACTTTTTACTATTATGCATAAAAGTAGTACGTAAGAATTTGTCATGTGACTGATAGAAACGGCGTTCTGTCTGAAGCAGGTATCGGACCACTTTACCTGTCACCATTAAGTTAAGGTTAAGGAATATACCTTTTAAACCTGAAATCAAACTGTTCTCATTGTATGTTAGTGCCATCCAACGCTTCAGAAGTTAATATTGAGGAATATTGAGGAGTTATTATTGAGGAATTAAAAACTAACTGCTCAGGAAGAACAGTGTATTGTGAAGAAATAACTATGTTTGATTTTGCGTTGACTTCCATGTTTCTGTGGTGATAAAGCACAGTTCAATATGTGTGTAGATTAGGAGCGCTTTGTGACTTTGGCCATTTCCTGATTTTACATTACATGCATCTGATGGCACCCGGTGACGTTACAGTTGGAGAAATGACTCCCAATGTCATCTCTATGGAGACAAGACAACCAAGACATCAAATTGACTTACTAAATTATTATGTTTTTCCTAAATTTTGAAACCATTGTTGGAATATTAACCTGTTTCCCTGGTTATTTTATTATTATTATTGTTTCATTTGTTTTGCTCATGCTAATCAATCTTCTAAGCTATATTCATGGCTGTGGTCTTGTGTTGCTATGGCGCGGACTGCAGGGTTATAAAGTCGTGCTCTTGTGCAGGTGGTGGGGTGACTCTCTTCATTGCTCTGTACGACTATGATGCCCGCACAGAAGATGACCTCACTTTTCAGAAAGGAGAGAAATTCCAGATTATCAATAATACGTGAGTAAAAAAGAAAAAAAGAAGTGTACTCTGTTTTTTGTTGTTGCATACATGACAATTCACAAATGGTGTAAACATTGAATTCTACTAAAGCACCGTGGCAGAGCGGCTAGGATAAGATATGATACATACTATATTGATCTCAAAATGGAGAAATGTACTTGTCATATTTGGCACAGATAAAATCACACAAGAAATGTGCAAACTTGTTAAAAATATAGTCTCTTTGGTGCAACACATATTATGAGAAATAAAAATTAAAAGTGGACACTCGCTTATCAGCAAGAAGAGAGAAAAGTATTGTATAATGTTCTTTCTACACATGTTCCTATGAAGATGAGATGGTGTTGTCCGGAATGTTTCACCTAAAATATACAGTATATGGTCCAGACGAGCAAGTTACAGTTTATCGAAAGAGTTCACTCATAGCATATTATTACATTTTTATTCTTAAGTATGATTAAATAGATCCAATTGAACAGCATTTAGATGGTATGTTTAATGTCATGTTTAGAACTTTGAACCAGTAAACCCACGGTCGGTTTTTTAACACAGAGCACCTTCTGAGCTTAGAGAACAGAGAATATGACTTAAAGATTACTTACATACTTAAACTTAAAGTAATAGCACCTTTCACAGACCAGAGTCACAAAACGCTTCACAATTTGTTGTTTTTAGGGCATTTTGTCTCTCACTACACACAGAGAGATGGAAGCAGGTCTCTCTACACTTTATGTTGTTGAAGTAGATTATGCCTCAATCCTCCCTAAACAAATGCCTGTATGTGTCTGTGTGTGTGTGTGTGTGTGTGTGTGTGTACATGTGTGTGTTGGCAGTGAGGGCGACTGGTGGGAGGCTCGCTCTCTGGACACGGGGCGCTCTGGTTACATCCCGTCCAACTATGTGGCTCCCGTAGACTCCATCCAGGCCGAAGAGTGAGTGCAAACACATGATAGAGAACTCCTGCGATGAGTGGCATGTTGCTTTGGGGTCTGTGGTCAGAGGCAGGTGTTTCCGTGGTGACCTGTGTGTTGTTATTGTGGTGACAGGTGGTACTTCGGAAAGATGGGAAGAAAGGATGCAGAGAGACAGCTGCTTGGCCCTGGCAACCAGAGGGGCACTTTTCTTATACGAGAGAGCGAGACCACCAAGGGTAAGAAATAATGAAGTCGCATACTCTCCACATACAGAATATGGACAGTGCTAACCCAAGGTCATTGTGACCTTTTGCTCCAACTTCCTTTGGAACCCATTCACCTACAACATTAGGTTGTTTCTAGCTACTTAATTGCACCCAGATTCCCGGTCATAGAACCTGTTTGAGTTCGCTCGAATTGGCTTCGTCCACTCTCGGAAAAAAACCACTATGGGTGACATGGGCACTGGAGTCGTTCACTCCTTCTACAGTCTACATGAAGTAGTAGGAGTTCGAGTTTTTGTTTATTGCCCTTATTCCAAACAGCAGTCAGCAGGACTGATTAAATTGTCAATTTTCCAACAACAGATAAAATAATCTAACAATTAGAACAGAGGATATAATAATAAGAAACACAAAGGAATCATTAGTCAGTAGGGTTCCGGTCCGTAAATGTCCAGAGATCTCTTGGATCATCTCTGTCTTTAGACTCTCCTGCATGAGCGAAGAAAAATCTCAAAACTAGAATTACACAGACCAACAAAGGAAGTGCAAAAAAAGATAAAAGAGGAAGTAAATGCTTGAATCAAGTAATTTCTTAGCCTTGTCTCTTAAAAAATTCTTGTTTTAAGAATAACTATATCTAATAAAAATAGAATACATTCAAAACTAGTTCAAGCTAGTTTTATTTTATTTAGTTTTATTTTGGTGAAACCATCAATTGTTATTGTCAGGCCTTATTAAAAAACACTGTATAGATTAGATTAGAGCAAAATTAGCATTGGGTTCAGAAGCATACCGTGTCTAGACCAAAAAACATAATTATTGCTACAACTCCTGAAGAATTACATTATTTTATTACATCACTGTTTGATCAGACTTTAAAATACCACTCACTTTGTTTACTCCTCAACACGTGAAACTATTCCTCACTTCTCTCCCTTTTATTTATTAACTGCATGAATGTATAATCTAAACAAGTGGTTCTCAAATATGTTGCACTCATGTGACATCAGAACTTTCCAAAGAGCCTTTAGTTAAAATTGTAGTGAATCTTTCCTGGTAACTATGGTAACTGTCAAAAGTCAGATTTCTCATCTTAGTTTCAAGCTCATTTCTCTGTAACACCTGGGCCAATCCACACACACAAAAACACCACAAAGTTACACATACTCTTTATCAGTACATATCAACTGTTTTAATTATTTTGTTCTCATAAATGTGTCTAAAAGTGGTGACAATATGAATAAAAGAAGAATATGCAGATTTGTGAAACTAATCACCAGCAAAAAATGATCTGGGAAAACAATTGGACATTAAAAAAAAAAAAGCTTCTTTCCCATAGATAAAGTTGTGTTAGGACATGCCTTTGACTGATATGGTATGATACTTATTTTTACAGGGACAGTGTACAATAAACATGAGCCAAAAGCTCAGATGCTAATTTCCACCTGCAGTCTCTGAGCAAGTTGATGTAAAACAAAATAACAAATGTAAATGGATAAATAGATTTAACATGATGTACCACTCTCTTCAGCTGTGAGTTGACTTTACCGATATTTTGGGTGAAAAGATTGAGAAAGTGAGAAGTATCAGTATAAGTGTTATTACTATTTTTGTTATATTTTGTAAATGTACCTAAGTTGCTTGTGATTCATTTGTACTAATTATGTCAATGTCCTCTTACTTAATTAATAAATGAATAAATAAAAATAATTTTCTGTTTTCCTCCCCAGGTGCTTACTCCCTGTCCATCCGTGACTGGGACGACACCAAGGGAGACCATGTGAAGCACTATAAGATCCGCAAACTGGACAATGGGGGCTACTACATCACCACCAGGTCGCAGTTCGACACCGTGCAGCAGCTGGTGGAGCACTACACTGGTAACTAAACTTGAAAGTGATTTTAGGGAAGTTTGCCCGTGAAGTTGAGCCCATTTTGAGCCTCTTTTTTGAACCAAGCACACCCTGCACTTCCTGCTCTGTTTGTTTGTGTAGCTCTGCCCCCTTGCGGCTGGCTCTGGTATTGCAAATATGACTCACCTATTATTGAATTTGGGGACCAGGCATTAGTAAGAAGTCATTTGCCCAGTGTATCTATATTTACAATTACTTGTTTTCATACTGTTTATTATTGCAAATTCTTGCAGGTTGCTAGCCATTTTTAGGATTTATATGAAAATAACCACAGCAAAAATGTTAAGATATGAAGCAAATTATCTGAATATTTTGGTTTAAATGATTTAAATGGATAATTACATCATATCACTTTTATTTTTAATAGCTGCATTATTTTTTGCCGAGTTTAAATCTAGTTTTGTCCTTTTTAGTCAACAAATCAATGGTTAAAATGAATTGAATTGAAAAAGTTAAAAACGTTATTATTATCATATAGATTCTTAATGTATACCAGACCATATTGCATTGTGCCATGTCCTGTTTGTGTTAAAGTGCTTGTAGCTTCATCTCCTGATTTGTTCACTTTGTTGGCGTCTTCCCTTTGCTTCTTTTCACTTTCCCCTTGTCTATCTTTCTCTCTGTGTGCGTCAGAGAGAGCAGCGGGCCTGTGCTGCCGCCTGATTGGCAGTTGTAAGCGGGGTATGCCTAAGCTGGCCGACTTATCAGTGAAGACCAAGGACATGTGGGAGATTCCCCGAGAATCCCTGCAGTTGATTAAGAAACTGGGCAATGGCCAGTTTGGAGAAGTCTGGATGGGTAGGACTGGTGATAGTGTCGTGGGCAAAATGACAACAACAGCACACCTGGACCAAAAACAACATTCTGATACATTATTAAAACCTTCATTATTGTTCACACTATTCGGTGACTGGCAAATACAATGTTTTTTTTTTTTTTTTTCAGAAATAGCTATTCCAACTGTGTTTCACATGTGGCAGCAAATTAGTAAGAAAAATATTCATGAATTGTTGACTCCAAATGAAGTTGTTTTGACATCCAGGTGTGCTCAGTGTTATCCTGCCCCCTGCTGTTGTTGCATGTGCATGTTAATCTCACCTCACATTTTGCCACCTACATCCCATCTCTTTTCTATCATTTCTGTTTCCATCACTTCATCATTCTAACTTTAAATCATATTGCCACTACCTCCTTTCTTCACCTTTGATAGGCACTAACGATGGACTGTGCTATTTCCTGACCACGCCATGTCCAAATTCCACCCCACTCACCCTGGGCCTGGGGCGAGACGCCTGGGAGGTCTCCAGGGGGACACTGTCCATGCAGAAGAAGCTGGGACAGGGATGTTTTGGGGACGTGTGGCTGGGTGAGACAGATGACCTCTTCAGGCATACGGTCTGTGTTGTCTCATTCATGTCTCTCTTCATGTAAGTCAGTCCAGTTTATGTACATTATGTTCATTGCGTCCATCCACGCCCAGAAGTTTGGTCCACGCAGCACGTCTTTTCTTATATCACTGTGAGTCATGTGCATGTCCACATGTATTAACAGGAATATGCATGTCTACAAGTGTTTCAATGTTTGCTTGTACACTGTATATGATCTCTGCATGGCCCGTACACAGTTGCATAACAATGTGTCTATAGGATCCTTTCTTTTGAAGGTTTTAATGTCTCTGTCTGTATGCTAGGCATGTGGAATGGCACCACTAAGGTGGCTGTGAAAACTCTGAAGCCAGGAACCATGTCCCCTGAGGCTTTTCTGGAGGAGGCTCAGATCATGAAGAGACTGCGCCATGACAAGCTGGTGCAGCTTTATGCAGTCGTTTCAGAGGAGCCCATCTACATTATCACTGAGTTCATGAGCCAAGGTACAGCAGCAGCAGAGGGGCAGCTGGCAGACGCTCACGACTGTAAACTCACTTCTGTGGTGGAATGTGTTTTTAATAAATGCATGCGTTCATGATAATGTGTTAAAACAGATAATGTTACTTGTTTGCTTCTCCTACACAAAAATGAATCAAAACAAAATTTGGCAGCTCTTTAAGGCCTGAGGGGAAACATTTCAGTAAATTAAAAGACCAAAAGTTCAACTGTACAAAGGCCCCAAGAGACAAAAACTGAATTCAAACTAAACAAATGAATTGAATCTTTGTTTGTGAAGGTGCTCTTTGACCTCCCTGTGGATGTGGCCCATGACATCAGACATTTTACATCAATACTCTGACAAACAAAAAGCACCAGATCCTTATCTGCGCTAATAGACAAATGCATTTGAATAGAGAATGGAATGGTGACCGGGCAGTTTTGTATTTCTAAATATCTTAATCTATGCTGTGAGAAAACGTGAAATAGTGGTGTGAATGTTAACAGTTTGATATGGCAGACATGAGGCATCCATCTGATCCACAGTATGTTGTGTGCGCACAGGAAGTTTATTGGACTTCTTAAAAGACGGAGAGGGACAGAGTCTGAAACTGCCTCAGCTGGTGGACATGGCTGCTCAGGTCAGTCCTTAATGCAGTGACAATTACATAAGCCAACTCTGTGAACTCCAGCGCCTTCTCCGTTTGACAGATTGCAGCGGGAATGGCTTACATCGAGAGAATGAACTACATCCATCGTGACCTGCGTGCGGCCAACATCCTGGTAGGAGACAACCTGGTGTGTAAGATTGCGGACTTCGGCCTCGCGCGGCTCATAGAGGACAACGAGTACACGGCTCGGCAAGGTAACGTCTTTTCACCATTAAAATTATGAATAACAGCCTGTGTGGTTTTATTTTTAACATGTATATGACTTGTTCTAATTGTGGTATTCATGTTCTCTTGTTTCCATGGTTGCAGGGGCTAAGTTTCCCATTAAGTGGACGGCTCCCGAGGCTGCGCTGTATGGACGCTTTACCATTAAGTCAGATGTGTGGAGCTTTGGTATTCTTCTAACAGAGCTCATCACCAAGGGACGTGTGCCATACCCAGGTACCCCCTGCAAATCAGCTGTACATTTCATTATGTGCATTCAACACATTTCTTTACAGATAAAACAGGTGTATTTGTTCTGTCATGAGGCATAAAAAGGAAAGAAAAATCACAAGTAAAATGTCTGCTCTGCAAATCATTATGCAGAACTGGTAGCTTTATGTTCCCTGTGTATTAGGATTTTTTGTGATTTTCTAAAGGACCATGAAAAAAACCTTTGTGTTGCTGGTTCTATTATTATGCGGCAGATCGATCTGTAACCAGTTTTAAAAGCAAAATGTTCTGTGCTTTTATTCAAACTTGGAAATAAATGTAAAAACCAGTATGTTACCATGGCATCCCGTTTACAGGACAAACTAAATGACCACTTTTTTTTTTTTACATCGCCCCCTGTGTTTGTTCTTCCCTCCAAGGCATGAACAACCGTGAGGTGCTGGAGCAGGTAGAGAGGGGGTACCGGATGCCCTGCGCCCCGGGCTGCCCTGCCTCTCTCCACGAACTGATGCTGCAGTGCTGGAGGCGAGAGCCAGATGAGAGACACACCTTTGAATACCTGCAGTCCTTCCTGGAGGATTACTTCACCGCCACAGAGCCTCAGTACCAGCCTGGGGAAAACCTGTGACACACAACACAAATAGACTCGTTTGAAAATTGACTTTTATATTGCAACAAGCCTCTTCTTGATCCTGTCACTTCCTGTACTAGACACATACACGTATCAGATTAAGAGTTAAATGTGCATGGATCACTGCAGACCGCTTAAGACACATCTTCACCATGTTGCAGTCAGAGCTCTGCTGGTCAGGCCTTGCAGAAATGCTTTACTCTGTAACCATGACAACAGGGAACTGAAAGAAGATGTAGATGGCTGTGTTGGGGTGGGGGCAGGCTAGTTGGTACAAGATCTTCTCAGCTGCCATATATGTTCAAAGCATTCTATTCTCTCTTAAAGAAAATGCGGATTTGTCAAAAAAACCAAATAACTCCTGACTTGGATGATGATGTATGAGGCTATACTACTGATGGTATAATAATCTATCATATTCATGCTGTTCCATGTGCACATAACTGTTTAGTTTTAAAGTAAACTAAATTATGTTTCAGAAAGACCATAGGAATCAGTTTCCTGTTATATGCAACATTTTAGGACTTTTTTCCTAATTTCTTGGCATTCTACTTCCCATTGATGGAACATTTGTGCTGATCCTACTGTTTATTCTTGTTCACTATACATTTACAAATTGATTATATGGATTATACATATACATGCTTCAGGTTTTGGACATTGTCAAAGTCATATATTCCATGCAGAAGAATGTAACTTGTATTTACTACGATTTATATGTGATGTTAATGTAATAAAATCTGATATCTTTGTTGCGTGATTTCATGTGGTCCTTCGACATATCATACAGCGCCTGCAAAACCCAAACATCTAACGTTCGTTAATCATAAAATAATGTTTTCCGACAGACGCCGTGACGTCACATACATTAACAGTGCCAGAATCATTTCGCTCACTTCACTCTTCCCTTATAAAACCACATTACCCATAATTCCAGTGGCGCTACTTACGGCTGCCCGGATGGTTTTGACAGTAGGCACGTTGGAGAAGCACAGAGGCGCACAACAGACTGAGCTTGCAGAGGTAAAGGCGCTCGTCTCGCCTCCCGGATACAGGGGAGTCCCGTGTCTGTCACCTAACGGAGCAGAGCGCTTTAACTCTCTCATGTCAGCTCCTGAATCTACAACAAAACTGTGAAATAACCTTTTCTCTGCCGTTTTTGACAATTTTTCGTTTCTTTTGTTTGTTTGTTTGTTTGTTTTGTGCGTACAGTAACTGGAGTCAGTCAACGCGTTTTTTTCACTGTTGGCGCGACAGAACCAGAGCAGACACAGGGTTCTGGGGGAAGTCTGGGCAGTGCGTCTTCAGTCCGGATGAAGGAGCGCTGGGCGCTGGCGGCTCAGCCGCACAAGTGAAGAGAAGAGCGGGGTCCGCACCAGGAGCCGCACGGCGCGCCTGTGGTGAGTGCACATGCAGCGTCTGTGTACAACAAGGAATCAGCGTACTGTCCTCACAGGCAGCTGTGCTGCGTATCCCCGCTACGTCTTCTTTTTACATTAACCTCGTCGGCGCCGTTTACAGACACCTCTCCGCATGCTTACTACTTAGGTAAAATGTGCTCAGTGTGGGCATGCAGCATGTAGGGAAACATACAGTGACTGACTGCCCCCACCTGTTTGACATGTCTCTTGCATGTTTCAATCTATGGATACAGAAAAGACAAGTGTATTACTATATATCACACAAATATTGTTTCTTCATATTTTGGTGCGACTTGAATGGGACTCAAGTCACGCATTTACATACCAGTGCATGTGCGCCTCCTCACGGTGGACATGTGAGGGCTGTTCCGGTAACAGGTATCATTGTGCAGAGATGTTCATCACTTAATGCTGGAACAAGCCACAGCAGCAGTGGCACATCCTGCAGTGGCAACAGCAGTGCTGTAGTCATGATGGTGATTATCAGCTCTTGTTTGAGGGGCTGTGTGGAGAAGGGTTACAATGGGAGAAAATGGATAGCTGAGAAAGTGGAGGAGACATCAAGAGAGGAGTAGAGTCAGTGTCTGGGCAGTGACAGTTGGGTATTTAAGGCCCCCGCAGAGACGTGCACAGGCTGCTTTATAGTGCAGGTGTTGTTAGTATGCAGAGTAATACTCCCCTGTCTGTCTGTCTGTCTATCTGTCTCACACTCATATATAGTCTGCAGTGAGGACTGGGTTCCAGTGTTGGCGAGTGGACTTGGACATAATGACTTCAACCCTGAATGCTGGAATGAAAAGGAGCTGGCCTTGCCTTGGCAGCTTGCCGTTGTCAGTCTGACTTTCTCTGTGTGCTTTGTGTGGGATAAACAGAGTGGGGACTTATAATATTGAGGTTACATATTTAGGTGTGGGCCAAGCTTTAGGCCTTTTGTGCTGCTACCTGTGAGAGCGGGGCCAGTTGTCATAGCAACGGCCTTGTAGTTCCGCTGATGTTCCTCTGTCCTCATTGGCAGGGTCAGTGCATGTAACAGAACATCTCTGAGACGTGTGTCTGTGTATAGTGTGTAGTAGTGTGTAGCAGTGTGCACTAGTGTGTAGTACTGTGTGTGTAGTGTTCCAGGCCACATGTGCACTATGGGACTGTGCAGGACCTTTTGTGTGTCTTGCTGCAGTTCGAGGCGTGTGGGCTGATGCCACAGACAAGCTGCTGTGTGTCACAAGTATATATCCTGCTGATATGACAGCCGACAGCTCCACCAATCACCTGTTTTCACTCTCTCCTATCAGCATGTGAGGTTGCTATAGTCAGACGTCTTCTTGATGTGGAGGTCGTCATGGTGATAGAAGACATAATGAACTCATGCAGACTTATATGTACGGGGAAAGAAAACATTCTTAATGTATCATCTAATAAAGCCTTAGTCTAACACTCTAACATAATTCAAAGGGTTTCAGTAAATTCTTGATACAATAAGTGCAACCTGTTGATAGCTGCATTGAACTTCGGCTGAATTATTCAGCACGTCTGAGAGGTTCCCTCTTTGTTGATCCTCCTTCATTCTATGGGCGTATAAGGGAAGATTTAACAATTAATTACGTTCATATTTATGTGTTTGTGTGATTTAGGTTTGACGGTTGTTTTTTCGTTTTAAGTAAAACAATAATAAACTCAACTAAACACAATCACATTCTTACTTTATATTCTGGAAGAAATGTTTGTTGTATCAAGCTGTAACACACATATATCTATATTTAGCATTTTAATTGTAAACAAACAATATTTATATCAACAATGTGTATATCAGTGGACAATAGAAACAGATATATGTTCCCTTTGACAGACAACCCCCTGAGAAGTTGAAACGTTTCAGACATAGACAGGTTTTGGCACTTTTCCTTTTGTTCACAATAAAATGATGAACCACATCCTTTGAAGATTTAGGAGTCATTTTTACAACTTTTAATTTGTGCAGTGTGCAAAGTACTATAGGAAAAATAATTAGTCCTGACTTTGTCCTTGCAGTGAGAGGTCCTGTCTTTTTACGACTTCTATTAATCTAATTGTCACCTGGAGTGAAATGGGTTTTGCCGCAGGCAGGTAAACGTGGCTCACCTCTCCCACAATTACACAGCACCCACACATCCAGCCACTGTTTAGCATCAGTGTAATCCCGGCGCCTGCGCTTCCTTCTGCTGCCTCCCACACGCTACATTCATAAAACCTTTTCGACTGACTCAAGAGGAGTTGCCTTTCCCAGTTCTTGACCATCATTTTAGTCATACTATTCTCCATATTTGTGATCCATAAATGTTGTGACATATTTTGATTCTGAGCACCTTCAAGTCACATTTCATGTATTTGTATTATTATCATGATCATTAATGTCCTTATTCATTTAGGGAGCAATGAATCAGGACTGAACGTTTCCAGTAGACATCAGCACAACGTGTTAATGCTTTTTCTAGAATCCTCTGTCGTCATTAACGGACATAAGTATGCGTCCATACTTATGTCCGTTATGGGAGCAGGTATGAGGCTAATGCGGCTGCACGGGGCACCTGTGTGAGCTGCTGTACACATTTCAGAGGGAACACAGAGCACTGTACAGAACTCTACAGAGTGCGCTCTTGTGGTCACAGCTTTGAACACCGCTCTTCATGTGACAAGAAGATAGATTCCAAATGGATTTAAAGCTTGTGTATCTGATTTTCAAACTGTGAAAAGAGAACGTTATTTAAAATTATCTACCTTTTTCATATTTCTGCTACACCAGCGGCCAATCCTGCCATATATTTGATACAAAGATGATTGTTTTGGGAGGCCAGCCAACAGAAGAAAAGCTTTTTTCTTTTTTTTTCTTTTTTTCACTGACAATCAATTCTCAGGCTTCATATAGTGACTCACATGGTCTGTCCTTACAAGTGCAGTACTTACAATGTCTTCTATCTCAATGAAGTTCTGTGTTTACAGTACACCGTCTGGGGAGCAAAACAGATTTAACCAAATCACGTGAAAATAAGTGAGATTATAATTAATTAATCATTGTGTTTTAAATTTTTATTATTGGGCCAAATGATGGAGATTGACTGATCTAATGGGAGTTGACTGATCACCACCGATCATCCATACACAGAACAGACTCATACTAGCTCATGTGGATGAAGTGCCTATCCAGGACACAAGCACAGTGCGGCACTTTACAGCTGCAGCACTGTGGCACCTGGTGTTCCCAGAGGTCTCCCATCACAGTACCACAGGCATGCCCAGCTTAGCGTCTGAGGTCTGACAGAATCCCACTTTCACATACAGATGGCACCACATTAAACATTCAGTGTGTAACGTGTGGCAGTGAATAGTACGCAGGTACTATACTAGCCATAGTACAAGCAGAGCGCCAACCAATGCAGTCAGGTTACTCTGATAATCAGATCGACCAGGATTATCTTAACCAATTAGATTGGGAGTTTTTTCAACCAATGTGTTAAATTAAACTACTGTGAATTCTGTCAAACCCATAAAAGCCAAATGGATTTTAACAACTGCATGCATACAAAAACTTCCACAGCAATAAGATGTTAGACCCCAACCAGAAAAGTTACATAAGCAGAACCACACTAAAAATGGTGGGTTTTCAGTTTATTTATTTTTCCCTATTAAACTTATTATATATGTTTTGTAATGTTACAGAAAACAACAATACAAATAATAATCAGTCGATGTGTTTATGTGTCAAATGTTGGTTTTGGACTTTAAAGAAATGAATCAAGACAGCAGATACTGTACATGTTAACTCAGGCAGGATTAACCTGCATCACCTGTCCCGCAGTTTGAGAAGCACTAAAGAAACGTCCTCACCTATAGCTTCCTGCTCGGCATCACACCACCACCCACACCCCGACAGGGCTGGTTGTAGCCGGTTTTAAGTCTGTCAGGAGAGAGGGAGAGAGAGAGCTTCGACCTCTCACCTCCTGGAGGATGGAGGCTGCACAGAGCGAGCGGACCCAGAGAAGGATGATGGAGGGCAGGCGCGGGGAGGGAGAGGAGGTGGGGGGCCAGCGAGAGGCGAGAGAGAGGTCAAAGAACAGGAGGGATTTGCAAAGGAAGAGAGGAGTGAGAGAGCTGGGGGAAGGGACAGAGCAGAGGACGGATGGGTCAGGGGGAAAAAAAGGGGTGATATATGAGGAGGATAGAGATGAAGAGGACAAGATAGAAGAGTGTGAAGCGCTACCTCTCCCTAACAAGCTGGACAGAATCAGCTCAATTATTAAAGAGGAGCGAGAGATGGGGAAAACACACACATGCACACAGCCTCATCCCAGCGTCTGGCAAGATCCTGCCGTCTCACAAACTCTCACTCATTGTGCAGTTAGACTTTCATCTCACTGCACATTTCTACTTCTCAGCTACCCAAAGACATCTGCATTATCTGAATGAATGATTCTGGATGGAGCTGAGCACAGGCTGCGTAAAGTTTGGGTGTAATTACCTTTACTGACACTTAACTGATAGAAAATTAGTCACTTCTCATAAACGCCACTCTATGGATTTGTTATGAAAGCATCAATCGTCTGTGAGTGTGTATTTTAAACCAGGCCATTTAGTAAAATAATTCAATGAGTTAGAAATGTAAAAGTTGGCAGTGCTATCATCACAGTAATTTTCCAGACCAGGCCATGGTGGTCAGAGTGAACTAGGAATCTGCCTGCCTCTTCTCTTCTTCCTTATCCTCCTTACTTTCTTCTTTCTTTGAGGAAGTGTATGCCCGCGAGGGACTGGAGATTTGCTACCTTCCAGGAGAAAGTGAATGAGACAGACTTGTAGAGGGAGAGGTGTGGATGAGTGAGTAAGGTCTGTGGAGGGGGAGGAGGGAGAGATAAGAGGAGACAGACACAAGCCAGGGAGAAGGGGCAAGATGGATGAATGCTCTGTGTGTGTGTGATACTCAGATCCAGGTAGACAGAGGGACCGAAGGGCTTCTTATCCTCTCAGCACAAGTCATAATTTCTTCGTCTGCACAGCTGTGAGTGTGGCTGTGTTTGTGTGAGGAGCCTCGCTCAGGCTGCAGGCCAAGAAGTGGAAGAGGTACAGTTGTGTAGCTGTGACGTGCAGAGTTGTGTGTGTGTGCGTGTGTGTGTGTACGTGTGTGCTGTGGCTGATGAGCTGTCAGTACCTACAGTTGGAATGTTCACAAGGCGGCCATTGTTGTTCAAACAGCCAGCAGCTTTCTCCTTGGCAACGGGTGCAGCAGCAGCAGCAGCATCTCCCACAGCAACACTGGATCAGGAGTTTGAGGCAAGAGGAGGTGGAGTCAGGAAGTCAAGGCCAGAGCGGAGGCCCCTCTCCAAAACACTGGCCTCAAGGGCCGACTGGGAGCCTGAGTCCAACATATGGTCTGTTTGCCGTGCAGCCGACATGTTCTAGGGCCAAGCTGTGACTTATCTTTCTGTCACGACTTTTGTTTGCTCCTCTGAGCCAGAGCACTCCACATGCTCTGAGATATTAACAGTTTACTAAAGTGGTTTTACCCATTTCTTGAAAAGTATAAACCACCACCACCACCACCACCACGATAAAGCTTAAATCCAGCACACTGTACACACACAGTCACAACATTCTTCACCATTGTATGTAATCATACTGCTGTAGTTGTGTTGCCTCTTTTCTTCATGTAGCATGTTTGTGTTTACATTGCTTAACACTGTGTCCCTCTTGGCAGGCGCTCTGCTGGCTGTTCCCAGCTGGCGCAGTCGGTCACATGATCCATCTGAGGGGCCGCCATCAGCAGCAGCGTCAGGAAAGTGCCTGAGGAGAGAGAGAGAAAGTGTCAGGCTGAGTTTAACGCGAGGAGGGGTCTGGGGCTGGTGGTGGTGGGGAGGGAGGGAGGTAAAGCTTTGGTGGGCAGGGGAATGCTGCTGCTTCTGATGCTGCTGAGGAGATGTGAGGAAGAGGAGGCTGAAATGATGAAGATGAAGGAGTAATACAGTCCTTTCCTTGGCCTAAAATAACTAGGCTCCAGCATAAACCACAAGGCAGAAGGGGAGAGCGGGGGGTTGGGGGAAGAGTCATTTAGTGTTTCCTAGTGTTTGGAGCTACTTCTCTGGTCCCCTGTGTGCATCTTTGGCTAACAGTATGTTGTGTGTGTGAAGTCTGTTTAGATGTCTGCCTTTGTGTCTGCATATGTGTTTCTCTCTTCATTTGTTCTGCTGCCTTCTATGTGGGCCTGCGTGCACAGTCTTGGCAGGAGATGCGGCGCACACACTGATGATGAAGATCATTAGGAATTTCCTGCAGCTGGGGAGGGGGGCAGCAGCGGGCTCTTTTTTCGAGGGAGGCTGAGAGAACCAGAGGAGAGGTTGCAGTAGAGGAAAGCTTGGGTGGGTTGAGGAGTGGGGTGAGGTGGGGGGGTGGAGGTTGTAGTTATTGGCATGTTACACTTTTTCACTGACATTGTGTATGGAGAAGGGGCCAAGCAAGTTCAAAGTTTAAACCAGTACAGAACAGTTTCGTGCCTGGCAGTGTGGTTTTGCTGTGGCGTATTGGGCAGCATTCACCTCTAGATTCACTACAGATTACAATATTTGGAGCAGAATTGAGCAGAAACGGACTTGATCTCTAACCTGTATTTTAAAATATCTCATAGGCTCAGCCGCAGAATACTTACTAAAAAGAAAAACAAAATACATATATTCAAATCCCCCTACAGAGTGTGCCATGTGATTTCATATCCACACACACAGTTCAAGTTGCATGTCTCACAGAATGCAGAGAGAGTTGGCTTGTGCTCGATGCATTTTAGAACAATATTAGAAACACATGTCATTTGTAGTTTTGCTGTTGAATAGTACTGCTGCTTTTTCACTTCCTTTGTTAGAAAATGTGTTTTTTTACTTCTTGTACCAATATCCATACTGCCTGTGTGGTTTGTTCTTACTTTAGCCGTGAAACCAAGAGCTGGTTATTCTTTAAAGATGGCCCAAACATACCTCAATACTGATAATGATACATATAAAGATACAGAGCACTTTTATTTTGGTTAAATCCAATGTATTTTAAAGAGATCGCATACAATAATGTAAAAAATAATGACTTTTGACCCCTTACCTAATGTGCAAGCCCATTTAACACGCCAATAATGTTGTATTTAAACATTTATATAACAAAAGAGAGAATGGTCGCTGTATCTATGTAAAAACAAAGTGATTATTTCAGTAATTTATCCAATTTTACCGTATACTACCAATTAATTAAGTCTTCGATTAACTTATTTACTTTCAACACGACATCTACAAATGCATAGGTCTGTACATTTTCGACGTTTGTGCGTGAAATCGAATATTCTCTGCCGTATGAGTCACAGCAGTGCGGCGCCACACAGAAACAGCTCTGAGTGAAACAAGCGCTGCAATTAGTCAATTCTAACGCATGCTTTTTTGTTTTTCAATGAATGCCCTAATCGGTATATATCTAAATATTGATTAGTAAGTAGTAGTAGTAAGTAAGTAATTATTTATATACCGCCTTTTCACTGCAGAGCTGAGTCTCAAAGCGGTTTACAATTGTTAATTTTGGGTCGCCAGTACAGGAGGCACATGCCAGAACTATTTTACATATTTTTAGCGGTAGGGGAAACCGGAGGAAACCTACGCAGACACGGGGAGAACATGCAAACTCCACTCAGAAAGGCCCTGGTCCAACCGGGATTCGAACCCAGGACCTTCTTGCTGAGAGGCGAGAGTGCTATCCACTCAGCCACCGTGCCGATTATTTGCACTTCCATTTTTATTATACTTTCCCTTTGTGAGTGAAAGTTTTACTAGATTCACCAGTCTTCTCAGAGTCTTAAGATATTTTTATTGTTGTTTGTTCTGTTTTCCCACAGTCAGGGCATTTTTTCATATAAGGTGTGATATACTGAGTCTAACATATGTTTACCATCTGCACGGACATCCGAGCTTTACCTCCTTAGGGCCCGGACACAGTGTATACTCTGTTGAAAAGTTGTGTGTATATGTGTTTGTGTGTTCCGGGTGCGTGTGTGTGTGTGTGTGTGTGTGTGTGGGTGCGAGCATGTGTGTTTTGTGTGTTCCGGGTGCGTCTGTGTGTGTGTGTGTGTGTGTGTGTGTGTGTGTGTGTGTGTGTGTGTGTGTGTGTGTGTGTGTGCGAGCATGTGTGTGTGTGTGTGAGGGCTGGAGGTGGCTGGGTTGAGGTGATGAGGAGGATGAGGATGAAGGAGGATCGTGGTGTCACAGGGTCTCTGTGGACCCCCTGACCCACTTCCCCCTCCTCTCTCTGCTGCACCTCTCTGCTCTCCGGGCCTCTCCCCCAGCTCCTGTGCACCCCCAACTCTTCTTATCTGTCTATGCCCCCCAAACCCCCCAGCCACCATCACCTCCACCACCACCATACTGTCTCAGTGCTACTGCCTGTCTCTTAGCAACAACTGCACACCCGTTCGAGATCGGCAAATGCTTTTACAAACACACCCAGAAGGACACACACTTGTACATGCACGCACACACTAAACTATAGCTCGTCATTGAGGACTGCTGCTGGCAGGCCTGCGAGTCTGAGAGCCTTTGTGCCACAGAGATGGATACATGGAGAGAGCAGATATGTTGTACAGCCACTGTGTGCATGTGATTGAACCCTCTCACACAGCAGGCGTAACAGGCCAAGTGCCAGAGCTGGAAACCACAAACTGTCCTGGCTATACCGCACTTTTACTTTGTCAGACAATAGGTTGTTCTGTATATAGGTTTTCTCAGTGCGTTAGCTTATAGGAATGAATGTCCGTGAATACAGTAGCACCACAGCAGAAATAAGGCTGGAATAAATATGACTAACATTTTAGAGATTGCCTATAAGTAAGAATATTCGACGTATAAGATCTTGACCTGAACTCATGAACCTTTCATCCCAACCCAATATAAAATCTAAATCTTATTTGCATTTACTTTTTAGTTTGATATATTTAAGATTACAGATTTAACTTTTTCTCTTATATTTGCATTTTATTCATCTTGTTTTGATTGCTGCTTTTATTCCTAAAATGTCCCTGCTGTGAGACAAGATAGGTTTATGTTATGTTAACTGGGACAATGTACGCTTACGAACAGACACAACAAATCATGAATGAAAAGATGCCAGACTGTACTAAAGAATAGTTTCCACCTGTTGTCCCAAAGGGTCTGCTTCACAAAAACCACAACAAATAATAAAACTCTAAATTGACAAATATGAACAGCACAGGTCGAGCTGCACAATCAGTTCCAGAAGCGCATCCGACCCTTCCCACAGAATAGACCCATAGGCATCATGGGTTAAGTGCTTGCCTAAGGACACGACAACAGTTTGCACTTTAACATTTTGTGAGTCCAAGATAATGTAGTCCAATATTCCTGTTATTGCAGTTCCCAATATTTACAAAAATACTGGTTATCATAGTTGCTGAGTGGGTATCGCTCATGCCGCACAGCAAGAAGGTTGTGGGTTTGATCCTTGTTGGACCAGTGGCATTGTTTGTGGGGTTTGCATGTGTGGGTGGGTTTCCTCCAGGGCGCTCCGGTTCCTCCCAACCCCCATAACATGGACCAGTATGAGGTGGCGTTTACACAAAGACGTTGCGACAGTAAAACGGTAGAGTTTGGTATCGGTTCAGCCGCGTGAAGAAAAAGGTGTGAATTCTCTGCTGCTATGACCTCAGCACTTCACCGTACGTTCATTTGGACATGCGCTGTAGCCGAGAACAAATGTAAACAACAATGGCGGCGGATCAACTAATGCTGCGTGTGCTTTGAGCGCTACACTGAGGAGAATTCTACTTCTTTGTTCGTCCAAACGATATCACGCAAAGCTGTAGTTTCTGTTTACATTTCGCTGCTCCTGTTAAACGCAGATCATGTCTTTGCCGTGGCCTGAGGAGGATGTTGTTGAGGAAGTGGTTAGACTGCTGGGGGTCGCGTGTGTTGTGTTATAAAGTTTCACTGCCCCCTGCTGACTGAGCACTAGAACTACATAGTTTTCCGTAATCATGTAGACGTTGTGCAGTTTGAATAAGGAGCACGGTTATTTTTGCTAAATGCTTTGTAGCGTCTCCACAGCGTCTCCGCAGCGTCTCCGCAGCGTCTCCGTCTAAACAGGGCCTGAAGGTGGTGAGTGGACAATGTGGTCAGAGAAGCCGATTGCACAGACTGGCAAGAGCTCTGGTGTGTGTCGTCTTCTCTGTCTGGTGCACACTGGGGTAGTCTTGCACAGTTTTTCCAATGTGGTTTATCTGCAAATGGCAAATAAATGAATCTGAATCTGAAATAAATTAATCTGAATCTGAAGTGAGTGAGTAGTGACTTTAAGTGTACATTATTGCAGTAGTTGTGTCACATAGTTGTTACTATATGTGGCACTGCTCTTATATGTTCTAACAATGAACCAGCCATTAATGAAAACGTATAATTAATTGACTTAAAGGATGTTTCATATGTCACCAGGAGGGGATCTCGGGAAAGACCCAGGACACACTGTTGTGTGAACCAGATAAGGCAAAAAGACTTCATTTGGGGAAAGAATAGTTTGGTGGTTTCACATTTCTCCTGCTGAACCATGTTTTTACTGAATGACTCACTTAAAGTGAACTCTGGTTCAATTCAGACTCAAGTGTGAACACGCCCTGTGTCTCTCAGCTGGCTTGGGAACGCCTCAGGATTCCCAGAGGAGTGTGTGTGGATAGGGAAGTTGATCAATTAGATTTACCATTTACTAAAAAAGCTGCAGCCCTCTGACTCTCCTGTAGGGCGTTATAGTAAACTAATGTGTCATAATAATTCTACAATGAAAGATAGCGGCTTACGTACCTTTAGTCACTTCCATCATTGTACTGTGTTATATGACACAATAGAAGTGTAATAATACCACAATAAAAAGTTTTTTTTTTTTATATGTATGTTTTGTTTTCCATTTTGAAGCATAGTACTTCCCAGGTTAAACAAGGTTCAAGCCATTGTATTTTTTATAGAATATTTAATCAACAGTTTCCAAAGTTCTGAACACATACTTCATTGAGATTGTACACTAGTTGAAATGGAGTATTCCGTATCACTACGCTAGATGATGACTTTATTGGAACGATACTGATGGGTGATGCTGCGGGTGTTAGTTTAAACAATGAATCATTGCGGAACCCTTTCATTGGCTGGCACCTTTCAGCTCAGTTTGAGACGCCCCCCACTGAGTCGAGTAGAAGAATATTTGCATGTGTGTCTTTGTTTTGTGACTGTGTGTACAAATGGGAGATGTATGTCTTTATGTGCAAATGTGTGTGTGAGTGAGTGGGAGGATGGAGCAGGGAGCGGGGCCATATTTGCATCTATCTGTGTCACTGCGCGTGCAGCGTGAGTGACAGTCTGCGTAAGCACGTGCCACACAATGTTTAATTAAAGCATGTGTTCTTCCTCACATACCGGTCAGATGGAGGCTTAATTAACGCATTCCGCTAATTAGAAGAGAGTGAAAGTGAGAATGCTGGAGCTGGAGGAGGAATGGCAAAAAAAACAAAAAAAAAGTGGGCATGGCGAGGAGGCGGGTGGGTGACGCGCGCTCTCTAAAGTATTGATGCGTGTGCGCGCGTAGTGTTTGCGTGTCCCACTTGTGTCATTTCTCAACAGTCTCTTCGTGCGCTTAACCCCAAAGTCTGCCACAACAATACCCCCCCCCCCCACACACACACACACACCACCACATACACACACATACATTCTAACAAACTTTCCCCCTGCCCTGTTCTCCCGCTGGTGCCATGGCATCTATCACTTCTGCTGTCTCACGCTTTTTCTCCCCCTCTTTTGTACTTTTCTCCAGCTCCACACTGTCTTTACCCGCTCCTCCTCACTCCTAATCAGAGCCATATGTTGGAGAGGGAGGCAGAGCGAGCTGATGATGGACAGGGCTGCGCTGCGTACTTGGATGTTGGAAGAGCTGCTACTGATGATACTGTGTTCTGGTGCCAGTCTCTCTCTATGTGTGTGTGTGTGTGTGTGTAGTCCTGGACAATGCGTGTGCTGTTGCTTAGCTATGCAAACATCACGTGTAACAGTCGGAACTCAAGAGTTTTTTCTTCTTTTTTCTTTTAACATTGTATATTTCGTCCCCCTAATCCCCGTCTTTCTTTCTCTGTCACCTTCATTTCTTTATCCTCTTAACACCTCTCTGTTCATCACCTCTCTGCTTCCCCCTAGTGGCCGCGATTATTCACACATTCTTATTCTTGCACCTTCCAGCCCCTGTGCTTTGTAATGCACATCTATCAATTTGCCAAAAGGTGACAAGACGTGCTTGAGAGTACTTTGTATGTTGAATTGTTGCATCTCCAGAGTGACTTTTCAATTGCAGAACACTAATGATTCCATTGTGTTGGCCTTAGACATGATGTATGGGCTACAATGGTGACATTCTACAGAAGTGAACCAGTCAACAACTTATTTTACTAAACACAGTGTTTATTTCACCAACTCGGAATAGCACTTTCTGTTGATGTAATTATACTGCAAGTCATCTCTCGCACTCATTTTGTCTGAGATGGTGCGGTGCTCACCAAAATACTGATTTGAGTCTAGTCTGGTGCATGCTGTGACATCATGAACTAATCTTTTATTCTCTTTTTCACTCCCTCTTCTCCCTCTCTGTCCCTATCTCTCTATCCATCCATCTGTCTGTCTGTGGGCCTCTTCCAGCAGCCATGGGCCGGAGACAGGAGCAGAAGGGAGAGAGTGTGTGCAAGCTCTCCACTGCAGTATTGATGACCCAATGATCCCCTGCAGAACTGAGCCAGTCAAGCAGACACAGCCAAGCTCAACTCTGAATCCGAATTACAACCACTGCCACAACTTGTAGGTAAAGACATTCAGAAAAGATATGAATTGTGAGGTCAATAGAACCATATCACAATTTCAATCTATACAGCATAATGACACTACACTGACTGATTAGTTATATCTAAATTGTTTTTTTTTAACTCTGCGTGTGAAGAAAAGTTGATGTGAAAATACATCACAAAGAATAGACCTGAATTATATATCTGAATGTGATCTGATATTTTATGTCTGCAGGGGAATACTAAGGTGCAACTTGTTGAAGGAGCAGCATCTACATGATCAAATCCTCTGCTATCCTCTGTATAAGTCCATCTGCTGAATGAGTGGTTTGTCGGATCACCTCCGTTCGGGCAGCTTTGTGCCTCCACTGGGCTGCGGTGGGTCAAGGTTAGACGAGAGAGGCTTTGTGGGGGGCCTTCAGGAGCCTGAGTTGTGGAGCAGGGATCTGGGGCTGCAGGACCTCTCCGATAATGAAGTGGCCTTGTTGAACCCAGAGCACTTCTGCCCCGCCTCTCCCTCTGCCCTATCCAACGGGCTGCACCGACAGGGCAGACTGGAGCTTGGAGCCTGCAAACAGAGGCAGATCGACACAGCTGTGGACCACATCTTATCACAGACGCTGATCAACATGCAGACGCACATGGATGTCAGCTCTTTCATGACTCCTGATCACGCCAGGCCGTCCTCTCAGGCCCTCTCTCTGACTGTATGTCCTGGGGATGGTCCAGGTTTCAACAGTCAACTTTCAGCCCCTGTTCCAAATGCAGACACCGACTCCACTTCTGGCGCTCATGAAAACACAGAATCTTCATCCGCTCCAGTTGAGGGGGAGAAAAAGTATGCGCTTCGCAGCTCTGGGCGGCCCCGCTTCCCCTGTCACCTGCGCAAATCGACTCGTCTGCGACGCTCCTCAGACAACGTGGAAAAGAGAACAGGACAAGAGAGAGATGCTGAAGGGACTGGGGCATCAGAGGGGAAAATGTGGACTGTTAAACAAGATGAAACACCAGTGGTCGAAAAACAGGAACAGCCCAAAGTGGAGGCTGTAGTTCCCACAGCTCCCTGTACTACAGATATTCCTCTGGCTCTTACAGTACCCAAACCTCTCTCTAAACCTGGGCCTAGACTTGGCCCTAGGCCAGGACCAAAATCTCGATGTCGGCCTTTAACCAAACCTATACATAAAGCTGCCCCCAAGAGTATTTTGAAACAGCGTCAGGCAGCACAAGCACTGGCCATGGCCCGGGCTGCCACTCATGTGCCCTTCAGCTCTCCGTGTCCCATTCCAAGGATTTCTTCAAAAGTGGATGCAGAGGGCATGCCCCTCAACGGCAGGAGGAGAGGCCGCTTCACTGGTGTAAGTATAAATGAAACTTTGCATGATCAAATGTCAAAATGTAATGTCAACCTTTTGATTGCAATGATACTTTCAGGTGAGAAGGATAGTTGTCAAGGTGGCTCGTATTCCTGTCAGCCTGAGCCGCCGCCAGAAAAGCTACAAGATTTCCAACTTGGATACATTTTCAGTCACAGAAAAAAACAGCGAAGGCAGTGTGGAAGGATCTGATGTAGTCCGAGAGCCAACAGCCCTCCTCCGCATGAAGAATAATGGGAAGAGTGTAATGGTTATGTTTCCACCTGGAGAAATGCCTGTTATTCTTAAACGCAGGCGCGGCCGACCCCCTAAACAGCCTCCGCTTGGACTTCCGGGAGACCCTCTGACTATTTCTGGGGCTACAGACACTGGAAATACAGAGTCCACAAAAAAGCCACGCAGGCGCCGCCGGACTAAACTACCTTGCCCCTTTCCATCGTATGTTAATGACACTAACGATGTTAAGAGTGAATATGGAGATGTTCTGTCCAAACTGGCCTTTTTGAACAGACAGCCTCCTACCACAGGCCGCTGCTCTCCCCCTCGCTGCTGGACACCCAGTGAGCCAGAGAGCTTCCATACACCTATGGAAAACCCCGGGATCTCCACTCTTTTGCACAGGCTCACAGGATGCAGGCGGCCCAGAGGTAGCAGAGGGATGGGAAGGGGGGGAGGTGTGGGCAGAGGCAATGGAGTGGCAGGGGGCCTTTGCGGAATTGAGCAAAATAAAAGTACTTTCTGTGACTTCTTTGAATCTATAGGTAAAAAGCAGAAACTGAGTATGTCCGAACATGGACTGCCGAGGAAGAGAGGCAAGGGGGCTCATGGAAGGGGAGGGGGTTTGGTTGGTACTGAGCCTGGTGAGAAAACAAGAAAGAGGAGAGTTAGAAAAAATGGTACGTTTAAAGGGGACACTTTTTCAATGGGACATGACTGGCTGAATGGAATAGAAAGCTGGGGGGAGGAGATGGGGTTAGACAAAGTAAAGGGTGGATATCAGTTCTGTGGACCCTCTCGAGGGGCATTCTCCTCCTGTGAGTATGGGCGCGGGACATACAGTGGTCCCGGAGGGGGCCGAGGAGGTGGACCCAGTGGAGAGGATCAAAGCCTTTTTGCTGGGTACTTTCGGTCCCTTCTTGATTCAGATGATTCGTCAGACTTATTGGATATCTCTTCTGCACAGTCAGACTCAAACAAAAGTCAGTGTAACCCCAGTTATGAAGCGTCCCCTGTTAGTATGAACCAAGGGTTTCCCAAGTGGAGTTCAAAAGGTTCAGGAGAAGATGGGGCATCACATAGTTCCTCAGCCAGACCTTCATACAGCTATATCAATCCAGCCCAAATGTCTCCTACCAGATCTTATTCCAAAGCCACACCTCCCACTCTGTCCCACTCCCCAAGTTCCCACAACACTTCAACCTATGGCCACTACTCCTCCGGCCAGTCGTCATCTTCTCCAGCAGGGCTGTCTCAGAGGTCCCCTGACTGCAGCTTTGCATATGGCAAAACCACAGCAGCTGGATACTCTAACTTCACAGGAGGTCCCAAACGGGGATTTGGAGGATATAATTCTTCAACATGCCCTAACTCCCCAGGAGGAGGGTACATGTCTGTTGCTAAAGGCGGACCCTTCAACGCTTCCTCTGCAGATAGTTTCAAACAGTACAACCAATGGAGCTACAGGTGAGAACTTATTACCTAGCAATTATTGTTCTCTTAGTTTATAGTTCATAGACAATCAGTTACTCAGTGGCCTTTTATAATATTCATATAAGAATTGTTTTTTGTGTTGTTTCTTAGACAAACATATGGCTCTTGGGCTGACGGCAGTGGATCTCAGTATCACGGGTTCAATGAATATGGCTCAAATGAGTCCAAGGATATCCTGGACATTTCAAACTACACTCCCCAGAAGGCTAAGCGGCTGCCTTTCCCTGAAAGCCTCTCAGAGTCGTCCTCTGACTCCTCGCACCTGAGCTCTGCTGCCCCTGCATGTGGACATCCCTCCTCTGGCCCGTTTAGACACTGTGAGGGGCCCCATCTGCCCTTGAGTGGGGAGGGGGGGCAGTCGAGCCTGTCAAGCCTGGAGAAGTTGATGATGGACTGGCACGAGAGCGCCACAGGACCCTCTTATAACTGGAGTCAAAACGTGCTCGTTCAAGGTGGGGGAACGACCAAACCAGGACGTGGTAGAAGAAAACGGACAGAAATAGATAAAGATAACAGTTCTGGTCTGCACTCGCATTCACCATCTGGTTCCTCCCCTACACCAGGACCTAGAAGAGGTGTGGGGAGGGGCCGGGGGTCCCGAGGAGGCAGAGGAGGACTGTCTCCCTGTCAGAGGTCTAAAGGGAGAGGAAAGGCACAGCTGGCTCAGACAGGAAGTGGTCTTGCAGGGACTCCAGGGCCCCTAGATGCCCCAGCACTCTGCCATGAAGCTCTGGACTATTACAGTGGTGACAGCAGCAGCCTCTCTCCTCTGGCAACCCCAAACCCTCCTCCCCCCTCCAGCTATCTGCAGGACCCCTGTGAATACACCTCCCCGTACTCTGCCCACCCCTCCACACCCTCCTCTGAGGAGAGGTATCCAACTCTGTTTCCTGGAGAGTCCTCATCCTCCCTATCTCCCAGTGTGTCCTCTCCTCCTTACCCCCCCAAACCTACCCCTCCTCCCCCACAGACCTATCATTCTCGGACCTTCTCCCCGTCCTGCTCTCCTTCACCAAGAATCACGTCCCACTGCGGCACAGCTTTGAGCCCCTCCAATCGCCCTCCACCAAAAGAGCCACAGTTCTCCCAGTATGACTCCCCTAGTTACTGCAGCTCTCCTTATTGGTACGGACAATCCCACAGCGGCAGCCCGAGCCCCCAAATGCACAACACACACTCAAATACAGCGGTCCATGCACACAGTAACCCCCATACGAGCCCCCATGGAGCCCATGGAGCGACTCAAGGGAATTCACTGAGTAATATGCACATGAACTCAGCGCAGCACGACGCACAGCACCAAAACTCAAATATGTCGTCTCATTTGAGTGCCACCTTGTCCCACTCACTCCCAGCGAATCAGACCCATGCCCACCTCTCTCCACACTCAAACCCAAGCCTGCACTCTGCCAGTGGGTTGTACAAGGAGCGGAGCCCCCCGTCTGGCATGGCCCCTCATACAGTGAGCACAGGTCATCGCCAAATTCCTATGCCTCTGTCTCCTTACCCCAAACCCTCCTTGGACTCTTCTCCCCATCAGGAGGACACAAGTGGCTTCTCCATGTCCCAGCCATCGTACCAGGGCATGGGACCACGGTACCCCACCCAAGCGCCTCCCGGAGGGGGTGTGCTCTGCCAACTCCTGGATCAAGCCAATGAGGACAGCTTCAGCGTCACCAGCCTGTAACTACAGGTAAGCCTTACGTATGTTTAGAACTAGTTTGATGATAACATGATCAAACTAGTTCATATCCTATGTATCTTTGTTTAGTTTCATATTCAATCAAAAATATGATTGAAAGCATGTGTTTTCCAGATTATTTTATTATTATTTTTAACTCACCACAGGCCACTGGGACAGATTTCCGTCAGATGTCCTGCAGATTTAGCCAGTTTCTCACATACAAACATATTTGTGAATAAACTAAAACTGCTTTGCATTTGAAGTGGCAATTATGCAGGAAGAAAATAATAATGATATTCAATGTAATAATAAATGCACTGTTCTATATAATTTTCACATTAGTCCTTTTTTTCTTTTTCTTTCAGATGCATTTCCAAGCTTTTACAGATTTTGCAAGCATTTTTCTTTTGTTTTTATGGAGAATTCTTTGTAAGAGACTGCGAACTGAAGGGTGAGAATTTAGCTGCCAGCATTTGGACAGTAAAGCTTTAATTCTCCAGCTCTGACAATCAAAATGCTACTGCAACTTTTACACCTTTAGCATGAATATCACAAGTAGACCGTTCCGAGCAGTCGCCTGCATGTGCAGAACAAACAGCTACCTGGACGCCTGTGAGTCATAAGTGACCTAACTGCAGACTTAGCTGGAACAAGCGGAAGGCAGAGAAGAAACTCAAAACAGATGCTAATGGATTGGGACAAACCTCAATACTTTGTACAAGCACATGTTGAAGTTTGCTTTTTTTAATGTTTGAAGCATTTGCAAATTGGCAAAAAAAAGAAAATCCACTCTGCTTTTTCTGTCTTGTGTCCTATGGTAAAATCATTTCAACCATACAGTCACTCGCTGCTCTGTGTGTCGTGTCCCATGAGAGAAACGTGGACTGCAGAAACAACTCTTGCTCTTAAAATACCAGCATCTGTACAGAACATTGAACGAAATGGTTTCAGATCCAAAACTCAAGCTCTTTGTTCTACATTGTGAAGGTCCCATCTTCATGCCAGAATCTGCTTTGGTGGGGGGAGATGATGATTGCAGCATGGAGATTTAGCATCCTGTGTTCTAGCTCTTTTCACACAGAGACAAGAGAAGAGACATTGGAATCACTTAACGACCCCAAAGAGAATATAGTGTGGCTGCATGTACTTGTGTGCATATGAATGTGTGAGAGACGAGATGAGTGCGGGGTCTCCTGGATGGGCTTTTCTCCATCCTTCACTATTTCCCTTCTTTTTTCTGTGGTCTTGTGTTGTTTGGTGCTTTTGTGAAGATAATATGTATACCTGTCTGTTACATATCATGTCTGTATTTGAGGTGCAAAATATTTAAATACACATTCTGTTCTTGGCCTTGGTACTTTTGTCTGTAAGTCGTGGTTTTTAACTGGGTCTGGGGAGGTCTGGGCATGTGTGTCGAGCCGCTCGGTCTGGGACTGCGAGGGTTCAGGCAAGGACACGATTCGACAGGGAGGGAGAGGGACGGGAGAGAGAGAGAGAGAGACAGGAATTGATGGTGGGGAGCACAGGGAGGATAAAGCAGAGAGACGAGGAAATAAAAAAGTCTGAGAGAACCAAAGAAGTCTCATCGAAACATACGTAACAATGCATAATTCCACCCATTATATGTGGGATGTCCAGGCTCCGGAACATACAGTAGAAGCGAGGACATAAGGACATGCTGATCGTACTTATGTAATTGTTAGTATGTGGGTAAAGAGAGAAAGAGGCCACAGATCATGGCAGTATTGTTTGTACAGTTTGTCAACAGTCCAAACCAAGACATGTCCAGAGGAGATGTTTGCACTGACATTCTTCTAAAGTGAGGGGATGGGTACATACAGTCCACATATTCTCTCAGAGCTCAGATGTTTACTGTTTCTGGAAATGATTGTGTAATTATGGAAGGAAAGTAAAAGAAGTCTAGAGAATAATCAGAGCAAAACAGCTGATTGAAAATGATATATATTTATTCTAAACATGTAAGAACGAGACAAAAGAGGGTAGTCTCAATGCTTATGTCAATGAGGCAGATAGTTTGTATAGATCAGAAACATTTGTCTCAGAAACGTTGCTTTATGTTACAGATTAAAAACTAAAATGAATGTGCTGCAGGTCTAAATCATGTGAGTGGCCCCCGGTAGATTTGCAGCTAAAGAGACTAATAAAGACAAACATAGACAGAGAAAGTTATCCATTCACCAAGAATGACTACAGGGATCACAATGATTTTTGAATAGAGTGAAGATTGGTATGTTTGACCTTGAGGTTGGCCACAGCTACACTGGAACTTGTCTCACAAGACAATTTCATTAATGAGACAGGTCAGGTTAAGGATCCAGGACAATGTTTGATCCTAAAGACATAGACTATATGGGAGGCAGATGGAGCTGTGCAGAATGAATGTACATTCATTTGTTCAGTTTATTTAAAGATAGAAGAGAGATTCATTTAAAACAGGACATTTCTGTTACTTAGCAACAAATTTGCTAAGAAACAACTTTCTTTTATTTTCTCCTCAGTGAAAAGTGATTGATTGCCGCCTTGTGTGAGACCTGTGTCCCCACCTGTTTGCATATGGAGGATTTAGATGTAAAACGGTTTCAGAAGGATATTGGTGTAAATAGCGGGTGTACAGTCCTTGTCCCTTTGTCCAGTGAGGAATGTGCCTCGTCATCACAACTTGCCCTGGGGCAGATGAAGAAAGAGGAGGTGGCAGTTCTCAGCTGGGACTTTCGTCTAGAGTGAGAGTGTGTCCGGAGCGCAGGAGATGTGGCCGTGGGGGGACCGTACAGGACTTCTTCTGATCCCACCTCTGCTACTGGCTCTGCAGCTGCTGGTGCTGTGGCCCAAACTGCCCAGTGCTGTGCAGAGAGACGTGGGAGAGCAGACAGAAACGGCGTTCAGCGTGATGAGCATCGATCCGGAAACACGCCAGAGGGGGCGCTCTGCAGGAGGAGCAGATGTGGGGGCGCAGGGGGGCGCAGGAGGGGGGCAGGGGTTGTATGAGGACGAGAATGAGCTCAACTCACGACAGGTAAGAAACACATGTAATTACCTATTCCTAAAACATGAACGAGCTAGTTTGTCTTTCATTTTGGGCGAGCGTGACTACTCGACCCTTTCATTTTGCAAACTTCCACAATTTGACCTAACTTCTGCATTTTGGCACCAGTGGCCACACTTTGTGGAGGTGCAGCCTACAAGGCCAGTGTAGCCACGATGATCCAGCGTGTGGTGTTGCACCATTGTAAATGATTAAACACATGATTGAGCAGGTGAGGGCAGGGGTCCAACCTGTGGCCCACTTCAGAGCGGTGACAGCTGTTCTCTCCCAGGCCTGTGCCTCCAACAAACAAAGTTCTTCTTGTGTGTTTGCTGATTGGCTGGAGATGTCCCTCCTTCACTTCTCACCCCTCTCCCTTTCATTCTCCCGCTGTCTGTTTTCAGCCCAAGGCTAAAGTCTCTGACTCTGACTCACTCTTGTGAATCATCGCCCCCTTCCTCAGGTTGCCATGGTGATAGAGAAGGCTCTCGGGGTGGGGGCTCATGAGGAGGTGCTATAAGTGAACGTTTACAGTGTAATGTACATGTAACAACATGTCTGAATGCAGACGTGACCTTACAGACCACTTTACTTTACTTCTTTAAGTCTCACACAAATATTCAAATCCAATTAATAAAAAAATAAATACAATTGGTGTACTGTATGTCTATTCTAGATGGTGCCATATTCTCTGGAGATGCAGCCTTGGGCTCCCAATACATCTTTTGGAGCAGAACTCAACCGTATACTTAAGTATATCAACACTCCACAGGTATTTATCACATTTATATTGTCATGGTGTCCGTCAATAATTAACTGAAGAGCACAGAGCTCCGCCCCAAACCGGAGATCCATTTCTTAAAAAAAAAAAAAAATCTGGAATACAGACAGTGATCAAGACCATGTGAAACATGTACCTGATGGTTCCTTGTCCAATTTATGAGCTTTACTGAAAATTGTGTAACACCCATAACTATTTGAGTTATGGCAAACTAACAGAAAGAAAAAATTGTTGGTAATAAATCCAGATAAAGTGAAGAGGTATGGAGAAGTTAACCCCTTTTTTCAATGCCGTGAAAACCTGCAACTTGACGCACGCAGGCTTTGGTAGAAAGAATTTACTAATACAGAAAGAAACAATAGTAAAAACTTTTGTCTTTATTTTTTCAGTATAGGTTAACTTTGAAGTAATAGCATACACTGCCAAATCACAATGTCTGCCAAAAACTACAGCTTTTTCTTATGGACAATGTATGAAACCTCACCAACATATTGGTTTCAGGATCGCCATAATGAACAGATTGCACACTCATTTTACTCCAGAATTTACCTGGAAATCTGGAAAAATAGTTACACAAAATCTTTCTTTCTGTTTTTTTTTCTCAAGCTAAACTGCTCCAAAGTTTTATCCTCTGAGACGCAGAAGGCCACAGCAGCCCCTCCCCGGTGGCAGCTGTGTGCTGAAGACTGGCTGCTCCACACCAGTCCATGTGTAGCGTACAGCTTCAGGTATGCTCGTCTTCGTGGTGCAAGCCTTTCAGCACTTCATCTCATTCAATCCTCTGTTTCCTTTGTCCCTCAGTATGGACGGGGGAGACAGAGACTTTCAAAGCACTGTGTCAAGGTTGGGCTGCGAAGTCCATAGTTTTGATCCCAGCAGTTCCAGTACATCTGGTGGTCACCTTGGCAACAGTTTTGCAAGCCAGGGAAGAGACATGTTGAGCCAGCACAAGATGTGGCTGGAGTGGCGTAGTTCAAGGAAAAGTAAACGGAAGATGAGAAACAGTGTTTCTTTAACTCTGGCAGACATCATGGCAGCTCTGGGACACCGTGCGGTACGTACGCACACACTCCGAGACGTTTAACTCGCGCCGATCATCCACAGACCTCGCTCATACGTGTCCATGGCAACAAGGCTCTGCTGGCAGCTGGCTGCCATGGCAACACTTTGGGAGAAATCGCAAAATTACCAGCTGCGGCCACAAGAGGGAGCCACACCCCAAAAGTTCAAACACAAAGCGTTTACGTTATCAGAGACACCAAAGATCTAGAATCAGAAGATTCTAGATACAAACAGGTTTAAGGGCTTAACTAGCACCGTTTAATGACACATTTCCTTGATCTATAAATATTGTCTTATTACTTTACAAAAAAGGACACATTTTTGTGTTTTTGTATATATATAATTTCTATTTATTTATTTCTATTTTTCTATTTTCACAATCAGATGTATAGATCATAAATTAGTATATTTGTATTTGTCATCTATGGGAACAGGTCAGCGGTTCTTTGATGACACACCAAAGCACACAGGATTACATGCATACAATTACACTGCTGCATTAATAAACAAGCATTGATTTTGAACACAAATTCATAGAAATTAACATTAACCTTCAGTGTATTTAGTATAGTTTTTAGTTGCAGTAAACGTTATACATAAATACAGAGCATTTTTATATATATATCTACCTAAACAATTTATGCTTGGTTGTGGTCTCTAGGTCAACTGTGTTTCTTTCAAAGAGTGAAGTGTTATGCATTTGTTTGTTACACGTGAGAGACTTAACTTGTGTGAATTTATTCTTTCCTGATTTGTGACAGCATTGTTTTGGAATGTACATCATTGTGTAAAAGTGGTATTGATTTCCTGTTGCTTTGTCATTAAGGTGCACTTCCTGTATGCAGACCTGCTGAGTGCTGAATGGAGAGTCTTCCAGAACTGGATTGAGTCAGGCACTTTGCAAAGTGTCCATCATGTGGTGGCCACAGTGAACCTGCAGTGGGCCGGGTTTGAGGTGACCGGAACAGAGCAGGAAGTGCTGCGTTACTGGTTCAGTGTCTTACTGGGACTGCAGGCCTCTGGACTCAGGCTGGTCCACAGCTCTGCAGGAAAAGGGCAAAGTGTTCTCAAACAAACTGTGACAGGAGCACACAGTTCCTACACACTGAGCTGGGTCAACACCAGCCTCTAACATAAGCATCAAATGAAGATGCAGACCTTGCTCTCTCCGTGGACAGTTTTGTAATTGCAGCTCCCTCTACTGGACATGAAGTAATTGTACTAAGACATGACACAGTCTATGGACATGTGTTTCTACAGTTGTGAATTATTTAAAAGTCATGTTGTATAAAGTAATGTAAAGATCAATAATTCAACGTTTATTTCTTTTTATGAGTTATGCCCTGATACTCAATGTTCAAAACGACTTTAAAATCTTCCTTTTTGAGCTCACACTGTAATATAATGCATTAAAGCACATAAACCACACTCCTCAAAGTCACCAATCACATCCTCCTCCACCTTTCTGCCATTTTTTACTACAGTGTTGACAATCTTCTCCATCATCTTCACTTCAACAGTGGGGTCACCTGCTCTGCACCCTCCTAATGTCTGTTCTCTCTCACTAACAGATCTCATTATGACGCTATCAACAAAAAATATTCTTGCTGCATCCCAGTCACTCACAAAGTATCTTACGGATTGGTGCTTGGTCCTCGTTTTTCATTTATGCCCCCCATTTACCACCATGGTTTTCAATTTCACAGTTATGCCAAGTCCCAACCATACTCAATTAAACTTTTCCACCAAAACCATCCACCCTGACCCCATCACCAACTGCATATTTGCAATCAAATCTTGTATTACCGCAAACATTCTTAAACCAAACTGCAAGAAATCATAAATTGTTATTGTTGTTCCCAAATCTCCCAGTCATGGACAGCCCATGATCCACCACATTACCGAAACCGTTTTTCTTGAAAGAAACAGAACCCTGCAACGTCCCTCCCTGTTCTCCACCACCGCCAAACCCTGGTCCAGGCTCTATGGTCCAGACAAACACCACATCGACTTATTACTACAATCGTCACCTTTACGGACTCCCTTCTCCGATCCCCCAAAAAACTATGGTATGTCCTTATCTACGCCGCCAGCCGCCTCACCTGAGCCCACAGACCCTGTCTCCAATTAAACATTATATCCATTTCAATTGCCATGTGTAAAACCTAGCCTCACCTATACAGCCATATAACCCTAAGCCCCCAAACCATCTGCAGACTCAAACCTTCTCCTTCCCACTGCCAAATCCAACCTCTGAACTTTGGGGGAGCATGCATTTACAGGTCTGTGGTTCATATTTACAGTCTGTGCCCACTCTCTGGAATCATCTCCCTCCACATCAGAAACTTACTCACTCAACATTTAAAAACAAAACAAAAAACAGCTAAACCACACCTTTTTATTCAAACCAACAACTTTGGACAATCACTATTATAAAATAGTGAGTATCTCATTATTTTTATTCTATTAGACACATATAATTTTACACAGACAGTGGAAAAATGTTTTTAAAGTGTACATTCACGCCAAACATTGTGAAAGGTGGATGAAGAGGGGTAGGTCACATGCTGCTGATACCTCGTTGGTCTCACCACATTAACCACAGGATATTAGAACACCTGCACTGATTAGTGTTACAATGCATTTGTTAATACTTTTGTTTTCTTACATTGATTGCGACGGGGAAGGCACACAATCTAGAGATAGTTAGTATACGAGTAAGTAGACATTTATCCTCTTGTGAGTGTTCTGTTCGGCCGATGCCAGTCATTCCTCGGACTGGTTCCAACTCGCTGCACAATGCGCAGGAATGTGCGCTCCTCAGTCGCCTCCGCCTCAGTTACGCATATTACGGCCAGATGTTTGCCACCGGTCAGGGTGGAGCAGAGTTGCGCTATTTGCGTAGAAAGTTACACATCCTGTTCTCTCTGACATAGTTGACAACCAAAGCCACCAATAGGAGTAGAGGATGTAAGTGTATCAACCAATCAGAAGTGAGCAATATCGGGACTCGGCGTCGGGCTGTTCAGTCTGCGCGTTTTGCGGTAAATATATCTTGTAGAAATCTTCAGATACAAAAGGAACCAGGGGCGTGAAGGCGTCCTCCAGTCTCCCATTTCTGACGGTAAGTGTAGTTAAAGCCACTATTTCAAGGAAAAAGCGAAATAAGTGCGCAAAATGAGTTTTACGTGTGTTTTTTTACCCGACAAGTTACTTCCTGCTCTGACGAGGCCGAAACCTTAAGTACCAGCTTTAGCGACAGGCGTTTGGAGTTCATTACAATGTGGACGTTTGTACTGAAGCTTCAGGATCAAATCTGGAATCTAGTACAATCAGATTAAAGTGGTTTCTTGTTTCTCACAGTTGACAGCCTTTTTGGGTAAAATGCATTCAAGTTGGCATTTCGGAAAATCTCCAGAGTTGGCCTAGTCTATTTATAAAAGAATCAATTCAATGTTTCCAAATGATAAGTGCGTGTGTGTCGCTGTAGTGGAGCACAGAGGTTTTCTCTCACATTTTAGAGACTCCAGAATCTTATGAGATTGTATTTGACAGCTTTAGCACTGCATATAGTTATACAGTTGGTGGTAATAAAGACCAATGCTTAAATATGTCATTTAGAGGTTTGTGTCCATTTGTACAGCTATTTTAAACGAATTAGGGTTGCATGCTGAGTGTAGCGAGTTTTGCTTCTGCTTTTTCTCTATTGGCACGATAATCTAACTTCTTCTTATCCTGCTCAATCTGTTTTTTGTTTCCAAACTAAACTTAGCTCCCTGAAGTAATATTCAGTTTATTTCTCTAATAGTTGGGGGCTCCTGTCAGAAATGCCTCTGGTGACTCGGAACATCGAGCCGCGGCACCTGTGTCGCCAAACCATCCCCTCCAACATCCGCAGTGAGCTGGAGTGTGTCACCAACATAAGTCTCGCCAACATCATCCGTCAACTCGGTAGCCTCAGTAAGTGCTCAGCTACATTGCACATGTCTGTTACTCATGCTTTTAGGCTTGTTTAGGTTCATTGAATTAAAATGATCTATTTTGCTCTGAGCAGTTGTAGCATACTCTCTGTATTCATAGGCAAGTATGCAGAGGATGTGTTCGGGGAGCTGTTTGTGCAGGCGGGTGCATTTGCCATCAGAGTGAATACTTTAGGAGAAAGAGTGGACCGGCTGCAGGTCAAGGTCACGCAACTGGACCCTAAAGAAGAAGAAGGTATTTGCTATTTCACTAGCTATCATCCCTATGCTTGTTTATAAAGCAGTCGAGCGCCCTCATACTGTATATTTCAGATTTTTTCATGCCTTTTTCATGCCTTGCAACCTGTGCACTCTTATGCCTTCACCCATTATGCTCCTTGTAAATAGAACAAGGAGTATTGTTGTGTCGATCCTTAGGTTAAGCATATTGAGTTCCATGTATGTATGAAATGTGTATTCCCATATTGTAGAGAGGCTCTATACAATAAATGGCATCCCGTAACCATTGCACCAGGATAATCACTAAAACGTGGCTTCTTTAGTGTCTCTGCAGGGCATCACTTCTCGTAAGGCCTTCCGCAGCAGTCTGACCCAGGACCAGCAGCTCTTCACCCGTCCTTCTCTGCCTGCCCCTGTGCTGGACACCTACAGTGTCTGCAACCCGCCCCCTCCACTCAATGACCTCAGCAAGTACCGGTATGCCCCATTTACACCCAGGCTGGATATTTATGTATCAGGGGCACAGATGCACGTGGAGATGAGGCACTTGTGAACACGTGTCAGTGTCACATGCATTCCGACCTATTATTCAGATGTGTTAATAATATATTATTAATATCCCCTCCTGGGTGCTAACTGTACTGTGAAAATATGTACACGTGCGTAAAATGTGTATGTACTTGTACAGATTGCATTTCACATAGATTTCACGATAGGTCACTAAATCCACTCGTAATTAGACCATCAAATCAATATCTGTCAGTCATTTCAGAATGTCACTACTGATGCAGGGATCTGTCTCTGAGATAATGGTTCACATGCAGGGGAACAAAACTACCACAGCGTTTACAATACGGCAGAGCGAAGGACAATATTATTAAATAAATAATATTATATAAATTCAAAAAAGTAAGATTCAAACTACAAAAAAATAAACTTTAGGGAAGCTCATTACAAGGCACTGTAATTAATACAAACTTCTAGAAGCTGACTAACATGTCCCCGAAAGTATAGTTATGAATGTTATTTTTATTTGTTTCAGAGAGGATGGCAAAGAGGCTCTCAAGTTTTACACAGATCCTTCCTACTTCTTTGATCTGTGGAAAGAAAAGATGCTTCAGGATACAAAAGACATCATGAAGGAAAAGCGCAAGCACAGAGTGAGTATGAACTTGATCATGAATTAACATGTGGTTTATTATAATGGGGGTGAAATACTAGTTGAATTATACTGTGAGCAGAGGGAGAAAAAACATGATGTAAATGCAAGAACACTCAATCCTCGAAAAGTCAAAACCAGAAAGGACGAATGGGAGCGTCGCAAGATGGGGGAAGAGTTTGTGGTGCCAAAGGATGACTTCATGTAAGTTTTAATGTTGCTATATTCAAAATAATTTGTATGTAACTTTTCATTCTATATAAATTGTCCTTCACTAATCTAATAGTGGAGCTTGTGTTACCTTCTGCGAGGCATTCAGTATTTACTTCATCAGTGAATCTTTTGATGTTTGTAGGAATTCTTCAGAAGGTCTTAATGGAAGTATTGCATCTGGAGATGGATACAATGATCTTGAAATGAGTACAAACTCCTATTCTTATGAACCTGCATCTCCTCTTCCCCTACCAAGTGATGACTTGCCTCCTCCACCTCCAGATATGTCGTAAGTTAACAGTAATGCATTTTCTAAATCCAGCAGAGTCGATGGCTTTCAAAAGTTATAACCTTTGGAAATTTGGTTAGGATCCCACAACAAAGTATTAGACAACTGAAGTGAAAGCAAATGTATAAAAATACAAAATTGAAAAGTGCTGCTTGTATGAATATTCACACTGCATTCTGAGAGCATTTCATTGCCTTTCATGTCCTAATAACTGCTGAAAGCCCTAATGATGATGTAGAGCCGAGAGTGTAATCTACTCTCGGCTTCATGGAGCACACCAGAAAGGTCAGGGTATGCAGCCTTAAATTATTAATGGTATTCTCAAGCTTGAACTTCAGTTGTTTTGTAAAGAGTAGTGGGCAAAACCTTTAGGCCCCGTTTAGATGGAGGCACTGCGCAGACGCTGCAAAGCAATTAACAGAAACAACCAGGCTCATGCGCAGCATTTAGATGAGGCGTGAAAACAATGTAGATCTAGTGCCCGGCCAGAAGAGGACAGAGGAACGTCACAAACTGCCCCCCCAGCCGTATACTCACTTCCTCAAAAACATCCTCCTCAGGCCGCCGCAAAGACGTGACCAACATCATTCTATATTTTACAGCAACAGCAAAAATGGAATCTGAAACTACAGCTTTGCATGGTTTCAGTTTGGACGGACGAAGGAGTAGAATTGTCCTCCGTGTAGCGCTCGAAGCACACGTAGCTAGTTAGTGTACCTGCCGCCATTGTTGTTTACATTTGTTCTCGGCTACTGCGCATTTCCAAATTTACGTGCGGGGTGCAGGGGAAGGTGAGGGGGTCATAGCAGCAGCAGAGAATTCACACCTTTTTCTTCAAGAGGGTGTGAAAGAGCGCCCCGCTGAGCAGCATATCTAAGGCTGAGTTTATACTGAGACGCTGCGCAGACGTTTCCAGGCTATTAACAGAAACGACCAGGCTCCTAATGTAAATTTCTCAGCGTTCATATGACATTGAAAAACGAAGTAGTTCTAGCGCCCGGCCAGTAGTGGGCAGAGAAACTTTACAACACTCACACAACCCCCAGCCCCGGCAGTGTACTCACTTCCTCTGGAAAGACGCGGAAGAATAGGGGAAGAACGTACCAACATCATTCTGCATTTTAACAGCAGCTGTGAAAATGGAAACTGAACCTAGAGCTTTGCGTGCTTCGTCGAAGCCCACGAAGCTTGTTAGTGTGCCCGCCGCCATTGTTGTTTACGTTTGTTCTCCGCTACTGCGCATGTCCAAATTTACGTGCAGGGAGCAGCGGGGAGGTGGGGGTCAGATCAGGCAAAGAATTCACACCTTTTTCCCTCACGCGGGTGTGAAAAGCTCCCTGCGGAGCAGCGTATCAGAGTTGTCCCACTTTGCAGACTGGATCTGAATACTTAAGTTTTGACCCCCCTGGAACATAGTCTTCGTATGAACGGTTGGTTGCAACCCACATCCAACTATAGCGTTTTACTGCCACATTGTCTCCGTGTAAACTCAGCCTAAGCAGTCCCACTCTGTAGGATGGATCTTAACGCTAATCTGAAACACAGTCTCCATGTGAACGGGAGGTGGCAACTATCTTCCAACTATCCCGTTTTCCTGCCGCAGCGTCTCCGTCTAAACGGGGTCTTTGTCTCTACATGTGCAAAGCTTGAGTCATACTTTTGAGTCCTACTTTTGTTGCTGTGATTGCAGCAAAAGGGTGTTCCGCAGTATTTTCTCATGTTGTATGTATGCATCGTGTTGTTGCCCCTCCCCGTTCTGTGATCGGTCCCCAAAACCATGGCAACATTTTGGCCAGAGTTACCATGCTCTTGCAAAATCATGGGCCATTTTTTCACTTCAGTTTTACGTTTGTGGTTGTAAATATGCCAAAGTGTGCAATAGTCCTTTGCCAGCCCATTGTCTATTAATTAAACACTGATATTCATTTGGTTTTCAGATATGATGGACAGTTTGGAACTCCAGCCCACAAAGGTTTAAGTGTGCAGAGTCCAAGTCACCCACCTCCTGCTCCTCCCATGGCCTCTCCTCCGGCAACCCGTCCCAGTCTGGCTCCACCACCTGCCCCTCCTCCCCCTCCTCCTCCCCCTGGCATGGCCATGCCTCCACCTCCTCCTGGGTTTGAGCCGCCACCCTCTCCTCCTCCAATGACTTCCTCTCCTAGTGCCTATCCCGCTCCTCCTGCCCCACCACCTCCTCCTATGGCTATGGCCGCTGCTCCGCCTCCACCTCCTGCACCCATGGGAGGCGGTCCACCACCTCCTCCACCACCCCCTCCCCCTCCTGGACCACCTCCTCCATCTTTTAATGGGCCTCCACCGCCTTCCTCTGGAGGTGGCCTGGCACCAACTTCCAAACCACAGCGACCTCCATCTCCTGTCAACGACGCTCGCAGTGACCTGCTGTGTGCCATCCGTCAAGGTAATGTACAGCATAGTTTAATTTACTATTTAGGGTTTATGGAAAGTATATTGTTATGATGTAGAATTAACTAACCCATGCAAGGGTGTTTTTTAAAAAATATAATTAAGTCCATCTTGGCCAAGAATGTAAAATGAATATTGTTTTATGACAAATTTATCTTTTGCCACAGGTTTTAACCTACGCAAAGTTGAGGCCCAGCGAGAACAAGAAAAGCGGGTTGATACTGGGAATGATGTAGCAGCCATCTTGTCTCGACGTATCGCTGTGGAGTGCAGCGATAGTGAAGATTCTTCAGAGTTTGATGGTGACTGGTCTGATTGATGTGTTCAAAAGTTCCTTAACTGTGCGCTAGATTCACAGCAAATAATTCTGAATCTCGTTTGAAAAGTATATACCATCATCATTCTCCCATACTTAGTTGACCTGTGAGGATTAAAGTCGCAAAACTATTGCTGCCTCTAATGGAAAACACATGAGTGTTTTATGCTGGGCGACCAAAGCCACGGTCTGTGTTCGCCCCTTTAGTCCTTAAATCTCTTTTCTTAATCAGTATGATTATCAGTATGATGAGTTCTGCACATAGCTGTATCAGATGTTTAATCAGGATCACAACAAAACTGCAACACAACTGTTGCATGTAGATGTTCTATTATTGAATCCTTTAATTAGTTTACATTAAGTAAGATGTTTATATATATTTTTTATTGAATATTTTAAATCCTATTTCACGCTTGTGATTGACACTTTATAAATGTGTAGATGTGAATGGATTTGTTATTTGTTCAAGGTAAATGGTCTTGGTGTGGATAATGTGGTACTGTTCTGGATAACTAGGGACATGTGTTAGTAAAGAAAATATACACTGGCTCACAGTGCACAAAAGTACAGTACATAATAAATCACTTCTTTAATCTATTTTTATTGTAAGTTCCTCAGTATTTGAACTTTTATTTTGTTATTGCTCTGTACGATTTGTCTCGTCTGTCATCTCAAATGCTGCATTTCCATGTTCAGTGCCTTTAACATTTTATTGCCATCTTCTAAAAAAGTAACCAAGATATGTTTGGATCTGTATAAGTGCCTTTATTTAAATATTTTCTATTTGTAAACAATCATAATTTTCATCCACAAATGTAACTACTTTGGCACAACATTCCTGTTTCTATTGGTCCAAATAAAGATTTTGAAATCCAAGTTTTTCATCTGATCTGATTGTGGATGCTTTTAAAAGGTTTATGGTCTAAGCATTAGTGATGGATCTATCATCAAAACTCGTATCACAGCTGTACTTTGAAGCCTGAGCTGTACTAAAATAGCTTCTGCTTTGGAAGGAGCAGGCTGTGCTGGAATGAAGAGTGCTGACATCACAGTAAGAAAAAGCATATTTATTATTCATCAGTATAAAAAATGTATTCTTTTAAAAAAGGGTGCGCAACAACATGATCAGTACGTTTAAAAGTGCCTTAAAGAATATGTGCAAAATAGTATTTCAAACATTTAGGAACACTGGCCTTCAAGTAACATCTGGATCACTTTCATTGCACTGTGGCACCCCTCAAGGACCAAAGACACTCCGCTTATAGAAGTGGATATCAATAATGTTAGTGTTACACTCCATGGATCCAGTGGAGCTACAATTGACTGAGGATGAGGCACAAAGTACACACGTCTTCTGGGCGACCACCGGACTGCCAGGACAGCTCCGTACATTCTGCAAATGTACGCTGGATGTGTGTGTGGGCGTGTTTGTGTGTTAAGAAGAGACTGCTCGTTCAGGATAAAACTGTGTTGCGTGTTTGTCCTGGCCTTCAATGAGAACTATTTGGCATAGATTGTGAGTTTGTCTTGGAATTTGGCAGTTCACACATCCACGGGGTAGTGCACATGTGTGCTGTGTGTGCTTCTGTGGGGGCAGCATGTCTGCATCAGCACTCTGCGAATGTCCTTGTTTCTCAGACTGTAGAGCAGAGGGTTCAACAGGGAGCTGCCTGCAGCTGGCACAAGGGTAGCATATGTGTACAGTGGTGGGCTTGATGCATCACCCAAAAGCCCCCACAAAGAAAAAGGCATCCAACACCCCACAAAAACACTGAGCACAAGGAAGAGGCGAGAAAAGCCTCTTCCAGTGCCATGTTTGCTTGCATATGGCTGATTGGCAGGCAAGAAATGCCTCTGTGTGGCTATGGCATGGGCATGTCGTCTTGCTACTTGGCAAATTCCAGCATACAGTTGCAAAGTTACAATGACAACCAGCAGAAATCCTCCACACAAAAGGGATAGGTAAGTCCGGGTCAAAGGGCGTGCTACAGAGCAGTACTTTGGATCTTCCAGACAGTGCCATCCCATTGCAGGCACAGCTCCAATGACACAAGCCCCCAGCCAGACCAGCAGCAGGAGGGCGGCAGCACGGCGTCGTGATTGGCCTGATCCATAGGTGAGGGCGTGGCTCAAAGACAGGTATCGATCCAGGGCCACGCCCATCAGGCTACAGAGTGAAGCAGTCAATGATGTGACCAATAGTCCTGAAGTGAGCAATTCTGACCAGTCACTGGGCTCCACACAAAACAAGAAGAGAAAGTGCAAAATCAGAGCTACACCAGCAAGGAGATCAGCAAACCCCAGACTGGCCAGCAGCAGAAACACAGGGGCGCGGAGAGAGGGGGTGGCCAAGATTGTGGTCACTACTACAGCATTCTCCATGGCAATGACAGTTCCTGATACACACAGTGCAACACCCCACACCGTGAGGGGTGTGAGCTGAGAAGGAGAGGTGCTTGGCAGATCGTCCACCATGTAGAAAGGCTCCTCACCTGAGGTTTCCACCCAGCCAACATCTGAAGCATTCAGGATCATGGTTGATCTGTTATGAAGAGAGCACACATTAGCTGACACAGTCTGATGATACATCTTCATGCTTTAAGTCAATTAGATGCATGATTATGGCAGCAGTTTGCTCAGGCAGGTTCAGACACTCCAAACAGACATTGATCCTCTCATGTATTGTAAGTAAGTAAGTAAGTAATGTTTATTTATATACAAGGGTCACAAAGCGGTTTACAATTGTTATTATTTTTTTGGGCATTTGTCCTCTCACTCCACACAGAGATGGTTTCCCCTACCACCTAGTGGTAACCGGAGTACCCAGAGGAAACCTACGCAGACACGGGGAGAACATGCAAACTCCACTCAGAAAGGCCCTGGTCCGACCGGGATTCGAACCCAGGACCTTCTTGCTGAGAGGCGAGAGTGCTAACCACTCAGCCACCGTGCCGCCCGTTTCATACTACTTCATACTTCATTTCATACTACTGTCTTTGTCAGTCCTAGACAATACTGAACAGTGTCAATAATTTCCCCACTGTGGGACTAATAAAGGCATTCATTAATTCTTTCATAATAGCACTACACTGACAATAATAAATACAATGTATAAATGTTTCCTTTCCATAATACAATTAATGTTGTATGCATTTTTAAGTTAATTAATTTTGTATGCATGTCATAAGTCATCCATTACAGGCCATCCAATAGTATTTTTATGAAGACAAATAATTTGACACAATCCACTCTCCCTTTTGCGGTGGTTAGGTATCCATAATAGATCCATGGGTATATCCCAGCATCAGCCGCGGAGGACCATGTTGTGTAACACACTATTTGATGCAGCAGCTCAACCCCAAAGCTGACTATTGGTTACAGTAGGTTTATTTTTCTACGGTAGTTTTTTACATAAAAAAACACATATTACGTTAAAATGCCTCTTACCTTTTAACTAACTTTAAGAGTTATTCACGAAGACACGAGCTCAACGATGATTGTCGATTGAAGTGATGCTGCAAGTCCAAGTGATGCAGCGTGAAAAAAAAACTACAATCAAGTCAGCCGTAGAAAATGGAACGCTCCTGGTTTCAGTCTTTGAGATGTGCATAAATATCTATGCGCCTCACTCGCATTTTCTCCTCTGTCCAGGTCTCTCTGGGGCGCGCACAAAAACCAGAATGGATGCTGTTGCGCTCAAACACGTCCACAAGAGAGCTCGCTCTGACGTCAGTGAATGGGGGCGCTCCACCAATGAGGGTCCAGTACATCAGGTACAGAGAGTATGAGGGGGGCGCGAGGGGAGTAATTTCATTCAGAAAAATGCGGCATTGCATATGGCCCCTCCCACTGCGGTTCACTCTTGGTCTGATTCTTTGTAAATAATGATCGGATACCCGTGGATCCCCGTTAGCTGAGCGCCCACTGAGACAAAAGACAACGTCTGAGAGGTGTGAGCGGGGGGAGAGCGGCGGAGGGACGGGCAGGAGGTGGTGCTGTCCATGGTGCTGAAGGGCGCTACAGTGACTCATTCTTTGCATAACGATGTACTGGCACTCACGAGCTTTATTACACAACCTGTTCTTTACCATTGGCAAAATTATGGAACAAAAAGGAAGATGATAGGCAATCGCAGTGATGTTGTTAGTTGTATTCATAACCTGTATCCTTCCATGCATGTAGTCCACCTGTTCTATATGTCTTTTGTGGCTTCAGTTTTTATATGTCTAATTAAATGTGACATTACAATATCCAGTGAATTGCTGTTATGATAAAAGGGGTAGTAATCGAATATCTACAGGGATGTCATGGCTTTCCCGGTTTCTTGCGTGCGTGGGCTCTGCAGAACGAGCTTGCCCGGCATAATAATGTGAGGGGAATCTCGTCTTCTTCCAGCCATATTAGGACACGCTTCCTGCTAGCCTGCCTACGTCACTGAGAGGATTGTATTCTTTTTGATAGCCTCAGAAACGTTGTGACTCGAGAATGTCGAGAAACGTATCTGCAAGCACTTCATTTTTGACCTGTAGACCAAGACCATTGACTAAAACCCACATATTTCAGTTGTGTCTTTGGTAAACCAAACAGACAGTGGAGGAAGATTGGGCTCCATCAATGTGCATGCGTCGCCCAGCAGTTTCTCTACATTATCACGCCAACACACAAAAGCTTTTAGCCCAGACTGCATGAGTAAGATAAGTGGGAGTGTGGTGGAAAAGAGCAGAAAGGACCCCAAAGTGATTATTATCTATTGAGAGGCGTGAATCTCACTTATAGGGCAACTACTGAGTGGGTTTTGTAAATGATGATAAAATCCAAGTCTATATAATGAGTCAAGCAAACCTGCAAAGTCTGAAGTCAGAAGGTTTTAGTCATCTAATAAAAGTTTATAGTTCATTATTACTGACACCTTTGATGACTTTGTTCATCTGACGTCTTTGAGTGATGGGCTTTCACACCTCCATCACCATCTCCTTCACACTTGTATTTTTGGAGGGCTCTTCGTCTGTCTGGACATGACTGAGACTATGTGATTATGTCATGCTCACAAAGTAACTGTGAACATGATAATAAAGACATAGAAGACAGGCAAGCAATGTCTTTGCCTAAGGATTAAGTAAATCAATGACCTTTGTTTTGATTGATGAAAATAAAATAATGGTGATCAAATGTTATTAGTCACAAAGGGAAAGCTTCATTTTACATATATTTGACAATTACCGTAGAAACTGAAGAATATATTATTGTTTACACTTATTTACATAATCTAATACTTGATCTCCACAGGGGTCTACTCAGGGGCCTCTTATGTTCAGTCCCTTCATGATCAAATCATAACTATGCAGATCTTGTCACGGGGTGAGATGAATGAGGACTCAAATGCAGGAATGCCAAAATAATGATTTAATAAAATAAAGCCCATGGTGAAAAACAGAACTTCAAAATCCAAAATAACCAAGAATAGGCCAGAACAGACGAAAGACATTAACAAACAAGACAATGGACCAGCAACAAGGGGAGAGGAGCACAGGTACATATAGACACACAGGGACAAAGGTGAAACACATCAGGGCGGGGCAGACAATTAAGACAGGGGAAGAAGACAGAAAGTACAACTCGAACCAAACCAGAGAACTTATTTCAAAATAAAACCAAAATACAAAAATAAAATCCACACCATGACAGATCTACAATACAGACCAAAAGTTTGGACACACTTTCTCATTCAATGAGTGTAATTTCTTTTCATGACTATTGACTGTAGATTCACACCCAGGCTGTGTAAGGGCTGTTTGACCAATAAAGAGAGTGGTGGTGCTGGGCCAGATGACCCGGCCTCCAGTCACCGGACCTGAACCCCAACCAGATGGTTTTGGACCTGAACCCAATCTAGATGGACTGGACCACAGAGTGAAGGCGAAAGGGCCAAGAAGTGATAAGCATCTGTGGGAACTCAGACCATTTCAGGTCCTCTTGAAGCTCATCAAGAGAATGCCAAGAGTGTGCAAAGCAGTAATCAGAGCAAAAAGTGCTACTTTGAAAAACCTACATTTCAGTTGTTTTATACTTTTTTGACTGAATTCATAGTTTTGATGCCTTCAGTGTGAATCTACAATTTTCATAATCATGAAAATAAAAAACTCTTTGAATGAGAAGGTGTGTCCAAACTTTTGGTCTGTACTGTATGTCTCACTCACTGCAGAAGAATGTGGACCAGTGGATTCACTCCTCGCTGCATCCAACAGATCACTGAGTGGATGTAAAACAACTCTACAACTCTACAGCTCTTCATATTCAGATTCATTTATTTGCCATTTGCAGTGAAAGCTGTTATTGTGAGATTGGTGTGTAGGTTGTAGAAAATATGATGAGGACCATAGGTTTATGACCATGTGAGAGGAAGTTTATCAAGACAATGATAAAGACAAAGCTCTGGTACACAGATTGGCATGCTTCGAAATGAGACAGAGGAACATATACAAACACAATTTTTATGCATAAACCAAATGTAGAAACAAAGAAGACACTTAATGAGACTAAACATAAAATACAACACAAACAACAGAAAATAAACCATACATACAAACAAGGTCAAGAGTGGAGGGGGGTGTTCAGAGACAGAGGTGGTCAGATGATGTCATACTGTACATGGAGAAAATGCATTGAATTCCAACAAACTAATGACAGAAGCCAAAATAATGAACCTCATTTCAAACATGTTTTAGGGAAGTCTACCAAATGCTATTGCAATATATATACAGTTCTGACATTGTAAAACGCCATAACAAATTAAACCCGTAAAATCATCTCCTCCAATCTTGTGATATTCATGAATAAAATAATCTTAGTAGAAAATAATAACAAGACCTAAAACTGTTTATTACAGACAAAGGAAGGCTCCCATACACAGTCTCATTCTTCATGAAGATTTAAGTTTTGGTCCCTCTGACCTTATCCTGGTACAGGTCTTTCTAAACGTCTACTATACACCTGTCATCACGAAACACATATATTTCAGGAAGTAAGAAAACAAAATGGTGCTTTTTTTACTTGTGGTTTCCTCTGAACTCTTACATCTGCTTCAATATCTTTGCTGAGCCTTATCCCTTTGGTCTTGTGACACTCTTGATACATATTTAACACGCTACAAATGTCTTCTGTCTTTCAAATTCCGTTGTCTAAAACCCACATAGTTGAAATGACTCCAGCATTTACGGTCGCACATGTGTAGAGGGAGCCATGCCAGTTCATCTGGTGTCAGTTTCAGGTTGAGGAGGGCCACTTGTTGCTACGGGAACAGAGTTGGGTGTCTCTCATGTTACACTGATGCCTTTGTCCCATCAGTCTCTGTGTTTGTCCCGGACAGATAACTCCTTATGCAATTTTAGCACAAACTACAGGAACAATTGTTTCCTAGTTTCTATTATCTATTTTTGAAGTTGTTACAATGCAGCAAGTAGCATTCAAGATCACCTTTTCCTGTTTATTGATTTTTGCAGCAGTGAACTCTGTGTATTCACAGTCAGGTAAGTGGCTCTTTTTATACAAACACAATTTCTAAATATAGTCAATTAGGGGAAAACCATAGTTCAGTTATTTTAGCAGCCTCTGATATGGTCTGGTTCTGTTGAGGGTCTTATTAGTGGATGTTTTATGTTTAGAACTAATTTTATATTGTAATTATAATGGTTCATTTTCCATATACATAACGCATAACCAAGTGATCAGTGATTCTTTTTTGAACTTGGGACTCAACTTTTTCAGAAGGAAATATAACGGATAAAAAAATAAAATGAAGAAATGAAGTACCATGGTATAGCCCTGTTTCTATGTTTGGAAATGACTAATTTAATCTAAAATGCAAGATTGAACATGATACTCAGTGGATTGATATGTTTTTTGCTTTATTTGTACCACAGACTGTTCTCAGGCCGAATCATGTGACCTGTGCGTCGGAACATCTTTGCTCAACTTGACAGGCTGCGTCTGGAGGCTGTGCCCAGAGGGTGACGTCTATGCACAAACACGCGCGCACACACACACAAACACACACACACACACACACACACCGACACCCACGCACACGCACACACATTGACCTCTGATAGTAACTCTATCATCACAGCTGCAGTAACATAAGCTTCACTGGTTTGTTCCTTAAGGCTAAATAATTCAGCAATGATTGAGAAAATAACCTCAACAAAACTGTAATATGGGTTTTAGAAAGTCAATCCTGTTTAAGATTATGACCAAGTCGCCAAAGCCTACCTCCAGACAATGGGTTTAGATTCCTACATTAACTATAGTTAACTTTGATGACTTTGATAACTTTCATCCCAGTGCAGTTGGTCAAACTTGCTTGTGTACAGTGGTTGCTGTGAGCTCAATGCCATGTTCTATTGCATTTATCTATCTATTTATCAACAGCAGTCTTGTTGGTTTCACTCAGAGTTGTTGAATGATGTATGTTGCTGTAAGCAGTGACAGAAAATACATTAAGTAAAATGCCTTATATCAAATAGGGCATTTACGAAAACTGGAAGACGTTTAGAGTGTCTCGATGTGGGATTACAAAGTTGGAAGTAGTGATGAAAACCCTGGGGCTAGTATTAGTTCTCTAGCATTTTCAAAGTCAACTTGACTTCCTGTTCATTATAGGGCGGTCTCTTAATTCTGTTTTAGGCTTGTCTCATAAAGCTCTATCACTGCTGCGAATCTCATTTGCCTATTCCAAAATATGAATGTCTCGTTTGCCATGGTGGTGCTGTTTAGTCACGTTCATGTGATATCAATGAACTGTTTTGTTGGACCAATTGTTTCATTACATGTGTGACTTTTGTGGGTTTTTCCGACCATTATATATTTTTTGAGAGTGACCATAGGTGGCGCTAAAGTAGTCTATATATAAATTAATGTGCAGGCTGATTGCAATAAACTCTCTCACAAGTTCACAAGTATTTTCAGGTTGTATTATGAAAGGCAGTTCATGCATTTGTTGTTTAAAATGATGTATACTTTGTGTTGAACACAGATAACGATGTGGGAGTATGTGTGAAGGACGAAGGAGTCGTAGCAGACGACGGGAGGAACTGCAGCTGGACCAGAGTCTCTGAGCTGTGCTTAGGTACAAACACCACACACAGTATCATCTTCAGATAAGTTGTTATGTAGTAAGATATGGTTAATTAGTTCATTCATGATAATCTTTTCACCATCTCTTTTTTGCATCTATCCAGTTGTGGAGAAGCTTGCTGAAGATGGAAATGACGCAGGTAAAAGATACAATCTCATCCCCCCGCCTACTGTGAAAGCCCCTGAAGCCCCTCACACACAGGGGTCTGGTCAGCGCTGCCAGTAACCACCTCCATACACACACACACGCACACACATAGACACACACTCACACAAACACACACACGCCATTAACGCCTCAGCACTCATAAATAATGATGTTTCTGACTGCAGACCGTGAGGGCACTCCCAAACCTGCAGCTGACTTTTCTCAGGCCAAGTTCGACATGTCCAGCTTCCTTGGGGGCATCATCCTGGTGCTGTGTGTTCAGGCTGGGGGCTTCTTTGCAATGCGCTTCCTGAAATCAAAAGAGCAGAGTAACTATGAAACCATGTGAGTATCATTATATTAGTTATAAGAGATAACAACACATTTTAAAGCAATAATCCTGTTAAAATGATCGTAGTGAAGGTACTTATTCCCTAATTGGTTGTAGTTTCAGAACTTGTGTTTCCATCAAGTTTAATGTAAACAGTGGGAGTATTTTCTATATTACTATATCTTACTTATAAATGAATATATTTTCCGTAACAGGTTATGTAATAGACCATACTTCAAGCACTTAAAGTTATCATTAGTTTTGAAGTGTGAGAGACTGACTGGATTAGTGACGCCCTCTAGTGGATGAAGCTGATAGTGTGTTTGCTCGTCTCTGTCCCAACAGCGAACAGCCGCAGTGAGGAGCAGACAGAGGAAGGCCAAGAGGACACGTGGAGATCAGGCTGTGACTCATTATGTTGTGACATTTGCGTGGGTCCCATCTGAACCACGGGGGATGGAGTTTAAGGACACTTTCTGTAATTGGAGGAAAGCATAACTGCCTCCGCATGAGTGTGCTGTTTGGATTTTTTCCTGATTTAACCAAGAATGTTGCTTGAAATTGTGTTGCTAATTAATATAATATTCAGGAAAATAATGTTGGTGTCTGAAGTTCAAAATAAGTTCATTGACATTATTTTCGTATCGTTTGTTCCAATTAACTAAGGACACAACTTTCCAGATATGTCTAAACCCACAATCCTCTACATGGAGTGTCAATTTCAGTGAGATGAATTATTTAGACACATCATAATATATTGTATTGATGAATTTGTTCTACATGTGTGTAATCATCTGTGATGTTTATTATTTCCATACATGAAATATTCTTTGACAATCTCAGTGTTTCTGCAACAAAATAATTAGTGTCGTTTTGAGTAAACATTGCTTAGTTTAAAAAAGAGAGTTATGTTTAAAGTGTGTTTTAAATGTTTTTGTGCTTATGAACAATGAATAATCTAACCTTTCGTGACTGAAACTGTGGAACTGTGCCCACGGGTACTTCACCCTCCTCCTCCTCATGTACCTGTTGAGACATAAAACACCTTTTTTAATTGTTTGGTGATAACACTTTACCTAAACTCAAGGATTTTATTGTATTCAAGCGCTGTGTTTAGTTACCTGATATGTTTCATGCTCTAAGTGACGGAAGAGAACCCTAAATTCATAAACACAGAAAGATTTTTTAAAAATAAGGCTTTACCTACACTTTAAGTGAAAACCTCTTGGATTTCTTTGTAAGTGCAAAGCACTATCTGTCACAACATTAAAGAATTGGAGGAGCATTTATTGCCAGGACCCTCAATAGGCCTGGGCACAAATAAAGCACCCAATTCAACACACTGGTGGCCTCTATCCAAGTGTGTTGACAAAAGCAGCCCTACATCCGAATTCAACAAAACAACCTCCTTCCTTCTCATTTTTATTCACCTCCTTGGAGTACATGTTTACTATATGGCATTATAACATCAAAGATGTTGAATTTCACTTGAGCAAACTTGGAGCTGAATCTTGTTCTCATAAAAAGCACAAGAAAAGACTATGAAGGCGGTATGTTTGCCAAATTTGGATGTAGCCCAGAACTGAATACTGAAGTCTTTTCCCTCTCGACCCATTCCCAGTTCACTCTTCTCTCACAAACATTGGAATATAGTGGCTTGCAAAAGTTCCTGAGTTCCTGATAAATGGTGGGTCAAGTTCCAGAGAGGTCAAAAGGAAAGGTTACAGTTGAGGAATGCACTTTTAAATACTGCACAGATAAAAGTTGCAAGCCCATTTTTTATGTAAAAAAAATAACAAACAAATAAAATAAAAACAAATGATTTTCTTTCATAATTGTCACTCTTACTTTGTGATGATCTTCCAGAAAATAATATACAATAAAATACACAATAAAATATCTTTAGATAACAGAGAACAGGACTTAATGTGCTAAAGTTTAAGTACTTTTGCAAGCCCCTGAACACACACAATCTATTAGCATAAGTTACCACAGCCTGCCAGTGAAGCTACAGCAGGTTGTTCTGGCCCGGAGCCAGCGGCGGCCAGCTGCATGAGTAAACAGCTCTGTGTATGTTTAGCAGGTGTGGTGCACAGTCACCCCATCCCACCTCCACCCTGGGACCAGAACAGTCACATCCGGGTGGGACGCTCCGATCACACTCACCACCACGGGCACGCGCACTCGGAACTTTCTGTTTGTTTGTCCCGTGCGCGTGCCCCACGTCAGAAGAGGGCGTGGCCACGGCCCCTCCAAACCCTCACGCGGCTCTCTCCACTTTAAACTTATTAACTTTTTTCAGTTCATGGAAATCAAAGAGGCAACAACACCCCGCAGGTAATGTTCATAGTGTTTCTTGCATTGGTTCAGCGCGTTACAAAATGTTTACTTATTTTTGTAATAGTTTCCTTTGGTTTTCGATGCAAAAGTGTCAGATCCAAATCCATGGTCAGATCTGATGTTATGATCATGGAGAAAACGTGCTATTCTAACGTGCTAAAACCGTAGCAAAAATAATTACATGACACTTTAAACGCTATAATTCCTTTATTTAACTTGCCAAGTCCTGACAAAACGTACCTTATGTGAACGTGAGGAACCACTTCTTCCAGAGAACTCATTGTTTTAGTTCGCTGGACATGAGAAAACAAGCAAATTTGTTGGTTAAATGTTTTTAATGAGCTACTGTCGCTGATCTTTTGGCTATACTCCAAACTGCAACTAGGCAACCTTTTGCGCATGCGTAATTTCATGCTCATTTTGGCCCAGTCCCAATACCCACACTGCACCCTACGCCCTCCTATGAAGTGTGCATTTGTTTGAAGTGCGCGCAAGGGTTTGAGTGCGCAGGTTGCAAGCGTGCTCAAAAGGCGGAATTGGGACAGTGCACACTGAGTGCAGGTTACGTCATCGACTCGTCAAGAGATGGTCATTTTCAGACCTAAACTTTGTCTGACCCTTTGGGAAACAAATTGAATTGCTTCACACACGTTAAAATACATGTATATTAGTGGTTTCTAATTAGAGATAGCTGTATAATTTTAAGTTAAATGTGGGTAACTAACTGTTATCTGGTCAGTTTTTATACATTCTAAGATTATTGTACTAAGTGTAAAGTTTAAATTGAATGTTATATAAACGCTTGGTTTAAAAAGTTATTAAATTGTTAAAACACAATGTCCGTAATTCTTCATCAGACGTTTATGCTTCTTTCCAAGTAACATAGCAAAACTTATTTACACACATACTGCATATATATTTCAAAATGTATATTTAAATGCATTTTCCCAACGTTTTGGTGTGTACCGCAAAGAATTATGGGCAATATCCTTCGCCAGAGTGCGCATAGATGCAGGCTACGGCGAAGTGTGGATCAGGGGCGCAAAGGGGGCGGGGCCAAAGACCTCCCTGGAGAATTGGGACACCCTACGCACTCGCACCCTTTATCGGGAACGCGCAAATGAGGGGCGCGAGGGTGAAAGTGCGAGTATTGGGACGGGGCCTTTGTCTCGAAGGCCCAGTCCCAATACCCACACTGCACCCTACGCCCTCCTATGAAGTGTGCATTTGTTTGAAGTGCGCGCAAGGGTTTGAGTGCGCAGGTTACAAGTGTGCACAAAAGGCGGAATTGGGACAGTGCACACTGAGTGCAGGTTACGTCATCGACTTGTCAAGAGATGGTCATTTTCAGACCTAAACTTTATACAAATTAAAGGTAATTTTGTCTGATCCTTTGGGAAACTAAATGAATTGCTTCACACACGTTAAAATACATGTATATTAGTGGTTTCTAATTAGAGATAGCTGTATAATTTTAAGTTAAATGTGGGTAACTAACTGTTATCTGGTCAGTTTTTATACATTCTAAGATTATTGTACTAAGTGTAAAGTTTAAATTGAATGTTATATAAACGCTTGGTTTAAAAAGTTATTAAATTGTTAAAACACAATGTCCGTAATTCTTCATCAGACGTTTATGCTTCTTTCCAAGTCACATTGCAAAACTTATTTACACACATACTGCATATATATTTCAAAATGTATATTTAAATGCATTTTCCCGACGTTTTGGTGTGTACCGCAAAGAATTATGGGCAATATCCTTCGCCAGAGTGCGCATAGATGCAGGCTACGGCGAAGTGTGGATCAGGGGCGCAAAGGGGGCGGGGCCAAAGACCTCCCTGGAGAATTGGGACACCCTACGCACTCGCACCCTTTATCGGGAACGCGCAAATGAGGGGCGCGAGGGTGGAAGTGCGAGTATTGGGACGGGGCCTTAGTCTAAACTCAAACACTTATAATTGTAGCGTTAGTTGTGTTGTATTGTTAAACACACGCGTTAACATTCTTTGCTCCATGGTGCAAGAGTTTTGTCAGTTTTATGAGTCGTAGATTTATGACACTATCAAGAATGCCAATTATCTTATCACAATATAATACATTTTCTCATGCTGGTGTTTGACTGTAGCTGAGCCTGTGCGATGGAGCGAGACTCTGGCGGCTCTCTGGACCTGAGCCACTTGACAGAAGATGAGCAGACGTCCATCCTCAAAGTGTTACAGCGAGATCTGGAGCTGAAGAATCTGGACGAAGGTCGCTTAAGGTCTCAGTATATCCAGAATACTTTCCTTATAGTACCTACTACTACCTACCCAAGGACGCAAGCAACCCATTATGACCCACTTACAAGAAATGCATTATATTTCAAATGAATTGTGTGTGTTTGGTTTCCTCTCTGCAGAAACCTGGAGGAGAAAGAGACAGATCCCACGCGTTTGCGCTCTTTATCAGGCGCCTGGTTTAACGATGAGCGCAGTAAAAGGCACCACACCTGGACATCTGGCTGCGATCTCGTTCATGCGTCTATGCGCCTCAGAAAGCCAAAACCCAAACGTGAGCTTATTGCACCGCTCCTTGTTACCACAGACAGGTTTTGTTGATTCAGGGATTTCTCAGTGATGCTTGTGCGGTTGTTGCTATAGTTACAGAAGTGCCACTGACTGGGCTGTTCAATGGGGAAGCAGAGGAGACGAAGTCATCACAACAAAATAACATTTCACGTTTTGATAATGGGCCAAACAAGATGAGACAAGAAAATACAACTGGGTTAGTGTGGATATGCATTCAGATGTGTTCAGTTGTTATGTATTATTTATTTGTATTAACTGTACATGTTTTAGAAGCCAGAACACTTTGAAGACTACACACTTATTCAGAACAAAAAAACCACAAGAAAAGGTCTGTAAGATGATTATTGTGTCTAGTCTCATAGATGATATTACCAGATCTGGCTTATATTACAATTTACACTAGGATCACATTTGTTGTACTGATCAACTGCCAAATGTAGTGAATTTCTAATAGTTTTACCCTTTTTATATTTGAGGATAAAATGCAATCTCATTCCAGGTTGTACCAGAAAGCACAGCGTTGTCCAAAGGTAGTCTTTTCCTAGGACTAAATCTCTCTTGGTGCCAATAATGTATGACGTATTATTTTGTTGCTCCCCAGAGTCTGAAAGGAGAACTAATGGAAGCCACACAGAAGAAAATGAAGTAAGGCACAAATTGAAGGAAACAATTATTGCGTATTTTTGGCTTTTTATTACAGATGCGGGTGCTATTTGGTTGGAACAGTCACTTCTAGTAATTGCTGGCTTTAAGCTTTGATAAATTGTCAGGGTTACAATAAGATTTGACACAGTATTTCTTTCTCCTGCTACAACTTAATAGCGTATCTTTTCATAACTACTTGTGCAATAGGGCATTGTTAATGGCTGTGACGAGGACAGTGATTCTTTCGGCAGCTGCCAGAACGTTATGGATCCCGATTCTTTAAAAAACAGCAGCTCTGGTGGCAGTCTGCACTCCAGCTACACGGTACACACACACACACACCCCTGACGAGGCGCAGATGACTCAGCCCAGGACACTGACGTCGGCACTGATTACTGTTGTACGTGCTTTTAGCTGAGTGGCAGCATGATGAGTTTGTTCAGTTCCGGAGACTTTGGTGTGGTGGAGGTAAGGGGACGAATACTGTTCTCGTTGGTCTACGACGTGCACAGGGAGGAGCTGCAAATTAAAATCTTCAGCTGTGAGGACATTGCAGCCGCGCGAAAGAACCGCTCCGACCCGTACGTGTCACATTGTGTTGGTCAAAGTCACCCTGGCGTTCACACCGTGTTCTCATTCCCTAGATATGTAAAAGCCTACCTGCTGCCGGACATGTCGAGTCAGAGCAAGAAGAAGACATCAGTGAAGAAAAATACTCAAAATCCAGTGTATGACCAGACACTCAGAGTAAGAAAATGTCGTATGAACCTTGTGCCCTCAAATTAGATTGGTAAACATTTTGTGAGAGTTTCGTAACATGCTATTATAAAACTAATCCAATAAAGGGGGATGTGATGATATAAAGTGGACCAGTGACCAGGTAATGCCCACACTGCCCTCTCCAGATAAGGGTTAAGCCTCTGTAGAATAAATGTTTTTAATGTTTTCTGTTTCAACCTATTAAGTGCCTCGTTGTCTTAAAGGATTTTTAATTGTGGTAGTTTGGTATTAGGCTAAATGTATTTCTCTCACCAGCCCAAAACTGCAAATGCAGTACTGAAGGAGGCTTTAGTAAATGCAAATATATTATTGAGAGAAGGAGGAGAGGGGGAGAGAGCTACACTAGATATTCTCAGATTTGCATAAATAGTAATAGCCCTTAACATCCTTTTCAATGAGACACCAACGTGCTTTGGCCAAACAGAGATCTTTGTCCTCCATTTTTTCCCCGAATGTATTATTTTCATATTTATCGACAACAAACAAAAAAATACTAAGTGCAACTGTCATCTTTGTAGCTGTTCTCTACAGTAATATAACTATTTGTCTCCTAGTACAAAATGCGAGTAGGAGAGCTTCGCAGCCGGACATTAAACCTGTCTGTGTGGCACGCGGCGCCCCTGGGGAGAAACGTGTTTTTGGGAGAAGTGGAGCTGGCTTTGGGCAGCTGGGACTGGACCTACAGCCAGCCTCTGTGGCAGGATCTGCAGCCAAGGGTTGGTCAAAAGATGAATCATGAATATACAACTCTGTTTGCTTCTTCAATCATATTTGCCAACTGAACATGAGTCAGTGTTTCCTTCTGATTTTTGAAGTATGTGTTGTGGTAGATCTAATAATCAAAAGCTTAGAGAGGAGTGTTCCGGGAAAATCTGAAGGAAGGAAAGACATGCTGTGAATTTAAATTAGGCTAAATGTAACAAAGACTACTCTGTGTTCACATCTGCCTTACTTAATGTTTCCTCCTTGTCTTTGTCCTCATATTTTTATGCTGCTTTGATTTTTATGTTTTGAAGGTCCATTTGAGTCCAGACGCCTTAAGCAGTCGAGGAATTGTTGTGTTATCTGTCAAATTTGTCCCTGAAGGATTTGAGGGTGAGAACAATAATGCATAATGTATATTACCCAAGAGTTTCTCATTTTAAAAGTTATGTTCTTGTATAAGGTGGTGGCATGCCGCTGACTGGGGAGGTTCACATTTGGCTGCGTGAGGCCCAAGGTCTTTTGTCCAATAAAGGAGGTCCACTGAACTCCTTTGTCAGATGGTTTGTGATCTCACTGGAGAATCAATCTTTATAACCACCATCCCTTTAATAGTGCTATCTTCAAACACTGTCTCCTGTACATTCTCACATTAGATTATTGATTCTCATTTTGTAAAATTTAGAATACAATGTACAGCCTTCAACATTAAGTTTATTGTTTCTGATTATGTTTTAGCTACATTCTTCCTGATGCTAGTCGTCAGAGTACTCAGAAGACTCGTATTGTGAAGCATTCAATCAGCCCAACTTTCAACCACACAATGGTGTATGATGGCTTTCAAACCAGTGACCTGAAAGAGGCCTGTGCCGAGCTCACGGTGTGGCAACGAGAGGGTCTGAAGACTCTTATTCTTGGTGGGATAAGGCTGAGCTGTGGAACTGGTAAATGTAAAATGTACTTGATAGTTAGATGTTTTGGGACCACACTTTTTGAATGACACGTGGATAATGTTTTGTGTCAGTGGTGCACAGTTCACGGAAGGTATTTCAAACATTTGGGATGGGCATGTTGTTGGAGTAAGGTCATTTTATGGCTCTCAGAAAGCCTCTACAGTATGTGTCACACTTGTAATAATTTGATTTGCCAACTTGCCTTCTACTTTTAGATAGCACAGTCTGTGACACAATGAGGCATATGAAATATCTAATCATTGTTTATGTCTAATGACAGGCCAGAGTTATGGTGAACAAGTGAGTTGGATGGACTCTACAGAGGAAGAAAGAAGTCTGTGGAACTCTATGATCAACTATCCAAACCACTGGATCGATGCTACTTTGCCCATTAGAACTGATCTACAGAAGCGGCTATAGTGACCTGAAAGAATGACTCAACATTTACAGATGATGTAGGCACTAAGTGGAGGTGCAATATTACATCTAGGTTACTTTTGTGTTATTTCAAGCTCAAATGATGGTTTTGTATTTCCAGATGTTTTTACATATTTTAAAATCTAGGGTGTTCGTATTGTTTCTAAAAGTCAATATGTTTACTGTTTATTAAGATTAACTAAATTATGCAAACAAACTATTTTAATAAAAAGGCTGTTGTACTGTTTTTATTATGATTACAGTGAATGTACTGCTGTAATAATCACTCTTTGCTCAAAAGTTTATCATTTATATGATGGTCCAGCAGGGGGCGTAGAACATTGCGATGTAAAAACATGACCAGAGGAGAGCGGAACAATAGTTTAACATTTAAAACGAGTCGGGACAGTAATACAATATATTTTGCGTACTTATAGCGGCGAGACATGTCGTAAAAACTATTCACCTAAAATCTGAGAAAATGTGGTTGCTCCAAGCTTTCTGTTCTGCGGCGTTGCCATGGTTACGGTGGCAAAACAGACATCAGAGGGACCGCTGCAGTGCAACTAAAGTAGAAAATGTCAATGAACCGAAAGATGATGGAAAGTTTAACGGACAGGTTATCAAAACACGTGGAGCATTGTGAGTACAAATATCTATTGGTTCGTAGTTTTTTGTCACGTTTTTGTCAGATTAAAGCAGTGTGTGTGATTTCAGTCGAAAAAGATGAGATTGAGTGTCTAATCCGAGAGTTCCAGTCGCTCCTGGGGGAGCAGAGTGCTCATGGGAAGCCTGTCCCGGGGCTGGACAGGGGGAAGTTCAGAAGTGTGCTGCACCATGCCTTTAACATGACCGACGGCATGATCATGGACGGGGGTAAGAGACGTCCATGATCTTCCACTTATGGATCTCGATTTATGAACGTTTATAAAGTTATTGTGCTCTGCAGTTTTCAGAACCTTTGACAAGGACAATGATGGATTTTTGAATGTTAAAGAGTGGATCACCGGCTTGGCTGTGTTTCTACGTGGGACAATAGACGAAAAAATAAAATGCAAGATACATACATTTGTTAATTGCACATTGCTGTTTGACTAAATCTGCCCTGTTTCCTTCCATATGGTAAACTTTAGACTGTTTCATGGTTTACGATTTAAATAATGACGGATATATCTCCAGAGATGAGATGTTTCATTTACTGAAGAACAGCCTCACCAGTCAGCCTAATGAAGAGGACCCCGACGAGGGCATAAAGGACCTGGTGGAAATCACACTGAAGAAAATGGTCTGTCGTTTATTTTCATAACTATTTTCTGAAAAACCTGTATTGAGTTGGATTACTAATACTGATCCTCTCATCAGGATCATGACCATGATGGAAAATTATCTTTAATGGATTTTTACACATCGGTAAAAGAGGAGAACCTGTTACTTGAGGCTTTTGGACCATGCCTTCCAGATTTAACGGTATTTAACTAACAGTAAAACAAATTTTTAAGTCTCTGATAATTGTGATTCATTATATGCTCTTTTAGGCTATTCATGCATTCAACAATCGCATATTTACAGAAGAAGAGGAGCAGTAAAGAGAACTTAAGACTTTTATTCAACCAGTCCTGCTGAGTTTTCAGATTCACTTTTCTTAAGAGTCCTGGCTCCAATTCATTTGTGAAGCATATAATGTGCAAAATACATCAAATCCTCCGGCGTTGTTTCACCTTTTTAACCACTGGCTTGACGTCAGCCACTGATTCCACCTGTAATATATATATAGAGTACATGTTACTCATTTATCATGGTTCAGCTAATAAAATGTGTTTGTGAAAGCGTCATACCCGTTTCAAAGTGTCCCTGATCATCTTGACTGTTGTGTTTAATGATTCATTCTCCATGTCAAGTTTGGGCTGCTCTGGTAACTTTGGTCCAATAAGTTCTTCACTCAGACAAGGTGATTCATTTAAGCATTGCACAGCCTCATCTGACCGTTGTTTTCTTTTTTCCAACTGTGTGGTCCGTGGCAGAAATCTCACGGGCGGTTGAAGTGGTTTAAGATGGTCCTTGAATGTGTCTGAAGTGTTTTGGCTGATCATGCTCTGCTCTGGATTAGGTCTCATATCAATAAAAGCATTATGCAATGTTCCCATTTTATCCTCCGTGGGCAAATTTCTATGAGCGTTTTCTGGATAATATTCTCGAGGAGGCAGTGGAAGCAAAGGAAAACTGCGATCATGATGTGATGAGTGATCTGTGTCATCAGTATCGGTTGTCCATGGCTTGGAAGTTGTTGCCTCTGGGGATGATACTGTGGCAATTGGTGTCGTCTCTGGGGCAACGTGTTCTTCTTGTCGTTTGTCTCTTGCTTTGTAAAAACAAAAACACAATCAGATTATATGTTGATATCTGGAATGATTAGATTGTTTGGATGACATTGTATTGAGTGTCCTCTGCATGGTTGGTCTACTGTTGCGGACATTTCTGGTTATGTTTGGGACTGGCCTGAGTTGAGGGACTGGGTACAGCTGGGGCACTTTGATCATTGTTGCAGCCTCCATTATAATGTTTAAAAGCTGGGCATTTCTGAAACTTATTATTCTGTTCAACAATGTTTGTTTCCATAGAAAAAGGACATTTAAAAAAAGTGTACATAGGATGGCAGTCTATACGTTTTTCTTCTTCCCTCTTGAGCTGATAAATTGTAAATAATTATATTGACAAATGGAAACAGTTGAATATTGTCTATGTATATCATTCATGTGTATGTATACTATGTGTATAGTAGGCAAACAAATCTAAAATGTAACCATTTATGGTAAAATTAATGAAAAAAGCAGATAATCAGCAAGAATCACAGATGAGCAGAGGAAAACCTGTGTGCCATTTGCACAATCTTGAGACATGGGATTTGTAATTTCAAGGCAAGACTGTTCAAAATTAAGTGAAAAGCATGCACAGAACTATGATGACAAACATTTTTTTGTTTGGTTGGACATGTGTTTTGTGCTATTATTCAAATTAGCAATTTCAATATATGGCAATACCGTTAACAAGACAAGATGGAATAGTAACTTTGATTCAATGCCAAGTGTGAAGAGTACTGGACAATATGAGACTTTAATTATCACACATATTTTACCAAACAGCCGTAGAAACTGATATTTGATCATTGTAATTTTGATTCAAATGCACAGCACAGCCCAAGCACTTGGATGAATATAAACTTGAGTACCAATATAGTGTAGCGTCTTCATGATGTAGTTCTTTCTGTCTCGCAGTTTGTGTCTTGTGTCCTCCACCGTCTCATATTCTGGGACATAGCAGACATGTAGAATACCTCCATAAAAGCTCTTCCCATCTATGCGTCTTTTTGCTGCTCTGCAAAACAATGTTTAAAAGGTTCATACAGAAAACTGTAATAAATCTTAATTCAGAAACATACCTGGCACTGACAATCTTCTGAAATTTGATAAGGTAGACTTCTGTGAACTCCTCAGCCGGATATTCGTCCAGAGGTCTGTACTCCTCCACTGTCCCATACAGTGCACACAGCTGGATCAGCTCCTTCATCACACCTATTGCTGGGACTCCCTGAACCATCACATAGCAAGACTCCAAATTGATAGTATAGACCTGAAATGTGACAGTAAGTGATGTATTAAAGGCTTGACTATCAACAAAGGTTTATATAAGATATTCCTTTATTCGTCCCACAGTGGGGAAATTTCAGTTTCATAAATAGTACAACAACAAATTTCAGACAACACAGAATTGTCTTTGTTAAATGTTTTGTACATTTAACAAGCGATGTGAGTCAATATGTGTCTTTTTTTGGCTGAGGCTGATTGGAGTTTGAATGATTGGAGAGCGAAGGTGTCTTTTTGCCTTTTCTGTCACTTATAGACTTGGAAGTTCAAATTATCATAAACAATATACTCAATAGGCACAGTTTAGGTTACATATCTTCAAATTACAACAACCACAGCCATTTTTGAGCCATTTTCTAATTTAGCTGGGTGGCCAAAATAAAACAATGTCAATGCCTTGCACCGTAGACACATCGCCAGTGGATTGATTTAAAACATACCTTTACCGCTCTATCCTTCCTCCCTTCTCTATATTTGGGGCGAGAAAAGCATATTTTACGCTGTTCGTGATGTTTAAACACTTCAGGAGTCTCCCAACAAGAAGGTTTGTTGTTGACAGGAGCCGCCATCTTTGTTTAAGAAGTGCTTTTCAAAATAAGAGCACAGAGCCCTTATGTCTGCTCTCTTCAGTACGTGTTAACTATGAAAGCTTTTATTTTGACGGACTCTTTTCTCGACTGCTCTGGTCTGGTTGGTCGACTATCGAGGAGGATTCTGTTAGCTGAGCAGCGTGTAAACTTTAAAAAGGTAGAAAAGGCAATGTCCGTGAAATGTTTGCTAACCAGGGCATTCATCCCGTCACAGTGTTCTTCAGTAACGCGAAAAACTGTTTTCTTCACCTCCCTCCGAAGCTAGTGTCGCATTTATCACTGCAGGAGGTAAGTTTAGCTTTAGCTCTGTCATTTGAATTGATTTAAAATTGGAAAGGTCAACACACTTTATAATGAACTCAATTTAGCTAATAGTAAATTAATTCATTTATTAAAGGAGTTGTTTGCATGAACTGTCTTCTCAGTCATTATTATTAGTAACCAATTATTTGACGATGAGATATTTATCAACAAATAACATCGACTGTGTTATTACTGATTTATAAATGTGCGTTTGTAATGTTTATTTTTTATATACAGAATCAGGCCCTGGAGTTATCATGGGAAAGTGGTGCATCCGTTTTTCTCAGCTGGAGATATAATAGAAATTCATCCAATGATTCTCAAAAAGTTGAGTTGTGTCACCAGCTGGGAGAGCGTCTGGGCCTTCAAGATGGAGAGCAAGTACGAACATATTTATTTGCTTTTATTGTTATTTTAATGTATTTTTTAGTGGTCATTTTCACTGGTATTTTGTGTCAAACAGGGTTTCATAAAGCCATGTCGTCAGGTCTCCTCTGTGCATCAAGTGTTTGTGGAGCCATTTTCCTTTGATGACTGGGAGATCTTGGTAAGTCAAGTAATGACTATATACGATATTTGTCATAGCTTAATAAGTCTACACCTCTCCTTATACATGTCATCCCTGCCAGGAGCTTCACAGTGCTGCACTTGAGACCCAGCTGCTTGATCAGATTAGAGTTGTCTTTCTGGATGCGGTCTTCCCTGTGTGGGTGGACACTCACACAGCCATCTACATACAAATAGGTGAGGGTCATCTGAAACGGGGAGCATTTTGTCTTCCTTCAAAAATTACATTAAAAACAAAGCTATACATCATGTCTTACTGTCTAGAAAACACACTTTCTAATATGTGGTTTTTCTTGTAGCATCATTATTGCCCTCTGTGCCATTTGGTCGACTGGAGCAGTTTACAGAACTCATTGTGACACCGAAAAGCCGCCCAGATATTAACATTAGCAGATCTCCACTAAAAGTGAGCAAGAACAGACCTAACCAAGGGCTCCAGAAGTCTGATGTCTCCTCATCTGCGATACAACCGTCCCATGAGTGGGATCTGAAAAGTTTCATGCGACACTGGCTCCTGGGGTCAGTGCAGGAGCTCCCCCCAGTCCCTGAACTGCCTCTGGTCATCTCAGACTCTGTCTTCAGAGTGTGCAGTTTGCCTCCAGATGCTCTGTGCACTATAAGTCACCTGGTGGCTGAAGTGGTGCATGTGTTTCCTCTTCACCCTAGACTGAATCTAAGCCACACAGGAGGCCAGTCACAAATCACATATGCAGTGCTCTCTAAAGTTTCTCTTATAAAACACACCAAGGATAAAGCTAAAACTGCTTTGGACAATAAGAAAAGTGTCTCTAAAATGGCAGACTCAGATGGAGAGACCAAGGATGAGGCCATTGTGGTCAGGGTTGTGTGCCGAGAGTCACTGCCTCGTCCTTTTAAAGGATCCATTCACAGCGGGAAAGTTTGGGTAAGAATATTTGCACTGTTCAACCCTAATATTCAAATTACACTTTCAAAAAATCCTCTCCCCCTCCAGATTTCAGAGCAGCTAGCCGCTAGAATGAATGTCATCCCACATTCATCAGTGAGGCTAAAGCCTGTAAAATCTCCTGTTAAAGTAGCCACTGTCATCCAGTTACAACCAATCCTACCAATGGTGAGTGATGAACATTTAATAACAACCCTGGCACCGTGACACTGCTATTCTATGCTTCACATAACTATTGCAATAACATATAAAATACTGTATAAGTAAAACAAGTCAAATGTATCACTTTCAAATCACCAAAATGTTTGTTTATAACTGATGATTTTAGATAAGTATTACTACTACTATAACATTTAAAATGATAACCCCTGCAGTCAGAAGATGATGATGAGATACGGACGGTGTTCCTGGGATGGCTCCACACCCAGAGCCATGAGCCTTTAGCCTGTTTAACTGCACGCTGCAGCACCATCCTGCTCCACAGCTCTGAAGGTGAACTAGACGTATTTGTTATTTCAAAAGTTACTCATACTCATTTCAACTGTTTCTTCTTATTTTTTTTTTAAATCTTAGCCAAGCTTCAGTTAGCTCTGACTGTATTAAAACCTGAATCTGCTAATGATCCTCTTGATCAGCTATTTCTTCTGACATCCACACTTCTAAAACAGGATGACATACAGGTATTTATGGAACTGTTCTTGTTTATTTTGTGCAAAATCATAATGAATCATGCAATACATGTATTTATAGATCGTAAGAGAAAGCTTTACCAAGGCAGCAGAGAAAACTCCAGACAAAAAGTCCAACATAGAGGAGCTCCCTTCTCTCAACAGTCTTGGGTTTGTGATGTTTGGTTAACTCTTTGGACGTGTGCTGTTGGTCTGACAGACATTATGTCTGTTTGTGTAGAGGTATCGATGAAGTCAGCAGAAGTGCCCATGAGTTTATATCCCACAGTCTTCTGTCAGGTCCTCTGTCAGTAGAACTGGGCTCCTCCACACAGGGGCTCCAAGGGGGAGCTCTACTCATCACAGGAGCCAAGGTAAAGGGAGGTAACTGGATGTGGCGTAAAGGACATATAAATGTAGTAGAAATGTTTAATATCAATTGCAGGGATGCGGTAAAAGCAGTTTTGCTCGTGCACTATGCAGAAAAGTTGGTGAAAATCTTGACGCCCATGTTGAAATTTTGGATTGCAAAAAATTACAAGGTATGAAAAAAAAGATGTATAGTCATTAGTAGTACTGTATGTAGTATATTATTAGTTGTATTCAAAATCACTATGGAACCTTTCAGGGAAAAGAGCTGACACTGTAAGGCAGATTCTGCAGGATGCGTTCGAGCAGGCGGAGTGGAAGCAGCCGTCTGTGGTTCTTCTTGATGACTTGGATCAAATCGCAGGAACGTCTCCGGCCGAGCATGAGCACGGCCCTGAGGCGCAGCTGCAGCAGCACATCGCACAGAGTAGGATGTGTTAATGATTAAGAGACAGGGATGGAGTGTAAATGAAGTTTGTAGTTTAAATGACACTGTGTCGGCCCCTCAGGTCTTAAAGATGTAGTGGATTACGTGGTGGAACGTTCAAGTCTTGTTTGTCTATTAATAACCTCAAGAGCTGAAGACTCTCTTCACCCGTCACTCACGGAGCTTCAAGGATCTCACTTCTTTCAAAGAAGTGCTCACATTGAGCCTCCTGATAAGGTATGCTGTTAGAGTATTTCAGAATGTATATAAAAGTACATTAACACATTCATACTGATCTGTGCCTTAGGATCAAAGAGCAGATATGTTGCGTTGTCTCATCTTAAAGAAAAGGTTCCTGCCTGAGGAAACCTTACACACGCTTGATGTTGGTGCGGTTGCCAGATTGACAGAAGGATATACTCCTCAAGATCTAGCACTGCTGCTGGAGCGTGCCATTCATGCTTGTGTTATAAAGAAGCACACTGACCCTGGTAAACATGAATGTACAGGAAACACAACATAGACATGATTCATCTTGTTCCTTTCCTTTTCAGATGGCCTGTTGTCGGTAGATGACTTTTCTCTGGCTTTGAGAGGATTCACGCCTCCTTCGCTCTGGGGCATAGAACTGCACTCCCCCAGCAGAGTTGGACTGGAGCAAGTTGGAGGACTGAAGGAAGTGCGGCAGCAGTTGATGGATACCATCATGCTCCCGGCTAAGGTTAAAGCTACTATTTACACTGTTGGGCTGTTAGGCTTTACTCTTAAATTGAACTCTTGAATTGTTCAATGGTACAATAGTCGGAAAATGATGTTTCTGTTATTATAATGTATCTGGATTACAGCTTGTCAGTATAAATACAGTTTATTTACTTGTATGTGTTGTGCACTAGTAAACTTTAATTATAATGATTTGACCCATTATTCCTCTGAGCTTTTGGATAATCCGCCCTTTAACCTTTTCTGCACCTCCTTTTTAAGTGAGCTACTTGACTTAAAAGTGTGTATTAAATTTAGTGCACTAATTTCACATATACATTTGAATGTTTTGGCGTGTTGTAGTACCCTGTCCTCTTCTCCAAACTCCCCATTCGCCATCGCTCAGGAGTTCTTTTGTACGGAGCTCCCGGGACAGGGAAGACTCTGCTGGTCAGGGCTGTAGCCAAGGACAGTGGAATGAACTTCATCAGCATCAAGGTAACAGACGATAACACGTCTCTCTGTTTTCATGAGCTGACACTGATCCATCTCTGCAGGGCCCGGAGCTCCTGAGCAAATACATTGGAGCAAGTGAACAAGGCGTGCGAGATGTCTTTCAAAAGTCAGTAAACTAAGCATGAGGCAATTAGTTATTTCAAACTGGAGTATCTAACATTTCTCTGTTTTATAACTTATGGTTTGTCCCGACTGATTGTTTAAGTTAAGTTAACTAAGTTAAGTTAATTAAGTTAACGTTTTGTGAAATTATCAGACCTCTAGGGTTGTCTTGTCTTATGAACAAAGATTATATGATTGAGCTGATTGGTTGAAAGATGTAGCAAAGGCCAAAAATATACACATGTGAAAACTAGTGATAGAACTAAACCCTTTTGAGAGCGAGAAACTAGTTACATGGACTTAATGACTGTTATTCTTAGTGGTTTCAAAGTTAGGTACTCCAGCTTTTATATGTTTTAGAATTCATCAGTCTGATTGTTTTTTTATGGTTGCAGAGCTCAAGCTGCAAAGCCTTGTATCCTGTTCTTTGACGAATTTGACTCTTTGGCCCCAAGAAGAGGCCATGACAGCACCGGTGTGACTGACCGCGTGGTGAATCAACTGCTCACTCAGCTGGATGGCGTGGAGGGCCTCCAAGGTCAGTGCCCAGCGACACCAGAGAAAACCTGCTTCAGTTCATTTATACCATGTGTGTTTTTGCAGGCGTTTATGTGCTCGCTGCCACCAGCCGTCCAGACTTGATTGACCCCGCCTTGTTGAGACCGGGACGCCTGGACAAATGCCTCTATTGTCCTCCACCCAATCAGGTTTATCGTTCTTTTCTAACAATATTTTCAAAAAAGTGCGTTTGTTTTTCCACATCATCTTAATACCCCAAAGTTGTTTTTCAAGGCAGGCTGGTCTCACAATCACCGGTACTGATCTTTACTTTTTTATGAATCCTAATCTGTGACACAGACAGCAACTGGTGCTGATGTTTAACACGATGTACTGAAAAGGCACAATTCAATACATTAGTTTTCAATATGGTTAAAACAGGAACTAGTTTTATCTGTACAGACTATTATAGATTATAATAATACAGCACACAAAGCACTATCTTTAACATTAAACAATGAACACAGGAGGAGCGTGTGGAGATCCTGAAGGCCCTGAGCGGCGGCCTCTGTCTGGATGTGGACGTGGAGCTGGAGCGTTTAGCTGCAGACACAGAGCTCTTCACTGGAGCCGACCTCAGAGCTCTGATCTACAACGCTCAACTGGAGGCTGTTCACTGCAGCAGCATGAGCCGCCCTCCTCAGGTCTGTCCTGTACCGAGGAGTTCATGATCAAACATGCTTCTCAAACTGATCACATGAAACCATTCATTTGTTTGAAATGAGCCACTTTTCTGTTGGTAGTTTTTATTCAAGACAAAATATACTAAACTAAAACAAATCGATCTTTCATCTAATTTAGATGATCCTTATTTCTAATGTTTTTTTTTGTTGGGATAATTATGGTTTACTGTTAATCCACCTTAGATAAGTTTTTCAAAAGTTCACGTAAGAATAAATAAAACAGATCTTTTAAGCACAAAGGGTGTCTGTAAAGTGTGTGCATATCTGGTTGGGCCTCATTTTGAATACATATCATTATTCTACATTTTATTATTATTTTTCTTTTTCATATAACAAAGAATTTTCTATAATTAACAAAAAGTGTATGTTATGTAGTTATAAACATAATTTATTTTTTTCTCTCTAGCACATTGCGCCTGGTTCAGAGAGTGAGCTGAGTCTTTCCTCAATGATCTTCCCGACCCACAGCAGTGGATCTGAGGACTCCGTTGGGGAAGGAGACATGGGCCCAGCTCTGGAGCAGTCCATGGTTTTACTGGAAACTTGTGACCTACAATCGTACAAGGAAAACGGAGGAAACGTGTGGAGAATCTACTTTGGCAGTTCCTTTGAGTCGGAGCCTGGCTGCTCCTCTGAACTCCTGCTCAGTGTAAGAACGATACACACACTGCCCTCCAACAGCCACAACTGCTAAGATTGTGTTGTTGTTGTTTTTGCAGAGCTCTGGACGTTTGTCTGGAGCAGTGAGTGAAGCCCAGGACCTGACGGCGTCATGTGTGCAGGACAGCGGTGAGCTCCCTCTGCTCTACATGCCGTCCCTGCAGAGCGGCTGTGAGGAGCTGAGCCCAGAGCAACGAGAGCAGCTCACTCGAGACGTGCACATCATCAGAAAGAATTATAGAAAGGTCAGTTCTCCAGTTCTTTCTCTTTTCACAATGCACAGTATAAACAGCTGCGCTTGAAATGAATTACAGTGCCTTGCGAAAGTATTCGGCCCCCTTGAACCTTTCGCCACATTTCAGGCTTCAAACATAAAGATATTAAAATGAATTTTTTTGTCAAGAATCAACAACAAGTGGGACACAATCGTGAAGTGGAACGAAATTTATTGGATAATATAAACTTTTTTAACAAATAAACTGAAAAGTGGGGCATGCAATATTATTCGGCCCCCTTGCGCTAATACTTTGTAGCGCCACCTTTTGCTGCAATTACAGCTGCAAGTTGCTTGGGGTATGTCTCTATCAGTTCTGCACATTGAGAGACTGGAATTCTTGCCCATTCTTCCTTGCAAAACAGCTCGAGCTCAGTGAGGTTGGATGGAGAGCGTTTGTGAACAGCAGTCTTCAGCTCTTTCCACAGATTCTCGATTGGATTCAGGTCTGGACTTTGACTTGGCCATTCTAACACCTGGATAGGTCTATTTGTGAACCATTCCATTGTAGATTTGGCTTTATGTTTTGGATCATTGTCCTGTTGGAAGATAAATCTCCGTCCCAGTCTCAGGTCTTTTGCAGACTCCAACAGATTTTCTTCCTGAATGGTCCTGTATTTGGCTCCATCCATCTTCCCATCAATTTTAGCCATCTTCCCTGTCCCTGCTGAAGAAAAGCAGGCCCAAACCATGATGCTGCCACCACCATGTTTGACAGTGGGGATGGTGTGTTCAGGGTGATGAGCTGTGTTGCTTTTACGCCAAACATATCGTTTTGCATTGTAGCCAAAAAGTTTGATTTTGGTTTCATCTGACCAGAGCACCTTCTTCCACATGTTTGGTGTGTCTCCCAGGTGGCTTGTGGCAAACTTTAAACGAGACTTTTTATGGATATCTTTGAGAAATGGCTTTCTTCTTGCCACTCTTCCATAAAGGCCAGATTTGTGCAGTGCACGACTGATTGTTGTCCTATGGACAGACTCTCCCACCTCAGCTGTAGTTATCTGCAGTTCATCCAGAGTGATCATGAGCCTCTTGGCTGCATCTCTGATCAGTCTTCTCCTTGTTTGAGATGAAAGTTTGGAGGGACGGCCGGGTCTTGGTAGATTTGCAGTGGTCTGATACTCCTTCCATTTCAATATAATTGCTTGCACAGTGCTCCTTGAGATGTTTAAAGCTTGGGAAATCTTTTTGTATCCAAATCCGGCTTTAGTATCTCGGACCTGCCTGGTGTGTTCCTTTGTCTTCATGGTTCTCTCTGTGCTTTAAACAGAACCCTGAGACTATCAAAGAGCAGGTGCATTTATACAGAGACTTGATTACACACAGGTGCATTCTATTTATCATCATCAGTCATTTAGGACAACATTGGATCATTCAAAGATCCTCACTGTACTTCTGGAGTGAGTTTGCTGCACTGAAAGTAAAGGGGCCGAATAATATTGCACGCCCCACTTTTCAGTTTTTTATTTGTTAAAAAAGTTTAAATTATCCAATAAATTTCGTTCCACTTCACGATTGTGTCCCACTTGTTATTGATTCATGAAAAAAAATTAACATTTTATATCTTTGTTTGAAGCCTGAAATGTTGAAAGGTTCAAGGGGGCCGAATACTTTCACTGCATAATTTTTTTGCCATATTTTGGAGATGAAACAATTTTTCACTCACTGATAATGATTAGGTGAAGATATTTATTGTTAAATAAATGTGCTTTATATTTTCTAATTATGTCACAGAAACTACTCTTCTGACCCTGATCAGAAGTTCAGTTTATTTCCCCTTTAAGATCAATGACAGCTGGCAGACTTTTGTGGTAGTTGTGGATGAGGATCATTTGAAAATCTTTCCAGATCGGCTCAATGATGTTGTAATTTGTGCTAAATAACAAATTCTATTTTCAGTCTCCAAAATGTGTAAACTCTCAAGGACAAGTGTATAAACATGTTACATTTCACTAGTTTTTCAGTCATTTCCACATGTTGTTATCTCTTTAGCTGTACCATGGAGTTTTAGAAGAATTTTCACATAAATGTAAATGACTTACATGTTTGTGAATATTGCCCACGTCTAGTCGTGCATTGTAGCATAAATATTGTTACATAATTCTGGTCTGCAGGAGAGTCTTCAGCCTCATCCTGTGTCAAGTCCTCCCGTCCTGCTTCTGTCTCAGGCTCATATCAAATGTGCTCTGGCCTCAACCAAACCATCTCTGAGCCGAGCGGACTGGAGCAGATACGCCCAACTGTAAGTCTTGTTATTGTAACAGGTCACTGGGTTGAGAAATTCTAAATGACGCTGAATGCTATTTTACCAACCTTCCATTTTAAACGTATGGATGCCTTATTGAACCATCAGCCACAGTTGTAGAGAATCCAAAGACGGGTAGATCTCTGCCCTTTTTTAGTTTTTAAATTTTGGATGCTACATTATTCAAGACTTGAATTCCCTTGGAGTCTTTTCGTTAGATTCAAATATTTTTGTGATTTCATATTTGATGAATAACTGCATGTTTATGTTTATGTTAATGCAGGTATGAATCGTTTGATGGATCAGGAGATGGGAAGCCACTGCAGAAATTTACACCAGGGCAACGTGTAACTTTAGCTTGAAAAAAGAAAATATTTTTAATGCCAATTACATGCTCAAAATACTTTTTAATATTTGTATATAATTGACACCAATCCGACAGCATCATATTTATGTGTGTCTAAAGTGAGTGGTTGTAAATGAATAATGAATGTCAACTGTTACCCATGTGACTACTGTACATAATGTACATTTATAAATTCATTTTATAATTTAGGTAATTAAACACTCCCTGTTTTGAACCATGCTTCGTTCATTTGTTTCACCACAAGAGGGAGCTAGAGTAAAACCTAACAAGAGGATTATTTATTGAAGTTCTGCAGCAGTTAATTTATTAATGCTGGATTAGTTGGGAGGAAATGTGCTTTGAAGTCAGACTTTCCAATCTAATTTAAACATTTCCATCAGTTTTGTGGTAAATGTACGAAAGCTCTTTACGTCAAAGGGTCACTTTTTACTACAGCCTGTTGAATTTTATTTGGAAATCACTTAAGTCACATTTTAATCATCTGCACAGTATGGAGGGGGATGGACAGTGGACTGTAAAAGACCAATGATATTTTGTGTAAAAACAAATGTTCAATGACAAACAGGAGTTTGTTGCAGGTCTGAAAGTGCTGCAGTATTTTTCCTCATTCTTGACCACATTCCGCTGTCGTCCTACACAGAAGACAGCAGCTCCTGCAACAGTAAATATAGACTCACGCTGTGCTGGATTCGGCTCAGTCCTGTATCAATCCTCACAAGTCTGGTCAATATCAGAATCTGAATTATTTGGGTGGCATCTCTGATTGCCACCCCCCCTGACCCAGAAATGGATTAAAGGGTAGAAAATGGATGGATGGAATTATTTTTAAATGACAGGAAGTCAAAAACTAGGACTTTGCTTCTCATACTGCAAGTATACATTTTACAAACAAAATGTTTAGGAGAAATTGCTCAAGATTCTACTAGATTTACTACAGTTTGCCTAAATAGATAACACATTTAGGCAAATCTAAATTACATGATCCTGTTGGATTCTGCGAGTAAAATGTGAGAAAGTGCACGTAGTTGTCTCCAAAGGGAAACTGCTCTCATCCGTCACTGCCTCCAGGAGCAGTGATCTCTGAGGTGCAGTGTCTGGAGACCCATCTCCAGGTGTTGATTCTCTGTAAAGTAAGGCCATGTCAAGAGATTTGTATCATAATGCCAAAATTAAAACCTACACGTTTAGTAAAAGGTAAGAAAAACAAATGTAACCCTGTGCATTGTGTGGCAAGTGTAGATTTGCAAGCCTGTATTAAAAAAACGTCTAAAGTCTGAAATAAGCAGGACATGTCTTTGCGGCTGGTAAGTGTTTAGGATCAAAAGTGACAATGTGAAGATGAACATCAAAGTCTTCTTCTCATGTACGATGTGTCTGAGTAGTGGATGTCCAAAAGTGAGGCATAAGATAGTGTCTGATACGGTCTAAGGTCGATGCACCTTCCCTGTGCTGCAGTTTAATATTTACAGTGTGTGGCTGCAGTAGAGGACTGCTGGTCACATACAGTAGGGGCCAGAGTGGTTTGATTACTGTGAGAGGATGTGCTGCCCTCCGGCTGGGTCCACATGAAGTCAGGCTCAAGTGTAATGAGGCCAAGTCCCTGCTGCTTGTGTCTCAATGAGGGCCGCAGGGAATAGACACAAAAATAGCGTGTTCAATATTCAGTTTTGCAACTTCCCATCAATATGGAAGTTTGGAGATCCTCACACAGAGGAGTCCAACATTACACAGTCCATTCAAGTTCATTTGATAAAATCAGGTCTATTCATTCAGGTGCAGTTAAAATGATGCCATTTTACATTATTATGTAATATTTATTTGGCCAGGTGGGTGGTTTTAGGGCCAATTTTCATTAATGACGACCTTCTCAGAGTTTTAGACCATATTTGTCACTAAAAGCTTGCTTTTCATAGCTTTCAGTATGAGATATTTGGCTATCGCTATTATAAAAAGACACAATGGGAAGCCAGAACTCATGGACTGACTTACAGACATCCTTAGACAAGTTTCCTGAAGCTAATAAGTCTTTAGTTTAAACCAAATACTTTAGTTAAAAGAAAAAACGGACAAAGATACATTTCCTAAACCTTTAATGTAAACAGCAGTTTTGAGGAGCTTGGAAACAAAAAATCCTATGGAGAATAATCTGAAGGTATTAAATAGGAGTGGGCAGATAATATATAAATCATATGAGAAAAACCACCATGATTTGTTTTAAATAAAAAAAAAAAAAAATACACAAAATTCATTTTGCAGCCAAACAATTCTGAAAACGCACAAAATAGACAACTTCCCTTTGAACTTGGCCCTTTCACTCTTTCGTATCACTTAAAAAATAAGCAAAATATAATATTGCTTAGGAATGTTGTGTACAGCAGTCATTACAACAAACAGACTTGATAGAGATTACACGGATGCGTGGGTCTATCTGTGGGCGGCCGCGGGACTAAAATGCAACATCATGATGAGGAGTAATACCTTTAGATTCAAAATAAGGGCTGTGTGTTTTGTATCGGAGTGCAGGTCGTGTGTGTAACAGTCTTCAAGAGTGGAGCAGCACAGAGCAGATAGACCAAGCTGCCGAAAATACTCAAAAGTGAAAATGTGGGAGGCAATACTGCTAAGATGAGAACTTTTACTTATTACTCCCTCCACACAAAAAGCCCTGAGGAAAAATAACAAAACGCAAACATAAACTAGACATATAGGAAGCAAATTCTAAAGATGTATCTACAACGAGCCTTTTTGGAAAACTGATGGGGCACAGGAAGGAGGAGGGTTTCAAAGGACTAATACTTCCTGGTTGGTTCTTCTCGCTGTGGAAACCTGAAGTCTGAGCATGGTTGACTCCGATTGGCCGTGTGTTACAAGTGCAGTGGGACCCATGGTACACGCCAATGTCTGGTTTCGACAAGAGAATAGTTCCTTTTCATAAGTATGACTTGTGTCGTTCCAGTTTGTGAAGAAAGGGGGGAGTGCAGTGGTCTAGTTGCAGTCATAAACAAAGTCATAATTGCTTGGTTCTTTGGGAATGGGGGGCGGAGCTTCAGGGATCTGGATATTTTCGAGGTCCAGTAGGCGGAGCTTCATCTCCATCGTCAGCAGAGTTTCCATGTCTGATTTGGTGTAGTCACTGGCCATCTCTTTACCGAGGAGGGCGTTCAGACCGTCTGTCCACACACAGTACTGAGGAAGAACACAGATCAGGATTATTGTTGCTAGTATTTGTTATGTTACTTTTCTGAGATTAGATTGAGACATTCTAGGAAAAAAAACAACGTTTATTAAACTACTGTGTACTTCGTTTTATTTACTCCCTTTAGTTTATTGACCTTTTTCAAGAATTGGAGTGCGCTGGTTGCAGTGGGTTCCCAGAAACAGAAAATAATTATTTAGACAATAAAGGGTTTTTTCAAGCTGCATAAAACTAATCATTGAGGGCAGGAGTGTTAAATGAATGTTGGTCAAGAGAGTACATTTTCCAAATGTAATTATACAAAAGGCTGCAGTAACCATTTAATGTTATATTAATCAATAATATTCATTATATTACAGAGGCAATGGCAAAGGTCTAATCTGCCGTACGAGGCAATGGAGCTTCTGTGTAGCTTTTTCAAAATGAATCATGATATTTGGAAAAATGTAATTAGAAATACAGATCGATCACCATGAGGATTTGACTGATGTTAAAAACTAGAATATCAATATTCGCTGGAATGATGCACTTACAAAATGTAACCACAGCATGTGTACTTACTTCGTGTTTGTCCGGGGCGATAAAGTTTAAATACTCGTCGGACTCGTAGAGGACAGAGAAGGCCAGCTCCAGCACTTCCTGCGGAGACAATAATAAGGTCAGATTTACGGCACACAGGAGCAAAGGGGCCTCCCTCAGCTCTGTGGACGCTCCATCTGGACAAATGGATGTCACGCCACATTTACAGCAGCAAAGAGAGCTCCAACCCAACAACACTGGTGAGATATCCTACACTGAACCATCACCTTGCGCACAGTAATTTGTATTCAGTTCAGATATTTTTCCATTCTCTCCACACACGGTGATGACGGACGCAAGACACCAAACTCACTGCTGCACTTTCTCATTACATTCATATCTATTGTACATGTTTTGAGCATGTTTCTTCTCCTTAAATGGATTAAGTGGAAGAAAATGGATGGATGGATGTTTTGAGTGGTAGGGGAAACCGGAGCACCCGGAGGAAACTTATGCAGACACGGGGAGAAAATGCAAACTCCACACAGCAAGGCCTGTGTCCTGAATTAAACCCAACACCTTCTTGTTGTGAAATACAAGCTCTAACCGCTGCGTCACCGTGCCGCCCTAGAGACTTGAGTGCTCAGTTTTTTACCCACATTGACATAAATAAATTAATAAGAATACTATACTGAGATTGCAGGTATCGTTCTTAGAGTTCAAATATATTTACAATCCTACAGAAACACAATATATCGTTCAAAATAACAGACACAGACTGAAAAGAAATGAAGCCAAAGCTTTGATTGTTGCAAGTGAATGAAAATGTGTTGATTTTATGGTAAAAGGCTGAGCAGAAAGTGAATGGATGTCCAGGCCTGTTACAGAATATTTTCATAAAAACACATTTCTTTTCTGTATCATCATAATCTAGAACACCCTTGCCTAAATGTTTATATTTTGCATAATATTGTTAAATAGTTGAATATAAAAACAGCATTGATTTCCACTGATTGATTCATAAAGCGTCACCATAAACATCGTGAGAAAGAGTCAAGTATGATGAAAATGCCCCTGGGCTGCTGTGTGTGGCCTGACCTTAGATGTTTAGTTTAGTTTGTTGTGGTGTCATCTAAGTGCTTTCTCTTTCCCACGCATTATTTATCCACATACGCTCAGTCTTCCTAATTCCATATCTTTGTAACAGCAACATGAATCTTTCATGAGCATAAGTTCATGGGCACAAAGAGCCTCTGCTGTCATAAATGTCAGCCGTGACTTTTTAAAGAAATAATAAAAGGTCAAAGATGCAGTTGGCAACAGGTCGCTGCGTCTGTGAAAGAGCAAAAATGTCCCCAGGTCTTAAATGTTTGAGAGAACAACAGTTACAATGTCGAAAGAGCGCGTTCACCGATAAACATGAAAACGCCACGGACTGTTAAGATAAGAGTTCCTTTATTCGTTCCTTTATGTGCGTTCCTTTTATCGCACATATAGGACAGTAGTAAGAGCACACAAAATATACAAAATAAGTAGTAGCTATGTTTCTTAACTAGCATAACTAGCTGTAGATGCTGAAAATGCTTCAATACCAGTCAAAAAATATATACATGTAGTAGTGCAGATGTGTTGATGCACGGACTGATGCATTCAAATATTGTTCAAAAGTCTTTTTTACTTCTATGATTCAACCTACAATGTGAAACTAATTTATGACACACTTATTACAAGCAGAGTGAGATACATCCAGCCTTTATAGAAATGTGGGTAATTGATTGACAGCTTGTAAAACCCCAAATAAAACTCTTCAGAAAATGTTTTTAAAATGGACTGCGAGCCACCATCATCAAAATCATACCAGACATAAACTTTGAGTCTATATCATAAATTGGTTTCACATTTTAAGCTGAATTATAGAAAGAGCTAGCTTAATCTTACCATACCATACCGTACGCATGTCATTTTGTAGGGAAATGATAAATGACCAAAGTTTACAGATGGCGAAGAAAGAACTCAACTTTTTACATTATAATTTTCTGACTTTTGCCTGTATTTGTCAATTTCAATATCAATTGGATCTCACAAGTGATGGACATTATTCACTGGTGATAGAAATGAGAGAGAAGAATCTGCCCACAAAAATCAAAGTCAAATTCGATTACAAAATCAAAACCCCCCAAAGTCCTGATCCTCTGTGGTCTGTGCAGTTGGTCTCATGTCTCCACGGTCCTCTCCCTAATCACAGCAGTGACTTTGACTTGATGTCGGCGTAATGACATGTGCAGATGTGCTCATTGACACATCTGGAACAGACCACCAGACAGCCCCCCCCCCCTCCTCCCAGTGGATCATTCTCCTAGACATGTTCTTATCGACAGTGTAATAAAAGAGACAAAGCGAAAGGGAAGCACGACTTTGTCTTCCAGGCTGGTTATTCAGGGGGCTATACATCAGTCTCTGGGCACAAGGTGACGGTGAGCAGCTGATGGCTCTTTCTTCTCCACCCGCAGAGGTCAATATATTCATTTCAAGCACATTAATCCGATGCTTATAAAGATTTGGGATCGGGGCAACAACACCGCTTTATTACCGAACCACAGTATATAAAGCCGATTCCCCGGACACAGACATACTATAGATTTAAGCTCACCTTGTTTTGTTTCAGGGCTCCTTTCTCCTTCATGTGAGGACAGTCTTTGCCTGTGATCACAGCCTTTATATCTGCAACAGGCACTGGGCAGAGGGCACAACACACACATTATTATTATTATGCAATATCATCCATACAATGCATCAACCACATATGAATGCAAATGACTAAAGGTAGCTGCAGCTGCACTCAGGGATTACGTTGGAGACTGAGACATAAACACTGGGTGGACAAATTGTACTGACTAAAAATCATTCATGCAGCTCTGTCCTAACCGCAATGAAACATTAGCTTCTAAACTATGTGTGACTAAATGTCCAAGTTTCAGTCTCTTCATTATATTGTATGCTTGCATGTCTTCACCAATTATTACAAACAAAATAATGTTATGTATATTGAAAAGCATAAACAGTTATATTTCTCAGTCTAGAGTCTTCTAAAAATATATTTCTTTGGCACAATTCCCCAAAATGTCCACAATCCTTTCTATTAGATTATGGAGCGTCTATACTGTATTGATCCCTCTCACATTTGTCCTGAAGAGAGTCGTGGGGCACTTCTCCCTGGGGGCTCTCCTCCAGATCACCGTAGTGCAGGACTTTATGATTGGGAGACAGACGGCAGTACCAAAACTTATCTGAAAGACAGAGCAGGACAACAAAGAGGCAGATTGAGCAGATTGGGAGAAGTTAGCGGAGCGAGTCTAGCGCTGGCAGGGGAATCATATGGGACAGCATGAGTCACCATCAGGAGGGGAAATTAGTGCAGAAAAAAGTCTGCCTGGAGGAAGATCCACAGATGGGTCTTGATGCAGTGTATTACGGAGGGATCTTTAGCAGCAACAAAACAGATACTTACTCTATGACATTTTTAACACTGACTTGACATGCCGGGAAAATGCCATCGTTAATAACACAATCTTTAAATATGAATCCAAAATGTTTAGTTTGAGGTTTGATTTGCCGACTTGGCAGATGTAAGCAACAGTGTTTGCTGTTGGCTCGGCTGTGTGCTCAGTGTGTGTTGCTTTATCGAGTTTTGTGTCTTTACGGCTTCCCTCCCCAAGTGGACTGAGTGATAAACTGGCAGAGGCAGACAGAGATGTGGCTGGTGTAACACTAGTAATGCCAGATCACAGAGCACACTTGGACAGGTATGGCTTCTGATTTGACCATTTAAATGAATTAATAATCAAATATTTAAGGACACTTTTATTTGAAAATGCAGAAAATGTATGTCTTAAAAACTCATAATTCAAAGCTGTTATGGCTGAAAACAGGCATGACTGTATCTGAGAGAGAGAGGCAGCATCTTCAGTGAAGCCAGCGAAATGAATATTTGATGCTCACACTTGAGTCTCCACTGGATAGATGGTTTTGAAAAGGTTTTTGGAGAACTGAAAGTAGGCAGCACTTAGCATTTCAGGCTGATTTCACAAAATGAGTAAAAAATAAATAAATAAGGGAAATTAGGAAAAACTGCCAATCCAAGGACGCATCCATAAAGCCATCTCCAGACCGTACACAGAATTCGCTCGGCCGGTTGTCGTATTGTATTAGTAGCGGGTCTTCAGACTGCGCAGCCATTGTGACAGAGGCTGAATGATGAAGAGCAGCACTGACTGAATACAACCCTCAGACAAAACAACAGTTCTCGGCCTAAGGAGACAGTTTAAAAGTTACTGCAGAAAGAGGGAGATAGAATATTTAGGTGAGGAAAGACTTCTCTGACAGAACCGACACCTGGAGCTCTACATTTCTGTCACATGTTCTTGTTTGTTACATTAATACATCAGACCAAACTTTGTCCTAGATAATCTGTGCTCATGAAAGTGGAGAACATTTGCGGTAGTTTGTGGAAGTGTATGTTTTCCCAGGTTTGAAAAGTGCGGTTCTGGCTGTGGTCTGACCTTGCCTCCTGCGGCTGCTGATCTTCCTGAAGCAGGTGCCTTCACACAGACGGTTCAGTCTCTGCTGCTTGATCAGCTCCATGATCTCCGGCTGGATCTTCTCCTTCAGCTCCCTGCAGCAAGAGCAACATCCAGGAGGAATGTGAAAATAAAACCAGACCAGGCAGCAGGACATGAACACAGATCCAGACCAAAAAACAAGATATAAAAGCAAGTGCAGGTTTATGATTCAAATGTGGATCTCTAATTGTTATTCAAGGATCTAATATTTTCATTCAATATTCACTGTATGTATCTTGTGCAAACTGTGTGATTATTAAACATAATGTGGCATGATTTTGTAATTCTCATCTCCACCTTTTAAGCAAAATTAAACGATAAAAGCAGAATTTGCGTGTATGTTTAACACATAGGAAAGCAGAACATTTTCACAGTGATTAGAAATTGTATAATTAATGGTTAGATGATGCAGATCTGCTTCACATCCACACGTGGAGACTCCGAAGGCTGATGAGCAGAGAGTGTGTTGTGCTCATTTATTTATGTATGTGCATGTCAGTGTCAGCGCACTGCACCAGTCAGCATCAATAATGGATATAACCTGCTCTCCTTCTGCAACACATATTTTAGTTCCATCATTAGAACCGCGATCTGTCTTGGTTGGTTCAGACTTGGCTGTCGGACACGTGCAGACGCTGACATTGCTAAACCTGCTCTCCCTGAGTTTGTCCTCTTCTTTTGCTCATTTGTTTGGTCTGCGTCCTCCTCAAGGTCATTGAGCTTTGCCTGGACATTGGTCCTGACATCTGTAATAGCTCAGGGAGACATGGCTAATCACCCTGGAGGCGTGGCTAATCACCGTGGAGATGGATGGAGCATTGTTCCATATATGGTACATCAATGCAGCCTTAAGTGTATAAATATCAATCATAACAGAACAGAACAGTTTTCTCTAATTTTTTTATTTTTTTATTGAAGCCTATTATACTGCACATGTACATTTCTATTGTGAAAAGGAAGGCCAGGGCTTTAGCTAAAAATGTCTGTTTATAAACGTATTTTTTTTTTATATTTAAAAAAACATGCAATTTGGCTTAAACTACAATAGGTAAATTAGTAATCAGTGAATGATGTCGATTACACAGTATTGTCGGTGTTTTTAAGTCTTACTATGTATTTACTGCCTCTTGAGGATTTTTGTGAACCATACATCACATTTGTATAATAATTTCTATATTGTATAAATAAACTAAACTCTTTCAATAATAAATGAATCAACCATTTTGCTATTTACGAAAGACATTTTGTCAACAGCCTTTTTCCTCTTTTGCGTTCTGCTCCTTCATCACATCTCCAGGACGGAACAAGGCTCTCAGATACAAACCCTGATCAGGTCTAGTGTCACAGGTCGAACAACAATCAAAAGGCATTTCATCACCGTTTCAAAATGACCCACCTTTTCAACAACAAAAATGACAAATAATATGCAGAGGAAAAATCGGCAATTATGATGGAAGTATTATCTGCAGGTTTGTGCCATTTGAGTCTCTGAACATTATTACACGCAAGAGAGGAACAAAAAACACATTTGTTTGGAGATCCTCACATAAAAATAAAGTGGGGAAAACTAATATAACAAGGCAGTTTAAACATTGTCTAAATAAAGGGACGACGACCTAAAAATCTTTTGTTCCAATTGAAGATAAATAGAAGTTCACTTTTCCTGCCCGAGAAAACATGTGCATTTGGCAAGAAACAAAGAACAAAGTGTTTCTGCCTGCTGTGCTGAACTGCAAGGATACAGCAACACAAAAAAACAAAACCCCACTGATGCCTGTAGAGAATGTTCGAAATTTCACAGCGCAACAAGCTCCACTGCTTCACAAAAGGAATAAAACATGACTGCAGTGATGTTTTGACAGATGTAAACACTTGTCCACAGCGTCAGGGTTTAAGATTCTAAACCAAATCAATAATTCAATAAAAATACAGTTATTTATCTCGCCATAACGAGTCCTGATTGATGGAAAACCTGTAGATATTGTCCATGTTTGTGGTCAGTGGTTGTGTAACGCTCTGGGCACTCACAGAATGGGCCGGGACTGGAAGTCTTCCTGGTTCATCCTTTCAGACTGGCGAATCTTGAGGATTTCTGTGTAGCTCAAATTTTGGAGGCGACTCTTGAACTGGTCCAGAGAATTAGGCTTGACGGTGAGAGCTCGCATGATCTGCTCCCTCACCACCTGCATTACCTGCAAACACACACAAACACACACACACACACAATCATATATTTGTTGCTACCTCTACGGCTGGTGAAATAGTGACTCATTTTTGTATTAGGAAAAATGTAAAGTCTCTGATCTGGAGCTTGTAAAAGTGAAGGCGACAGTGGCTCAGTTGAAAGAGCATTGGCCGTTGAGCCTGAAGGTCGTGGGTTCGAGCCCAACACATAACTTTCTCCACCAACTTCCACTGATGTCTGCTGTTGTTGTGTCCTCGGCGAGACACTTAACCTCTGGGAACAACAGGTGGAGTGGCTGCGGCTGTAAAGTGCCAAAATTCCATTGTGTCTTCAGGCAAGACACTAGAATGTGTGTGTGTGTGTGTGTGTGAATGGTTAGCGGTGGTCGGAACGGCCGATGGGACATACTGGTGTCAGTGTGCCCCAGTGTGACTTATCATCACCGTGTATGGAGTGAAAGAGTAATGACATGTGTCCAAAAAAGCGCTATATAAAACCAATGCATTATTATTATTATTTAAATAGTGACTCATTTTTATATCAGAAAAAATGTAAAGTCTCTGATCTGGGGCTTGTAAAAGTGAAGTAGCATGTTCAGTTGAAGCCTCCTGCAGCAGTAGAAGGATGAGAAACGGCCACAATCCTCAGCACTAATGCCTTCACTCTGGCGGTGGCAGCAGAAGCCCGACACGGTGCCATTCTGATTCCTCGCTTTTCCTCCAGCGTCTAAGAGAGATGACTTAGTGCTCAATACTGACAAAGGATGACTCCTCATAACAACACATTCAACACGTCATGCATGTCCAACCCGATCACCGCCGTGCGCCTCCAGATCTGTCAAACTATTCAAATGGGATTACTAATACGAGCGCCGTCAGTGTTCGCTCTGGGCACCGCACCAGCATGTTGAGCTCTCACTGCTGGAGCCCAGAGGGAGAACTTAACTCTGCAGGGAGGCTGCATTTCAGATTCATGCAGCTAGTAGTCCTCCTGAAAATGTGAGACCAGCTTCAACGTTCAAATCCAGGTAAATGTTCATGTTGAGGGATTTTATCTTTGCTCTTTTTAGTGTACTGTGATTATTTATGATTTGAATGCCTTGTGTGACCGTCTCCATCTTGTTTTATTCAGAACTTTGAGTTGCCTTGTGTATGAATTGTGCTATACAATAGACTGTAAACATTAACGGACGTAGTCACGCCTATCTCTGCCGTTGAAACTGATGTGCCATCACTTTTGCCTTCTGTGGGATTTTTCCAAATAGCAGCAAGCAGCCCCTCCCGCATGCATTAGCCGGCACTAGACCGATTCATTTAACGAGTGCCTTCAAAAGTCCACAGAAGCTAAACTAGAGTGGTCCAAAAAATTATACTCCCCCCAGCATTGACACGCTTCTGGAATGTAGCTTTGGGCCAAGAGCGACTTTTGGACCATCATGCAAAGACGTTTTTGAAAGCAAAGAAGACGCCACACAAAAGCATTGAATAATTCTCTTTCTGGGTCCACCCCCACAGGCCCGGGGTGGTATTGCAAGTATGTCAGCGCACATGCTCATGGACGTTTTTGAGCTGGGCCCGCCCCCACTGTGCTATACAAACAAACTTGCCTTGCCTGGCGCTCCAAGACAATGATAGTAATTCTCTTTTGTCACGGAATTAAATGATGAAGGAGGCGGGAAGGTCCACCACCAACACATAACTTCTGACAAACTAAACCCATTTTTTATTTTTATTCGAATGTTTATCACACTGATAAACGTTGCCCTTGGATGTGACTGTGCTGGTTTGAACCTTGTTTGTCCTTTGCCGTTGTGAAAGGAGAAAAGTGGGAAAAGACATGTCAGAAAATGTCCAGTGCAAGGAATCCAATTCATGAGCGCACATCATGCAACCACACCCCTTTGGCAGAGTGCAGCATCTCTTCACAGGCTTCCACTTCTAAACAAGCTAACTCTGCAATATTGATGCTCTACTCCTTGTTCCCTGATATGTAGCAACCAACAAACAGGACCAAACAACAAAGTCCTCTCCCTGAGCAGAAAAATAACCTCAAACAGATGAATCAATAACTACATCTTTTATGCTTAGCACTTTTGTTGTGGCTACTAAGTCTAACTTGCATATTTAAGATGTTTTTTAGATTGCTACTACCCAACCAATTCAGACGGTGTGAAGGTGCTCTTATCGCCCTGGGCTTGCACATGGAGACCCAGTGCATTCAAGAACGGGGCAGGCTTCTCTCAAAACATTTTTTATCTTATCTTTTGTACTTTGTTTCTGGCGTCCTGCTTTGTTGATCAAATGCTCAAGATGGCAAAAATATTTCCATCCCCAGAAAGCTGCAGCACACCTCCTCACAGCACGTATAATGAGATGGGATTTGTCTTTCTCAGTTCTATTCTGGCTATTTCAGGCTATTTATATGAACAAGTCCTGCCAAAAACAGACACCCAGAAAGTCAATTTCGCCACGATACTTTTTCCATTGTTTTCGCAGCAGTAACTCATCAACAGCTACTCGTGCATGGTCTTGATGGCGGATTAACTATCGGGTTAAAAATTGCCAAATACAAGACCGTTCCACACAAAGCTGCAAGATTATCTTAGAGTTAACAGTGTTTTCCAGTCAGCTCAACAGAATATTCATGCAGTTTTGTGTTGGCAGACAAAATGAGGGTTTGGATTTGATGGAATAATTTGTAGCAAAAATATGAAAGATGGGAAGGCAAGCGGATTTGCAAGCACAGACGCCACAATTGTAACTAGAATGGTTTTAACGGCCTACCGGAAATAAAATCAGAAGACAAAAAAGATGATTTCTTCCCAAAACTAAGCATATATATATTTTCAGTCCTCCAAAAACTGCTATTCAAAAATTCCAGCCTAATGTAAGTCTGCTTTTATCCGGAGAATTTCTGATGTTACAGAGAGAGGCTTTCTAATCAAATTCTAAAATCGAATGCTGCTGCTTATGTCCTCAGACGAAGATAAAACTGAAAACGCACTATTATTAATCACTCAAAGAGCTCTTGTTGCGGTTGCTCCTTGTAAATACATTTCTCATTACCGCTCCTCTAGGTCATATTTCTATAGTGAAAACCGGTGTCTCGTAGATTGATGACCCTGGCGACTTCCTGCTCTCTCTCCCTTCTTCACTCAAACAAATGGCCGAATGCAGAGGCTCGTAATGATGACATGAGGGATCCATCATCCCCATGTTGCACTTATAATCTGGATCACATATAGCTTCATATAGTCATGTAATTTATGTCAGCCACCTTTCATAGTTACTTCTGAAAGTGTAAAAAATCCCCTTGCAAGTTTTATTAAGCAACTAAAATGCCTGAAATCTCATCCAAATGAATCTCTACTTTTCACAAATGGTGTTGGTGTGTAAATAGTAAGCTGGCGAACCCTTTAACATTCACTCCTTGAGGAAAGCAATGTACTTTTTTGGATTTTCTAAGATGTAGGACACTAATAACACAATAATTTGTTTATACGTTTTTTTTTTTAACCCTATCCTTTTCATTATAGGCCTTTACCAAATGATTGAGATGCAGTGTGATGGTAAAAGTGCCAAAAAAGTAGAATTATTGACTCAAAAGGTGACCTACAATTGGATGAGGAAAGCTACATCTATGAGTGTAATGAGAACGTGCACAACGGTAGGTGGGTCACACAGGGACCGTAATCGCTCATGATCCGAACCCTGGGGTATGAGCAGTCTTATTGTTATTGCTCAGCTCTGTTATAGTGGCGTCTCCAGTGAAATGCGGTGAAGTCGGCCCCGGGGAGGACTCATTAATATGACTTGTTTGCCGCAGAAAAACAATTCGTCCGGCCCATGTGGCTGCTCCCCTGCTAATTAACACAAGAATATTCATCACATATAATCCCAACACATGGTCCTTTCACAACAGGCCAAGGAGCAGCGCCGTGTTTTATCTCCCTTATCACACAGCTTGTTAGAGGTCACTGACGTCAGGGAAACTTCCGCAGGTAAATCTAGAAGGATTATTCCCCTTTTGTTGTCTTCTAAATAAATCATGGTGCATTGCGAGCGTTAAAAGCCCAGATCTGGTTATTCAGTACTGATAGTGTTAGTAGTGATTACGGTGTTTCACGGCAAGAAAAGTACTCTGGTTGTCCTGACCAAGCAGAGCATCAACATCCGGCGATGAGACTCTATTCTCTACAGGGATAATAAAGTCTACCTTAACATTATTACTAAAATAAAAGACGCAAAAATCCTTTGTTTTCCTCACCATTGAGTAACCCTAACCCATTTGGAATAACAGTGGAATTTTATGTCAAAAGATATACTCTCCTCAGCAGCCTTAGAGTGGAGCCAGAATTGGCCCAATTTCCAGTGAAGTCATTTCTGAGGATTATTCACTCAGTTGGGGACAATCTTCCCGACTCGTCTCGTCGGTTCATAGAGCAGGGTATGTTATGTTTCAGCCAATCAGCGGCGTCCTCAGCTTCATTTACCTCTGAGTATGGTAATGACATCACTTAGCGCTGTCAGTCACATGCTCACTGTGGCCCTGCAGATTGTTCCGCAAAAAGGAACTACAGCGGGCGAATAATAAGGCCTTAATCACACCATAATGACTCTCAACACTTTCAGGAGCGATGTTTTACACAGCTTTCATCATGTGACATATTTTAGAAAGGGACAGTGTGCAGTATTTTCATTTTAAATCCATATCTTTTATGTATGTCCCCAGATAATAGGCCAACAGGTACAAGGCATTAAATTTTGCCTTTTCTGAACAAATGTTTAAAGCGGAGTTATTCTGCATCATAAATACATCAAACAGGATTTTCAGAGAGGTTTCTCCTTTGGGTGGCCAGTTTGTATCTGGTTTTGTTCCAATATACTTTCTATTTTTGTAAAAGAAAAAGAAAAAAATCATTCTTCTTTTATACCGTTTTTGAAGAGTGTATTTTACATACTTTCCCTTTAAAATAATTGAACAAAAATAAGAAAAATAGAAAAAAAT